AATTATTATTACATGATTTCATCCTTCAATATTGTAAAATCATTTACTTAACAACCTTTTAAAGATATTTGATTCAGTCAATTTGACCGATTGCAAGGCTTCAACAGAAACTTTGATTCTTTGACCACATGGCTAACAGTAATTTGAAAGATGTTAGGTTTTACTTTTGAATTTGAAATGTCAACACTTTACATCTTGAATAATATCGATTTGATTGCTTCTGTGGCCAGTTCTGGTTCTGTAACCTGTTGAATTTAAATCATGAATGTTTCAAAATGTAATAAAATTATCAATTTATTCTTCCCGCAGCTCGATTCGGAATAAACACAACACTTAAACAATAAACTTCCTTGGCATACAATTATTTGCAATTTACTTTGTTATATTTGATTATTTTAATGAATTACCTTTAGATGATGTAAATCTGATGCATAATTTGATATTATAAAATGACAGATTAAATATTAAAGTTTGATGAAATGAGGTGGATAAAAATAAGCTACTGGAGATGTTACTTTCACTTTAATTGTGATTAACTTTACATCTTGGCTTCATGTTGCTTCGGAATTACAATCAAGAGGAATGATCAAGCTGGATTAAAATTATTATAAACACACAATTTGCTCATCTTCTCCTTGTTTGCGATCATCTTGTCTTTCATTATTATCATGACTGCTACAAACAGCAAGTTATTATTAATATAATTATTCATATACATGAATATTCATAGCGTCAAAAGTGGTAACGTCTCTTCGTGTGTTCACCTTATTAACAGCATCGGAAGTGAATCACAATTAACTGATTCAGTGATTTATGGAAGCCAAAAATATCAATCAAAAGAGTTAGAAATGTCAATCTTATCTGGATAATTTGGTCAACATAGCCATCATTTGTTTACTGAGCTGGGGTCAACTCCAATCAGATAAAACGTAAATTCAAATTTAAATTGGTTTAGATAAATATTTTTGAAACTCGGGTTAGTTCATAATGCTTTGAGTTGCCAATGAGTAAAACATTTGTTTGAGTTGGCTTCCTTCAATTTTACAGTCCATCATTGAATTTGACAAATTTTGATTCAGGTTTTGTTTGCTCAAGAAAGGATTAGCATAAGTATTAGCAAGTAATTTTTATCGACCAGAAAACTGTTTGAAATCCATTGACCATTTTCAAAATATCAAGACAAGTTATCCGGTGTAAGTTTGTTTGCTTGTTTTCAATCTTCCATCCAATTTTGAAGCAAATTATTCCAAATAAGTCTATGAAAAATTTCGTAGTGAAATGATCGAAAATATTCTGATTCCAAGAGCATTAAAGTGATCATCATCTGGTTGAGGGAAAAGGTTAAACAGGGTTTTCCAATTCAATTACTTAAACAATTGAAAACAGTAGACTTCCTCACAGATTACAGCCTAAGATTGGTATCCACAACAACACGAAGCTAGGAGTGTTTAATACTTTTACCCTTCACAAAGATTTGGAAGTTTCATGATAATACACAGTCAAGAAATACAACCCCCAGATTGATTGAAACCATAATCTTGTAGCTGACTGATATACCGGCACAACAGATGAAGTCATTTTGGATCTTAAATCGGTATTTCCAGACCAACTGAGTTGTGAGTTTGGTTAAACATAATTAGCTGGTCATAATAAAAATTAAGAAAATAATTAATCACCTTGAAAACAATTTGGATCTAAATTTGAAATTAAACAATTTTATGACATTACTAATTTCACATAAGACAATGAGGTAACAAAAAATGCTTCAACTGAGTCAAGCTCTCTAGATGGCTGCACGTTAAACTGTTTTTAGCGGGAAAAAGTGTTGATTAAACATTTTGATTCTTTAAAGGACTTATCAAAGTCATTTCATTAATCACCCACAAATTGACAGCTTTTTTCACCAAAACCAGCAAAATATTAACCAAAATTCAGCCACAGTAAGGAATGAAAAAAAATGAGTTTCATTTCAAGCTTGAAATCGTGTAAGCCAAGTTTACTGTAAAATTGTAAACACTATTGTTTATCTGAATATCAACAATTTTACTACTTGGGTTTGTAATATTTTTGGTTTTACTGGTTAACCAATAATACCAAATTAATAGTCTCACTTTAATCAATTAAATCACATCACGAAGCACAAGAAAAGGTAAGCACAGCTACCTGTAAGACACAGATGAAAAGGTTAATCACGAAAAAAAATAGAGACTAAAAAACAATCAGACAATTATTTTTGCCGCTTCTTCTTCCTTCTAAAATGGTCATTGAATTGCCAGTAAATTGATGAGAAAAAAAGGTTTCAATTTAAATGTTAAAAGTTATAAAAGTGAATCTGAATGGAAACCGTCAAGAATGGTAAAAATGAAACAAAAAAGGTGAAAATTGTCAGACAAAATGTGAGATTGAGAACGATTTCTCACTGAATTTGAAAGTTTTCAATTGTTCCATTAAATTGATTAGCCACTTACCAGAACCAAACAAAGTTAATATACCAATAAACACTAAACAAAAGCCCACAATTAGTCTGGTAATCACAAAAATTTAAACTCAATGGTTGGTCAAATAAAGACATCAAATACATTTTTCACCATCAAAAGACACTTGAGTGTTAATTTCAATGAGAAATCCAAACAAATTCAGGTAAAAGGATAATTTGATTACATTGAGATTGTAATGGATCAAAATATGACAACTTCAATCAAACAACAATATAAAGATCACAATTTATCAAATTGATATTTGTTTCATTTATTTACAAATCAAACATTTCAATTTCAATCAAATTGAAAGCTTATTTTTCGGATAATATTAAAGTCATAGATTAATCCAAAGCTTTCGACCCTGGTGGAAAAAATTGTTTGAAAAAGCATTATTCAATTCTAAAATAAATGAAATTAAAGATTAAAATTGCAATTTTTTGATGATAACTCGTGCAAGTTTCGACAATAAAACAATAAGATATTGTATTAAATCACAAATAACTTAGATTAAGATTGCTAGTAATCAGTTAATTCTCTGTGTTATAATTGATTCAAATATGTATTGATAAAGACTAATTGTGCTTCATGCCTAAATATTTACAAATTGAAATGACTTCATTCATTTTTCATTTCTTCACCATCTTCATCAAACTGCTGAAAATTCTGCTGGACACTCAAAATGATTATTAGTAACAGCATTCTGTAACAAAGAAAGGAGAAGTTGATTTAATTGCATTTTATATGATATCTGGCTTAATATTAACAACTATTATTTTGCTAGGTGAGATGTGAGGAAACAATTTATCCTCACATCAATATATCATTGAAATAGCCAACAAAAAAATTAATTACTTACTTTAATAGTGTTTTTGAATATTAGCTGAGTCTTCAAATTTCTCATGGACTATTTTTCTGATTACACTAGTAATACTTAGAAAACATGAAGAAGAACTGATTGATATAAACATATGGCTTTACATTAACAACAACTGTTTTGCTATGATAGATGTGATGAAACAATTTATCATCACATCGATTTTAATTTAAACACACAAAGATCATTGATAGAAACCCATAATAACTTGATATAAATTATAACTTACATTGTTTTCAATGAAATATGGACAATTATTAAACTAATATTTAGTTTGAGGAAACCTTCAATCAATTTTGATAAATTTTACTTAATCAAACAATTTTTCAATAATCAAGCAGTTTATAAAGGGTGCATATCAGTATAAAACACGGATAAATATTGGGCTTTGTTAGCTTCTTTGCTTAGATTAAAAAGGGTCGATTAACACTAAATTTATATCATTCTTACGATAACTTACATGAAAATTGTAAACCCGAATCTTGCAAATTTTAAATCATTCAATTACTCGGGCGAGTAAATTCAAACTTATTTTAAACGAAATTGTTTGTTTCGGATAAACTTTTCCACCAGGGGAGTCAACTGGCAACCCAATTGAACCCAAAATGGCAACCCAATCTGGTTAATTGTGACTCTATTGTGATATCTGTAATTGTTGGATTACAATGTATTAACAATCATATCGTGTAACTATTAAAATGAATTGATGGACTGTTTTTCATGAAAATTGTGAATCTTACTATTTTCAGATGTAAATCAAAGCGCTTGGTTTTCAGCTTTTAAATTGGTAAAATCATGCAATCATTATTGCTAATTATTTGTAAACAACAGAAATTGTATCAATTTAATAAGGTTGATCACCAACAATTTGATGTTCATTTTTTGTTAAAATAGCAAAATCAATGAGAATAATCAGTTTAAATTGTAAGCACACTCTTTCAACTTGACCGTCCTTTACACCATGATAATGATCATCCAATTTCATGAGATGAATGTAAAGTAGACTTTATTTGAATCAAAGTAACTTGTTCTAGTTGAAACTCAATTACATTTTACAATCGTAATTGTTATGGTTAAACGTAAACAGGAGACAATTTTGTGATACTGATTAACGTTCACTTTGATTGTTATTACAATCATCAGAGGAAAGTTATTTTTTTTTCTCTTCTTCTACTCTCTATTCAAATGAATTGATAACGCAAGCACTTCAATTCATAAACATGATAATAATATGGTGACATTCAAGCATATCATCATCTTATAATCAGAACAATCTGCATCACTTTGACTTTGAAGCCTACAATAATAATCAACATTGACCATTTAGTTTTGTTTTTCAACTTCCGTGTGATCTTAATTGTCAAATCATTTTTTAAAACAATCATGTGAAAGTGATTCAGATTATTAAACTGTGTTGTAGCGTGATTGTATTACAAATGATAATTGTTATGAGAAGAATCATGAAGATGATAATCATGTTTACAATGGATGTGCAATTAAAATGTGATCTATGAGATGTTAAATGGGAAATGGTAAACAAGGTTAACTGTAAAGGTCAGTTTCAATCTTTTTCTGGTAAAATTCATGTTCTTTTAGGTTTTGGTCAATAGTTGACTGTAATTTAATCGAGTTTGGTCAAAAATTATTAATAAATAAAGAGCTGAAAATTGAAACAATGAAGCTTTTAACAATTAAAGCCGTTTAAGTTGAAGCTGTTAACAGCCATTGAAACCCGATAAGCATAAAAAGCATAAAGCATTGGTTTCTGGTAAAGATGGCTTCTAATTCAACACTTTGGGTTGAAGCTATTTTTGCCTTCTTTTGAGATTTAATTTAATCCTTAACTATGTGATTTTATTAATGTTGATTTTAACCTGTGATTGTGATTAGTGATGGTTATTAAAAATGAAAAGTTGATGATGGAAAAAGAAAAGGAAAAATTGTGTTTGAAATGGGAACCCAAATGGAGTACCAGTTAGTAATTGTGATATTATTATATATTTAGTTAAATTTAAATAGTGGTGGACAATTCATTGGGATTCATTTCTTTGATCATCTTGACGATTACAGTTACAGGTAAGACTTGTTTACTTCATTTTAAAATAAGGAACCAGGAAATTATGCTTTTGTTGGTCTTGTTTTGCATTGGGTTGTTACTTTTTCTTTATGCTTCTTTACTTAAAGATAAATCCTTTTTTTCGCAATCAAACTATCATTAGTATCATCATCAACATCATGACCATCTTCATCAACATGATCCTCATCGTCATGATCCTCATCATCATGATGTATCATTTTGTCTCCATCAAGGCTTATTTAGTTTATAATAATATAAACATTTTTAAAATTAATTTCCATTTTGGTTTTTCATTATAATAGATATCCCATTATCTGGTTGCCATGTTACCAAACAACAGTAAACCATGTGATTGAACGGTTATCTTGTAAGTTGAGATTTGCGAGACTTTTGGTTCATCTTTTGGAGTAAATTAAATTTGAATTAGTTAACAGTTAATAACTTAAATTTGGTTACAAGTAATTTGGTTTTGGTGTAATGTGACGGGATTATTGTCAAAGCCCAAAAGGAAGAGATAATATCAAAATATATGAACACAAGATATGGTAAGTGTTGAAGTTGATTACATGTTAAGAAAAGGATTAGACAATGCATTAATCTGTTTCATGTTTACTCAAGTGTTTTCTTTCTTTCTTTCAGGCTTCTTCATGACCAGTTAACTTGACCAACTTATTTTACCAGTTTACTGGACTAGCTTACCAGATATACTTGTTATGGTAATCACGTAATTGTGTTTATTGGCTGGTGTTAACCATAAAAATGACAATCCTGTTTGATGATGGTCAATAAAGATGTTGAATACATTGTTGAATGATATCTTTTTCATTCCGAAAAAATGATACCAAATTGGTCAATTTGCTAATTATGTTTTTGTAAGTATACATATTGTTAGTTGAAAGATGCTCTTTTTAATATTGAGAAAACAATTAACAAATCAATCAACAGGTAATGATTATAATTATGATGAAAAGGTGTTTGCATTTTCAATTTACAGTTTACCGAGTTTTTGGTGTGTGTGTGTCTGTAGATACGTATTATACTCATCTACAATCAATCAAAATTAACATTTTTCATTTTGAAAATGATTTTGATTGATTAATGTTCAACAGCAATTAATGTAAAAGATATTTTATCTTTATACATCTTACCTTTTCTCCCTTTCATTACAATTCATTTAATTGCAACTATCGTTTTTGTCTCGTTTCTTTTTTTTTCTAACACTTTAATTTCGATTTTCAATGTACAGATCAATTAAGATTGGATAATTTGATTGATTGGTGGGTTTACGAATTGAATCTAAAAGAAATGTAATCCTACTCGTATATTTCATTATTGCCTATTAATTGCATGTTTATGTCTCTTGAAATACCTGATACTCGTTTCAATTAAAAAATTTTAAGCATCTGACGGAACAATTCAATATTTTGATCAGTTCAATTTATTTACAAATGAAGGAGATGATCAACAAGTAACAATATGGCTTACAACCAACAACAAAAACGTTCAAGTGTTCAAAGACAAATGACCCAATTTTTAATTTCTGGTTAATCATGTTTCATCAAGCTAAATTGAATTTTATGGGAAATTGAGCTGAAATTGTTCAAAAAATGAAACTCTTGCTCTAGATGAATCTTTATGCTTAAGCTGTTACATTAACCATCAAAAGAACAACAAAGGTTCAGAAAATTTTGGAATTAATCATCTCGATGACTGTAATGTTGATGAAAAGATCACATTAATTTCAATCTTTTATGAAAAGCCTTACAATGTTTTGATATCGACAAAATCTCAAATCTCGCCGTTCATAACCTTTCCTGGTTAAATCAAGTAAAGTGTTTGGTTATTTGGTTAAATTGTTCAAGATCAAGGAGATTGCAATCAAATTGAATAAAGTTTCATCTTGGTAACCAACTTTGAATAGTCTATGGCAGATCTCATAATCTACGAACCAAAATACTCTTGACATTTCAAGGCAAGTTGCTGGTAAAGGCCGTATTTGATTAAGGAACCAAGTAAAGAGCAAGAAAACCATCAATCAGACGAATTAAATTAATGAAATTGTAAACAATACATGGACTAACATAATGAATCGCTTTCCCTTTAAAGCTTACAAATGACCAGTTGGAAAACCTGTTTGATCCCAATTAGAGACTCTTGACTAAAGTTTGATTATATCGTCAATGAATTACTTGATGCCCAATTTAAAGTCTTAATCTGCTACCCAGTTGGAACCTAACAACCAGAATGACTTGAATCACCTTCAATCAACTTATAATGTTAATCAACTTAAAACTTAACCCAAACCATCCATTAATTGAAATTAAATGGGCCAAAAATGAGCCCTAAAAAAGGCAATATTTAAAGGTTCAATATTAATCTAATTATCAAGCTTTATAACCAACTGTGAGTATTTTAAGAGTTTACAATTGTAACAATTGGCAAATAATAACATTTATATATTGTTCAATTTACAATCATCACCATAATGAACAATCTGAAAAGGATTGTGAATAGAGTTGAAAATCAAAAAATGGAAACATTCGTTTTTCTTGAATTTTCTTGAATTCATTTTAGCCAGAAAAAAGAAGAGTATTGCCACCAACAATAAGCTAATATTAACCTGATAACATTTAAATCAAACATGTTCAACAATCAAAAACAAAGCATAACCAAAATAATAAGAAGCAAACCTTAATTCATAATTACGGCATTGAAATGAATCAACCTTGTCCGAATCACATCAATTCATGTCAAACATTGGAAACATTCAAGTTTAACAATTTATAAATTGTTCCCTCAATCAACTTACAAAACCAGCAACCAGTGATTAACAATAAGAAAGTATTCAAACAAAATATTTAATAATCAACTGTCCATTTGAAATTAACATGTTTCTCTTCAAAAAACGATTAATTCTTCATTCTGATTGAATTAATAATCATTTCTTGACCGGAAACTTTATCCATTATCATGATAATTGGACAATAGTGTTAATCAGCGTCCATTTTTGTTTAATTAACACTTGTTCAAATGCTAATAATTAACAATGAAAAGTGTTTCAACTGTTCAACTCTTTCAATTGCAAACCTCTATTTAGATTTTATAATTAACTGTGATTGTAGTTCAATGTCCGTCTTAATCAGTTTAATTGTCAAACATCATTAATGGCCAAAAGGCAACAATCTAACAATGTTTAACAAAAAAGTTGTTGAGTGTAAATTGAAAATTGCCTGTTAAGTCTTGTAAGCAAAATCAACATATTATTGTATCTTGAAATTGCAATTAACAACGGTCAACAATGGCAATTAATCAATTTGCGTGTCAAACAACAAAAAAGTCAAAGTAAAGTAAAGGTAAAAATTGAGCTACAAATGGTAATAAAGTCTCCTCCATAATACTTTTCATTGAGCAAATTATGATTAAAATTAACCAGAAGTAATTGAGTGATGATTAAGTTGCCTCAATTGGCTCAACACTTGACTTGAATAACACTTGAAATATCATATTAATTCTTGACTTGAAATCAAATTTGTGGTTCAACCATTAATGGACCCAATTGGTTTGGTTAACTTGGTCCTGAATGGAGTGCCTTTTAGGTTAAACATTGACAGATTAATTCACAGTCTTACGTGACTGATCAATTATCAGAAATGATCAAACTTCAAATTTAAAACCAATCTAACCAAATCCAACAGTTAATATTTGGGTTTAACAAAAATATCTTTTCTCTAAACAATAACTTGATATGAATTTTGTCTGAATTCAGGTTAAAACCAAAGAATTATTTGGACAAGAGGTTCAACATGAATGCAAAGCTTACCAACCACTCGGCCTTTGACTAAACCCAACCTTACCAGATCAGCCTTTAGGTTTAGACTCAAGTGACTGCAACACTTTTCTGGTCTTCACTTAACCTTTACTGTTAAAAATAGCCACAATCATATTAAAGGCTCACAAAGTGATATTAAAAGTTGAATTTTCTCATTCAAGGCTTGTATTTCAATTGAAATTAATCAACTAAGGTCAACATTTAGACAAGATTGCAGTTAATCAAGCCAAGAGAATCAAATTAATCAATTTAATTGAGTTATTAAAGCCTGAAATGTTATCTTGTATACTTGTAACACCATTTTGAGTTTCATTAATGCTTACAGCCAACTCAATTTAACTACAAAATTTCAGCTGAAACCAGTTAAATGGTACAAAATACTAATCATATTAATCTGATTAAAGTAACTGAAAATCTACTGATTTAACTGCAGGTAAAAACAAACGTTAAATAATGAATGTAAAGCGCCAATTTAACAGATGATTGTCGAATAAGTAAATTAAATTGTAATAAAAGTGATTTTCAATTTACACGGATTACTATTGAAATATCATTTCACATGTTTCCAATTGCTACAACCAACAAATTTACCTGAAAATTGCCTTCTGCCAAAACTTGACCCAGACGTAAATTACATATTTAATGACAACAATTTACTAAGTAAACAATTTACTGTGATGAAAAACGTGACAATCAACAATCAAATTGATCTGCATAGTCAACGATTCACCAAACCATCAACTGGAAAAAGGCAAATCCAATAACATTTGCAACACTTTGATAAATATTGACCAAAATGATCAACACTTGTTTTTACATTATTTTTATTCAAATAAAACTCTACAATTAACCCAATTCTGCTAATTATTTTGTTTAACACTAAAATCAGCGATTAATTTTGACCATTCAAAACTTAATATCGAATGGTTTAATGAGACAATTTAAACTGACTAAAAATTGATCAACTGATTAAAACTGTTATTAAAACAGAATCAAATCATTAATTGTTTCAAATGTTAATGATAATAGAAACAGACATTTTTGATCAACACGAAAAGGAAATTATTGTTGAACTGATCAATTTTGTTTCAATCTGATATTTCCATGTTACTCACTTTCCAACAATTAGTTTATCCTTAAATTGATAATCAAAATTAGATTCACACGCAACTTGACATAATGAGCATTAAAATGTGTTTAATTAATATTTATCCGTTTTCTTCTTCTTGTTCATTTTTATAATAATAATGATAATATTCCCATTAAGATGAGCTTGTATCGTAACAAGATGAAGAGTGAAAAGAAACAATAAATTGCAAAAGCGGAAGTGACCTGAACAAGGTTCCAATGAATTCAATTATCTGATTAAACAGAAAAGAGATAATTTGAGAGAATAAAAATTCTCATAGAAAATGTTTACATGGAATGATTAGAAAAAAAATGTTGTTCTTATGCTTGGTGATCATGTTTAATCAGCGTGATCAAGCTTCATTGAACAATTGAGATTCACTTGATCTTGGAAAGTTTACCATTTCGTTTCACACCAAAGTCAATTGTCCGATTCACAATTTTTTCACTTTTTGGAATTTCGTTTAACGATTCTTATGCGTTAGTCTTAAGCCTTTATCCATTTCCTCTTCCTCTATTCAGTGATTAGATTGACTCGCCGATGAATGATCAATTTGAATTTTCATGATAAACTCTCTTATGAAAACTCTCATTTTGTTTGTTCAGATGAATGATAAATGTTCATTTTAAGAGTTGGTTTGTTAAAAGCAAAGCTTCACTCATGAAATGAAAATTTCTCATCAAATCAAGTTCCACATTACAATAGAGTTTACTTTAAACCTTTCAGCCACTATCTTGTGTATTATTATCATAATTTCTTACAAACAACTTCTATGGCGAACATTTTTCTTAGCAGATTGATCAAGTCTAAACTGCATCATGTATATTCGTAGATATTCAATGAAGGAAAAGATATTGTTCATTAAATTATCGAATGGAAACAATTGATAATTATTGTTTATTGGTGGTTGTTTGATCAGGATTGATCAAGTTAGAGTATCTTTTCAATGATAGTTCAGTTGGATTTGTATCGACTCAATCCATTGTATGGTTCTCGTTCATGAAGCTAAAGGCGAATCATAACAACTATTTTCAAAAAAATGGCATAGAATTGACCAGATAAACTGAATTTGTTCCTGTTGTGCCAATTTTTAAAACTTTCGTTGGGGGTTTAAGCTTGAAAATCTATTTTAAAAATCACTAATTTTTGATTTTCGATAATTCTAGAATAATTATGCAAAATTTTGATGGTGCTTTGCTGCTTTTTGAGCTTCGAAATCAAAGCTCACTGATTTTTGAACCGATTCTTCCTAGCAGTTCGCTCAAATCTGTAAAAAGATTGCTAGATTGGTGAAACGGGCCAGAACTTGTATTACATTTCATTGAACTTTCTCGAAAATTTGTTGGTAGAAATCAAAATTTAAGTTATTTTTATCCTTCATCTGATCTATTCTGGTTATAAAATTTGATAAAGTTTATTCACTCAACTACAGTCAATTCAGAATTGAAAGAATGAAAGTTTTTTGAACAAAATGAAACTCCATTGAATTTCTCATAAAATTTTCCATAAATCGGCATTCCACCCTATTAATACATGAGAAAAGCGGAAGCTGAAACTATTACATTCGAATTGGAAAAAATCTTGGATTGGCAAGAAAAGGACTTTAACCAATAGTAATACTTTGATTCAATTTCAACTTTCTTCTTGAATCTTTTCATGGATATCAATAACTTAAATCTTTTCATCATTAATTGGCCGATAAATTGAATAAACACAAGTTTAAATTTCAATTGATTAGCATCAATTGAACAAAACGTTGAATACAAAATAATTTCAAAGACTTAATGCAACAAGAAAAGGTATTAAATGTAAAACAAGATAATCTTGCAATTAGATTGTAAATATTTACAGTCAATTACAATCTGTTGATTGAAAAGGTGAAATGAATCAGATTAAAGTTTCATCCATGAATAACAATCTTTTCATAAAACCAAAGCTGATATTGCTGAATATTAATAATATGATTGATGAATAGAAATGGATAACTTAAAGAGCAACAGAACAAAATGAATAACCAGAAATTTTCATCATTACCAGGCTTAATTCATCAATTGTATTTCAAATTGTTATCTGAATATAAGAGTAAATAAGTGTTGAAACTATTGAAAAAGTGAAAGTTTGATAAATACTTATGCGAAAGAAAAGCGAAACAAAAATGCTGAAAAAACTTGTAATGTTCATTGGTGAAGATGAGATGGAGAAAATTGTGTCAGCAGAATATCAATGAATCTTCTGAAACTGAAACCTCAAAGTACAACATTGAATTGCAAAGTCACAGCAGGTAATAGCCTAAAGGTAATCGGACCATCTATTGAATATTGAGCAAGCAAAAGTTAAAGTTGCATCCATTTATTGGACAGTTAAATATTCGAGTAAAACCTTTCATTGACTTAATCACTTGTTCAGAAATGAATTGATTATCATATTTAAATGAAAACAAATGTTTTATGGAAACATTAAAATACTGAAAACAGTCAAACTTTGAACCTTTTTTCATGATATTTTGTTTTCTTGCTTCTCAAGTTGCTCATCATCTTCATCAACAACTTCATCAATCGACTTCCTTCCTCATCACCTTCACCTGATGCCAGAAAATTTGAGTAAAAAAGAGTCTTTTCGAATTGAATTACTTTCTCTTGTCAATCAATTAATTGACTCAACTGATTGTCTGACAAAACCTTGAAAAACCTTTGACCATTTGATTAGTTTGATTGAAGTCAATGACAATTCATCAATTTTGTTCATCATTACTCTCATTTGATGGAGTCCAAATGATTCAATTTACTCATGATAATCAATCGAAGGAAACATTATGATTAAAAATTAAACACTAAAGTAATTTGGTAAATTATATTTGGCCAACAACAGAATCAACTCTTTCCATTAGAAACATAATCAGTCACCTAATTGAACAACCAATTTGATTCAATTAAAATCCATTTATTGGCAGAGTCACATTTCAATTGTACAATGGTTTGTAATACAAAAAGATTGCCTTTTAGGTTTAATTGTTTAACTGTTTAACTCTATTATTAAACTTCCGTAATGATTTAACTTTATTGAGGTAAACTGATTGAGAAAAAGGTTTTTTTCATTTAAGAGCAAGTTCAAGTTTTTATTTAGTTTTATTCAATTTTGTTCATTAAGCAATTGAAACAACTCAATTGTACATTAAGTATCATTTGAATAACAATTTTAAGTGAAAGTCTCTTATTTTTGGCAATTATTAAGTATTGAAGATGAAAAATGGTTAACCAGTAAATTGTTACACAGTCAAGTGTTACCCAAAAAAAGTGTACAAATGGTTCAATCAACAAAATGCAAATGACCAGTTTATTTTTATATTTCATTTTGCTGATTGAATTATGATTGGTGAATTTGCTAATTGTTTAAAGATGATGTTTGATTATGATGAGGCAGAGTCAATGGTTGCTGCTACAGCGGCTTCACCAGAAGCTGATGATGCTGAAGCATATGAATCGTCTTGTGCTAGATGATGATGGTGATGATGACGGTTACAGTTTTTACCATTCAATTTGTTGACACTATTTTGAACACTGTAAGATGATGATGATTTAATTGGAGTGAAACTTGAATAGCTTTTGCTTTGATGAGTTTGAGGTAATAAAGGTTGCGCTTGTGAATACTTTTTCTTGCCAGAATAATTGTCATTTAAATTGCTTTTATAACCAGTACCAATATTACCATTGCCTTTACCAAAATAGTTGAATTTGACAACATTGGGCGGCAATGGAATAGCAATTAAACCTTGATTTCCGGCCGCAATTTCAACTGTTGTTGGATAGCCAACTGAATGATTGGGGTTCTTTGGTCTTTCCTGGTTGTGATCATTGGATATCGATGAGGAATAAGATGAGGCTGAAGATGAAGATGAAGTCACTGGTTTACCCGTATAAGCCAAGGGTACATGGGACATGTAAGACTGTTTGTTGTTGTTGTTGTTGTTGCCATAATTGGTGCTTGGGTGTTGCTGGTGTTGTTGATATTGTTGATATTGTTGGTGTCGGTGAGGAGCATTGTTGCCCGTTGATTGACCATTGGTGTAACTTGATGATGAATAGGGTTGCACTGCGGGTTGGTAGAGGTTCAATGTTGATGTACGTTTCTTGGCTGGTTGTTGTTGGTATGTTGACTGTTGATGGTGACCCGAGTTGGCTTGACTTGAAATACCTTTAGCAGAGTCTAGATTTTTGCTCAACTCTTGCGAGTCAAGATGTTTCAATACTTGGAATAAAATTCCTCTAATTGTATTTATATCAATGTCAATGTTTTTACTGTCCTGGCCTGAATTGGCAACATGTTGTGACTGAGAAGGTGATGTTTGAATTGCAGCGTTGTAAGGAGCTGATGTCTTGGTTGACCGTCCATTGTCTGAGTAACCATTTTGCTTGGGAACAAGATTACTAATCAAATGAACTCCATTATAAGGTCCATTATTATTATTGTTGTTGTTGATCAAGTTGTTTGGTCCCATGTTACTAGTTCCTGGAAATAGTTCATTGTAATTGAAGCCCATCAGAGAATGTTGTTTACCCGTTGGTTGGTGAAATCCAAAAGTTGGTTGATATTTATTTTCATTGGTCTTGGTATTTCTATTCATACTGCTTGCATAGTCAAGAAGAGAAGGTGAAAATTCTTCCTGATACATTTCTTCGGGCGAATAAAGTTCACCTATTCGAGCTGTAGATGAACTCCGCTGAGGTGAGAGTCCACTTCTAGAGTACATGTCACGGTTAAAGTCATCAGAATCCATGGCAGCAATGATGGCCGCATTGTCAAATACATGATCAGGAACCGAGTGAAGAGCCTCAATGTAACCAGTAAGGTTGTTTGGTTCAACATGAGGTTCAAAAGTTAATCCTGGGAAAGCCTCGGAAGCAGCCGAGGTTAAACTTGATGCTATTGCTGTAGCCGACAGGGAAGAAGCTAAAGGTAAAGGTGACGAGGTTGACGAAGAAGACAAAGATGATGATGATCCTATTGAAGATGAAGGTAAAGCTGTAAAAGTGTCCAACATGAAGAGTAGGATAACCATTTGAAAACCAAACGATTCCATGTTTTGATTGTTGCAATAACACTTGTTGGTCAACACTTTGGCGGAGAGAAAATGTAAAGATGAGAAAACTAAAAAAACGTTTGTTTCCAAAATTTGATTCAGTGAATGGAAGAGATGATGATGAAAATGATGAGGATGAGTGAAAAGTAAATATAAACCAGAGTAAGGTCAGTAGCCTGGAGAAGAGATGAAAATGTAGGAACACAAGTAATGTTGTAAACTATGAAGTATTGATTGTTTTACACCAAATTTTCATCAAAGGCAATCAAGCAAAACGTTTCTTTTGGTCAATTTGGTGTAACCCTTTATTTTTGGGCTTTTTTAAACAAACAAAGTAGTCTACTGGATGATGATTATGATGATGTTAGGAAAGTTTTGAAGATTACAAGATGAGTATTGTGCCTGTCATGTTGATGCTGTATATGTTTGCTGTTTGTTGTTGCTGTTTTGATGATGAGAAAGCATCAAAAGTTTATTTAGTTGTGAATGAATCGACCCAGTGAGTCTTATATAATAATCAATGAAATGAGGATTGACACGCTTCAGAATGAAGATGATGAGGTGGAGAGAAAAGAGAAAGGATAGAAAGTAAGATGAAGAAATGAAGAAGATGATATTAAAGAGCGGAAAGGCGGGGAAAAGGATGAGACTAAAGACTCTTTTTTGTTGAGGTACTTTTCATAGCATCAACAGGTTTCATGTAAAAAGGTGAAAAATTGGAATCTGTTTCTTTCATCATCATCTTCTTGATTACCTTGTTTCTCATCCTTTCGTTAACATAATAACTATCTTTGCAAGACCTTTTTTCCTGTTCACTTTCACCAGTTTCACTTTTATCAAATCATGCAACAATTTCTGCATCGATCAAATGAAATTTAGATCAAAACTCCAGCAAAATGATAACAAAGTCTAGGTTTAAGTTGTTTCAATAGCAATCAAAGGGAAAATTCCTAATTCTAATGATCCAAGATTTTTGTGTAAATTGAATCAGCTTCTGGTTCTGTTGAACGGATAGCTCTTGCATTCATATGCCCCTTTCAAGCCAACTAAATCATTTACTGTTTCAGTCTAAATTAATGTATTAGAATCAAATCGACTCTAATGATCAAAACTCTATTTTAAGTCAATGTAAAAATTAAGCAAATGACTCTTTGAATCAGTGATTGTTGCACGATGAAGTTAAACTTGAAAAGTGCGAGGACAATTCATTTAGATCACTAACTGCAATTGTGAGATCGAACAGCGATTTCTTGCTATGATCCAAAATAATCCGAAGATTGTTTAAGCCAAAATATTAATATTCAGAATACTTATGGGAATCAAGTTAAATTTAAAAAAATTTAAAATAATTTTTGCTTCAACATCTTATTCCATGTCGATACACAAGACTACAAATGTGAAAAGCCTTTGGTATATCAATACCAATATTTCAAAATGGAAAGTGAAACTTAATCATGAATTTCATGATAAATCATCTTTAAAATTTTAAGACTGTTGAAGAGACTCAATAACTTTGTTCACCTTTCTCTGCTAATGAACAAAATTGGTAACTTTTAGCCTAAAAATCATTGAATGGAGTGAAAACAATTTCAATACAATAGCAAAAATCTGGTTCATTTTTTTTCTTCTTGAACCAGAAATCAGTTTGAATAGCTGAATAGCTTTGCCTTAATCTTTTACCACAAATGATAACAATTAATAAATGTTGATGTTTGAAGTTGGTCAAAAGTGAGAGATGAATTTTCATAAACTCTGGTCGGAAGAGCGGAAAACAAAAACTTACTTAACCAGATATTCACCTTTTGATGCTCTCTTATCCAACATGATTAACATTTAAATCAACTCTCAATTGTTGTTTAATGCTTTATTACCTTACTTACAAGCACCATCATCATCTTCATTATTTTCATCATTCGTGTCTCCATCTTTAATTCAGCTTGATTTCATGACAAGAAGAAGAAGAAGAAGAAAGTGAAATAAAATGAATCCAGCAAAAAAAAATACCAAAATAAACTCAATTTGTAATTTCACTTTCCTTTAATCACAATTTAAATAATGAAACAATTTAAACTCGTTCTTCTTCCTTAAAATTCAACCTTTCAATCAAAATGTTTGATAATTTAGATGTCAACCAAATCAAAATATGAAAACATTAATCAAGAAAGATTGTTGAATCAGTTGACAAATTTCAAATCAATTTATAAACCTTTTCCTTGAATTTGCTCATTTTACACTGTCTACTGAACTCGAGCAAAATTGTTTCAAATTCAATCAAATTTGTTAATCAACTATTTCATACTCAACGTGATACAAGTTTAATTAACAGTTAAAATAAAAGATTTCAAATCAAAACCTTTTCGCAACTCGAATGAGAAAAATTGATCAGTAAAAAGATTCAAACATTTTTGTCCTTTATTTCAATTAATCAATCAGCATTTAATTAGCTGATGCTAACAATATTTCATTACAATTGAATGTTGATCTTTTTTCATTGCAAAGCTTTTTTTGCTTCTTTAATTCAAAAAGATATTTAATTCTGAGTCATTTTCACCAAATAATCAAGCTTCAACACGGAAATTGGTAAAATTTTTAATTTTCAATTGTTAAACTTTCAACTATTTCTGTCTTCATTTAATTGTTTCACTTGATTGTCACTAAAAATTGCATTGTTTTGCTAACGTTAATTTGTTTCATTAACTGTAGATGAGACTTTCGTTTTTGTTTCAATACCTTTTTTCATATTAAAATTATACGATACAAATTGATTTAATACAAAACAGTTTGTTTCCTCAATCTTTTTAAATTTTCATATTGTTTATTAAAAGCTGAAGAGTTTAATCAACAAGTTAATCAATTAGTAAATATGTATTTGCTAAATTGTTCACGATTTGTTCTTGCTAATTTTCATTATTTGCATTAAATTGTTTCCATTAATTGTGTACTTTGTTGCAAGTTAAAATTAAATGTGGTAAAGCATAAAGGTAAACTTAATATCAGGTTACATTTTTAAGCTTTGCTCATTGACTGATCTTTATGCAATCATTTTCATCATTTTTACATCACCTTTTATTGCTGTTTTGATTGTTGATTAAAAGTCATTGTTTTGACACAATTAAAGTGTATTAGTGTTGGCGGCTCAATTGTATTTCCGATAAAATCTTGTTTACACATTTGGAGTTTAGCTGCTGGTACTTTTTTTGTCAATCAAATGATCGTTGGATTGTTGGATTAAAGCCTAATATTTTGTTGCTGTTTATTTAAGTTGTTGTTTTCAATTGTTTGATTGTCTTGGTGCTTTGCATTACCGATTAAGATCAGAAGTGATTAATTAACGGAAATGATTAAACGATGTCCAAATGTTTACAGGTTCATAGTGTAATTTGAGTAGCTGTCTGTTGAGGTTGACAATTTTGCAGCTGCAAACCAATCAAGCTATAATTACCAGCCATTTAATATGAAGACGTGATAACTTAGCCTGACAAACTTCTTGGGAATCAGGAAAATCTTTGTTGGGTATGATGATAATTAAAGTTGCTGTGAATAATGAATGTAAATTATCAATCATTATTAATTTCAGGTGAAACCATGGAAGTGATTTTGAAACTGAGTTGACGAGTAAGGATGTAGAGTGTAGTTACAATAATGAAGAAAACATTTAAAGATGATGTAAAATCATTGATGAGCCTGAAAGTTAATTGAATCAGGAGGACACTGAAATGAAACCTTGTTAATCAATGTGATCTCTTGACCAAATATCGATAATTTGGGTTGCCATTTTCTTCGTGTATTTGCTGTTGGCCAGGTTGGTGAATATGATAAGATGGGAAATTAAAGAGTAAGTGAATCCAAATTTTGAAACTTATAAATACTCTTGGTCTTCAAGGTTGATGAGGTTGACCAATTCAACAGTTGTCTTGACTGATCAATAACAAATTATATAAATTGAATGAAGAGAGCAACACATCGAAATTTATTTTCTTCGTTGTAACTAGACTATAATATCTCCCAACCAGTGCAATCCAGTGAAACGTGTCCAACATCTTTGGCTCAGAAGTTTGAGATCACCAAAAGGACAATTCTGAACTCCTACTCATTACGTCATCTCATATTACTTCCACATGCATCAACCTTTGCCAATGTAACCTGAATGAAGCCTCTTTACAACTTTACAATCAATATCTTCAGTTGGTTGTACAATGCCATTGTTAGCTAAACCTTTCATTGAGAAATCCTTTTCCTCGTAGTTTTTACAACACATGACGACTGAAATGGCGATAAAACGAGCAATTTGTAAACCTTATTTGTAATGAGTATGCAAATTAATTACATGTAGTTGAATATAACTATTGCCATTGGAACTGAAACTTGCCATAGGGATGACCCACCGTGACAGTCATTCGTTCAGAGTTGAAGCTATAAATAAAACCAATAAAAATTGAGTTAAGTCACAAAATGGTGCAAAATAAATATGGACATGGTCTTGTGGAATTTACTAACCTCAACTATAAATGATAAACCATATTGAATAATAACCAACACTTTAATTAAATCAATTTTTTATATTAAAAAACACCATAATTATAAAAATAACTCAAGACAAAGTGTGAGAAGCGAGGGAAACAGATGATTTAATGGGGTGAGATAATTTTATAATGTCACTAAGCGCGCATTTTAAAGAAACAATTAAATCTTGCTAATTTAACCTTGGAGCAATATTTGCGACTAATTGTGATTGATTGAAAATATTAAAAATTTCGCTCTTTCTTATTTCTTATTCTTTATTTTCGACGTTTGTTAATCAATACAAAAGTCTGAAAGTGACCTTTCCAGAAAGGAATGATGCCAAAAATTTGACTTTCAAGTTAAGAGTTAGGACTTGTAGGGGTTTGTAAGGGCATAAAAACTTAGTCCATTAATGCTTTAATGCTATTATGTATAGCTGCTATTGATCCCAAAAAGGGTTGGTCAGCTAATTTCGTTGATATGTTAGGATTCAAGGATGAAAAGCTTACTGACCATAAAGTTGGAAATGTTTGTGCTCATGTTGTTCATCTAGTTGGTAGTGGTCTATCGAGTCCATACCTTTCATTTGCTGCTGGTATGTGTGGTTTAGCTGGGCCACTTCTTGGTCTTGCCAACCAAGAAGTTTTGGTATTTATAAACAAAATGCAACAACAATTGGGCGATAACCCATCTGAAGCCCAAATTTCCGATTTCTGTCCGATTTACCAGACTATCCAATGTTAAAATTAGTATCTAAAAATTTATATTTACATACTTATTGATTTGATATCAGTTTTCATGACTAATTTACTTATTTTTTACAATTAGGAGCTAAAAGATGTAGCTGGCGCAAAGATCAGTGAACACGCCAGAAAAGTCAAAGATTTTCGAGCAGTTCATGGAAGTAAGGTTGTTGGTGAAGTTACTGCAGATATGATCTATGGTGGTATGAGAGGAATAAAAGCATTGGCTACTGAAACCTCTTATTTGGACCCTGAAGAAGGTATTAGGTTCAGAGGTTATTTAATTCCTGAATGTCGAGATCTTTTACCCAAAGCACCCGGTGGTCAAGAATCTTTACCAGAAGGATTATTCTGGCTTTTATTGACTGGTGAAGTGCCAACAGAAAACCAAGTAAAGAATCTATCAAAAGAATGGGCAGCTCATGCAGATTTACCTATATCAATCTTGATACGCAATTAATGGCCTTGATTAAGAAAATTAAGGTCCAAAATTGAGGTAATAGTTTATTGATTCAACGACTGGCATAAATTACAAAGATATATTTAGATGTCTAAAAGTGTTTGTCTTTTTATTAATACCATAAATAAAGCAAGTTAACTACTTGTAGCTACCCTTGATCGTAACATGAAAACAACCTAAATGGTATAACCTTCACCCATCAAACTGAACAGTCCTTTGGGGCTGTTTACTGATTACTATTGTATACAAATTAAATGTTTCCTGAAATACATTTTAGTGCACCTAATCAATGTAATTGATTAAATCAATTGAAACAAATTGTTTCTCATTCATTATTTTAATATTAACATCCAATAATAGGCGATGATAATTTTATCCATTATTGTTTCCAATCTCATATTGTTTCGATTGTTTCAACCATTAAAATCAATTTAAATTGTAACAACAGTTGTTGAACAGCAAAAGCGTATTTTCAAAGCAAAAACTGATCAAAATTGCAATTATGATAAAGTATGTTTTTTTATTATTGTTAAATAATTTGGATACATTTCATTGACTATTAGCTATTAATATTGAATTGTGAATGAAATGAAACAATGAAGAGAGGAAATAAAACGTAAACAATTTCCAAAAATAAAGGGTTAAACAGATGATGATAGCATTTTAATGATAAAATGTTGAAAAGGTTAAAATGAGATTACAGATTAACAGGATTGTTACATTTGTTTTGAAGCAAATATTGTGAATAAGATTAACACAGAAAATGAAGAAAACGAGAAAAAATTCTTAATGAAAAGAACCCAGAAGCTCAGATGAGCAATTTAATCGTGTATTAACTGCCTATTATCACTCTTATCAATGTTTAAATTGTCAACATTATCAACATTATTAACATTATTATTATCACTCCAAGTTTCAATTAAACTTGTCATCGGTTGATTGTTAAACACATCAGTCAATAAATATTGAAGTAAAAGTTGATTTTGCTTTGAAGGTAACAGTGAAGATGAAATTGATGATGTAGATGAAGAGGAGATTGGTAATGATGATCTTTGATGATTAGTTGATAATTGATTAAATTTATCATCATCCGATGATGGATTAGTCCAAGAAGGGGAAGAAATGAAGGAACCTTTCGAGTGAATATAATCCGACTCCAGATCACCATTTCGTTTACCAAATCGTAAAGGTTCTCGCCATCGGCAACGTCGACATTTCATTTCAAACTCGGATCGCTGGCATATATTAAAACACCGAGCAACCCCACCAACTGTACCAGGTGTAAAGAGAGTGACCATTAAAAGGATCGCATAGACGGTAATAGCGCAACCTAAACATGGGTTAACCCTTCTCAAAGAGATGACCAGTGATGAACCCATAATCAGGTTGGACACACACACAGACACGGGTGTAACACACAATCAGTTAATTATCTAAATCAAAGAAAAGACAAATGATTGCATTAATGAATATTAATCAACATTGTTAACATTTACAATTAATTAACTTAACAATTTATCAACTTGTTGCGTTTCATATTTGCTGAGACCAAAAGGTTTCCTCTCTTCAAATGTTAATTCAACTGTTCAATAATATTAATCCGTATAATTACAATACATTAAACAATAGTTTATTTAAATTGCTCATTACAGGTTAATTGGTTAAAAGTGAAAAGGTAAAAACATTTACATTTATTAATTAGAGTTGATTTAGCTAAAGTTAACTAACTTTTTCTTGTGTTGACTTTGCTTATCTTTGATTGTATTTCATCTTTAAGTCTCTAAATTGACAACAATTAACTCAATTTGATCACGATATTAATATTACTCTCTTCCGGATTGTTTAATTGTTCAATAGTTAACTGTGTTAATCAATTTAAACAACATTTTGTTACAAGTTAATCAAACTAATTGATTATCGATTGTTATTATTACTCAATGAAAGCAGATTGGTAAACCACTAATAATAACAATTACTTGCAATCAATATCGATTGTTTTACCAATTAAATGATTATTAGATTAATTAATTGGCTGAAAGCTGATTTAACGGTGAATTGACTTACCTCGCAAAAGTTGATTAACAATGAAACTGAAGAGGAATATTTTAAATCACAAAATTTTGTCCAATTGTTTAGTCCAAAATGTTTACATTCCAGAGACACAATTTAATTTGATTTAATTAACGCAATTGTCAACAATTTACAGTGATTAATCAATGTTGAAGATTCAATTGTTGGACATTAAACAAATTTGGTTAAACAGAGGTTCACTTCAACTTATCCTTTCCTTTGTCCAACTTCAACTTGAGAATTGTTCAGAATTATTCAGAATTATTCTGACGATTTATATGTATATATATCCTACAGATTCTGTCTCACTCTCACTCTCTTCAAGAGGAAGATGAAGATGAAGATGAAAAAACATAAAAAAAGGTAAAATTTATTAATCTAAGAGAAGCACAAAATTGTGTTGGAGGAATGATATTTATTTGGACAACATTTACGCAGGTTAGGTTAGGTTATACAGGTTTTACGTCCCTGTATTTCAACGGAATTATTATGATTATTAATATTATTGATATTGATATTGGCTCAGCTAATGGGAGCAAATGAAATCACACATTTAATCATTTCCAATCTAATCATTTATTCATATTCACTTATTATCTTATTATTAATAGGGTTGCTCTTGACGAAAATGTTTTATTTTTTAACCTTTCAACCAAAATCTTGGCGATTCCTATGATTATCAAACAGCATTTATCCTCTCATTTCGTCTTCGTCTCAATCTTTTTCAGCCACTTCTCAATCGTTTTAGGTTAAACTCTCATAATCTATTTAAACGAAAATCTTCTCCATGAATTTTAGGCCTTTTCTCATTAGCTTTAGCCTGAAATAGTTAGTCTACATTGACATCTCTTTAGTAATTTTTCTTGAATTTTTAAAAATGAGTGAACCCAAGAATGTTTCGGATGCAAGGTTCAATACATTGAAACACGGGTAAAGGTTGACATGAAGATAATGAAGATGGTTCCTATTGAGTTTTGTTTTTATATTCGTATACAGTTTGAGGATGAATTAATTTAACTGTAACAACTTGACTTTATTTTGTCTTCTTTCCTGGAATCGATTGGAACATAAAATTGCAATGATTCAATGGAAACAACTTTTGTAACATTTTGTTGTTTAAGTGCTAATAGGAAGTCAATGAATTCAGTTGGCGTTCAATTGTTTATTAAATCAGGTTGAAAAAGTCAAAAAATCTTATTTTAATAACAAACTTGCCCTTAAATGTGCAATATTTTCCATCAATTTTAACCTTTTTTTCGAGTCTGTTTGATTCATCATTATTTGGATATAAATAAGTCTGGAGCAATGCATTGTTAAGCCCAGAACACAATTTCTCATTGCGCTGCTGCCATCTAGCAGTATAAACATGAAAAGTCTAACAAAAGTGCAGTTTTGTTTACAACAGATGCTCCCTCTGATGAATTAAAAAGTAACTCAATTTAAAACTACTTTTTTCACAGTCTATCAATCATAAGAGCTGACACGATGAAACAGGAGTTTTAACTTCAGTCAATAAAGTTCTTGTTTGCCAAGTGAATAAGAAGTACGATAAAAACTCTCGAGTTAAGAGGACTTTGCGGGTTTGTAGGGGCATAAAAACTCAGTTCATTTGTGCTATTAAAGAATTTCTCTGATCAACAGTTTTCGATAGGATCGAGGTCAAAGTCGAAACTTCGAATGTCTTTTGTTCAATCATGGAATCAGATTTTTTTAAACTCATTTTCTTGATGTAAATTTCGATGCCCAATCAGAATATGCACTTATTTTGAGAAATACTTTCGACCACTTTATGTGACCGTTAGAGATCTGAAACTTATTATTTGTCGATAAAAATTGTTGTTACATATCATGAATCGAACACTTTTTTCATTTATCGACATTTCTCTTGATTTTGGGCCTCAGTATTTCGAGAATGAAAGCGCTATATTACTCATGTTGTCATTTTCAGGAATCATTCGCCCCATTCGCCAAGTTTCAATCATTTTGTAAATAATTTTAAATATTTTTGTATTTAATTCAATAGAATAAAAATTTAGTTCCAAAAGAGTTATTTACATTCATTAATATTTTTTATTAACTTGTCAAATAACAAATGAAAATCCGTTGAAAGTTCGGCCTGATCAAACTGGAAAGAAAAAGATACCACACTAATGGATGGAATCAAAGGCAATATCAGTTTTTATTTGAATGATTTGAAAAGGTAAGAGAACGTGAATAATCGAAACAGTTTCAAATAAAATGTGATTGAAATGATCAGATGAACTGAGTTTATTCCTATATCGCCAATTTTTTACCCTTTCAAGAGAAGGTTTAAGCACAAAAAGCAAAAAATTATTAGCTATTATTTCATCTTCAAGTTTAGTAACTTGCGAATAGACCCTTGCTAGAAGTTTGCTCAAAGTTGTAAAAGAGCAAAAGATTGGCGAAACAGGCCAGAAGCAATCATGATTAGCAAAAAACTCCCTGTCCATCCTCAAACCATCTTTGAATTGATAGCACAATTCAAAAATTGAACAATCTAATGTTGATTATTGATGGTATCACAAATTTATTGATTAACCATGATAAATGAAGAGTGGATTAATCTATGAAATCTAAATAATTATGGAATAATTAAATTACAATTTGCAGAGCGCAACAGTGTAATTTAACAACTGGCAAACTAAATGGCAAAAAATGGTTAGTTTGATTTGGTTGAGAGGTTAAAAGATTCATTGAAATGGCAATCACAAATTAAAGTCAAATAATCAAGCGAAAGGATCAAACAAAAGTTTACAATTGGACAGATTGACCAACTGATAGGTTACATTAATTAAAAGCAGCAAAAAAAAGTTGATTTCATTTTAATTAATAGACAACACAAGTTAAATATATTAATAAATAGTTAGATTGTAAAAGCAGTTCAACTCCAAACATTCAAGTAATGCAATAGTGAATTCATTAAATAGCCAAATGACCAACTGAAAATACAATAAAATTTAACAAACCATAAACTTGAAGCTTTTTTGATTAAATTATAGAAGAAGAAAATGATAAATTAAAAAGACTGAATTAAATAATGGAGAAAAATTAAGTTGAAAAGTCGAACAAAAATGGCGAGAAAATGTTGATTGCGATTGTCGAAGTATAGATTGTGATTAAAGAAAAGGGCGAAAATGATTAATAATTGAATTGGTAGTGAAAAGATGACGATCTGAGGACAACAAACAAGGTTCACTGAAGTGTATAAAGCCAAGAGCGGGTCAGGTCAAGGTTTAAAGGCACAGGGTAAAACAGGTCGAGGCCTAAAACAAGGCAAAATCAACGGGAGTCGCGTGCCCTTTCCAAGTTAATCTTTGCTTTCTTACCTTTTCTGTTTCATTATTATTATTATTACATTTATTATTATTATTAATGGCAAAATGATATCCATAACTGTTAACCTCTGGGCTAACCGTATGTCAATCGACTTTTGGTGTCCCACTAAAGCCTTTTTACCTTCGGTCATAGATGACTTGCTCTACCGTTTAATTATTATCTGTTTTTGACTGCCAACTTAATATTATCATTATTATATTTCTTATTGTTTCCCTGTTTCTCTGCTTTAGTCTCTCTCTCTTCTTTATCATCATCATCATCATCATCAACAGCAACAACATCTTTTCCCTCTGATTCCTTGCTAATAACAACAGCAACAATCCCAACCTCAAGTCACAACTTGTAAAGCATCCAATCGTAACCTGAAGACCACATGTTGACTGTACATACAACGCAGACACAAATAAACCTTTCACACTTTACCTGCTTTCACTTTAACTTTTCAGCTTTTCTTCTTCTTCTTCTTACTGTAGTTGTAACTGTTTTATAATTTACCTTTTACTCTCCTGTGATTGTCGATAATTTAATGCATCACTTTACAGTATTCAATATTCATGATGAAACTTTGTTCATTAGAGATAAAATGCTTTGCAATATCAATTGTTGTTGGTGTTGATTGGAGTAGTGTTTCCCCGATACCTTTTTTTTGAGTAAAAGTATCGATACTTTGCCTGTCGATATTACTCGATACTTTGAAAAAAATACTCGATACCAAAAAAGCTCTTAATTTGATGAAATTATCAGGCAAAGTATTACAGAATTGAGAAAAAACCAGCTTTCAATTATTTCTGGAGACCATGAGAATGACTCACTGCATAAACTCACGCTTTAATTGTACTCATTAAATACTCGATACCTTTCCGATTGATACCGATACTTTTCACCGATACTTTTTTTCAATATCGGGAAACACTAGATTGGAGTTTATATTTGAATGCTAATTCTGATTTTTGGTTTTTGCAAAAGGTCATCATTTGTGCATCAATCGAAGCAAAATTATAATAGCTTAATATGCATTTATCAAAGTAAAGTTGATTTACACTCAAAATGTGCAAATTTAAACATTTTCCTCGATAGGTTGCAATCAAATCTCTTGATTTGAAAATAAAGTTGAAACTGAGACTCGGATTGATAAAGATAGTTCTTGATTCATTTTGATTCGGAATCAGCCGATTGTCTCATCAATTTCAAATGGATTGTTGAAACAATTTTCAAACAGTTTATAAACTGAAAATTGTTAGCTTCATTGTTACGGGATTGATGTAAAAACTGGTTGCAAGCAAAAGCAGATTAAACTAATTAGTTAGCTGATTAACAGTTGCATTTCATTCGAAAACTTTAATCATAATTTGATTCTTTTAGATAAGAGTCTTGATTTATAAATTCTGATGCTCGGCTTCATTTCGATTTGCAACAATTGATCAAAATTCACATTATTTACTATATTAAAATCGACTTTTATAATTACCAATTGATTTCCATCTAATTCAAGCACATTGTTTCTCAATTTAATCTCAACCCTTTTCTCACTCTGATTTACCTTTACTGCCCTTTATTAAAGTTTCATTTCAAGGATCGATCTTTTAAAGGTAAATTTTCCGATAAAATATCAAGAGTATAGCAAAATAGGCAATAAAATGTAATCCTTTCTTAAAGTTGAATATTAAATTACAATGGTCAATAAAAGAGTTTGAGATCAAAAGTTGATCACAAATTATTGGCAATTGTCTGTTTGAAATAATTTGCAAAACAATTGGCATAAAATTGCCAAATAAAAAGTTAACTCTAGTTAATCACCAATACATTGGACGTTAAACCTTGACTTACATGAATCACAAACATCGCCAAATCAGATGAAAATTAAGCTGAAAACAGAAGCTAAAGATGAAACAAAAGCTTCAAGTATCTAAATTGTTGCTGCAAAAGGATAAACTAAAAGTATAATTTAACATCAACAGTTTCAATAATTATTTGCAATGAAACAAAATTGATTTACAGATTGGAGTTAAAGTTGATTAATATTTACAACTTAACTGAGAGAAGTTAAACTCAAGTTTCATCATTTGGTTTAATTGTTCAACTCACAATCAGTTGCAATCAAATGAAAAGCTGAACTTGCAATGGATAAAATGAAAGACTTTTATTTGCATAAAAAGGCCTCAAAATTCTCATGCTAAATTACCAATCATCTAAACCAAACCAACTGAAAATGAATTGAAACAAAATTTTTGTCTAAAAAATTGAAACGGAACAGAGTGACAAAAGGTAAACGGAGAAACGCGGCCTTTTCACGTTCCCTTCACTTGAGTTTAGTCAACTTTGATATGATGTTTGTTCAGATTGCTAGCTAATTTGATTGAATCACCAAGAGTTAATTAGTAAATCGAAATGTAACATTTTGATTGGATGTAAATGATGAGTTGATTCAAGCTAAACATTTCAGGTTAATAATGAATCCTTTAGGAACCGCCTTTTGTCAACAGTAAATAGGAAACTCGAAAAAAAACTGTTTTCACTCAACATTATTTTACGCATGTATTTTGGTAATGAGAAGCAGCATTGGAGGTTTACCTTTATCATCCTCACCATCATCACCATCATTATTATTATCATCCTCCTCCTCCTTCATTCTTCCTCATCCCTTTGTCATCTTCCACCTTTGAAAGGTTAAAAGATTAAGTTTACAGTTTGATTTGGTTCAACTTGAAACAAGTTGACAAAAGTTTTATAATTATTATTCATTTTTTTGTCTCATTCCTATTCAATCTTTAAACATTTTTTGATTTGTTGAACAATTTTGTTTAGTTTTTTGTGCTTTTTCCAGTTTCAATATCATGAACATCAACAGGCGACTATTAAAGTGTGATTCAAGTGAATATTACAAGATTAAAGGTAAGTTTTGTTTTGCCTTTTCTTTGCCATTTCAGGGAAGAATTTCATTTTTTTGATTCGATATGTTTTACCATTTGAGATGCTATTGCAATAATGTAATGCATTTTGATGAGTTTTTCATTCTTTTATTTAAATTTCAATTTTATTGAGTGAAAGTTGAAATTTGATTCGATTGAAACAAGATGTCCATCTGATGTCCGTTTTAATCTAATAAATTGGTTTAATGGAATTGAGAAAAGAAGAAAATTGTTCAACAATTGAAAAGTTTCAAGTTTATTCAGACTTTATTTTCTGGTGTCAATAACATTTACTCAGGGTAAACAAATAAACCGAGACAAATCACAAAATAATCAATTAAAATTTATTTTTCATTTAAGTTTCACCAAAAGTGAGAAAATGATTTGCCAATGATTTTACGTTAATTTTGATTGATCAAATTGTTCAATTTAGAACTGAATAATCAATGATTAGCATGGAAAATGTCAACATTAACAGTTAATCCAAATAATTGATCAACATTTTCTGAAAATGAATCTGATTGTTAGGATTGTCTCTGCAGGTTTAATGAAACTTGAATCAACCTTTTAAATTTAATTTACTTTCATTGATTGCAGATTATAACGCTGTTGAGAACGGATTAAATGGATTAAAATCTTCAGACGATGAGCTTTACATTGAAACAGAAGATGGTAATTATTAGAAATTAATCAAATCATCAACATTGAATAATTTGGTTTTCGTTTTTTTCTTCTTTTCTCTCGGTCTTCTTTCCATTTTTAACAGCCTTACTTGAAGCTTCAAGTTTACTGTACAACTCACTGTACTACCATTGCTCGTGTCCTCCCTCCGGCTCATCTTCCTCTTTAACATATGGCTTACCTGTACTCTCACTGCATCATCATCGTCGAGGTTCACCTGTAATCAATGCTCGACACGCGCGTTCATCTTCACTTCATCCATCAACCGATGGCCATCATCCAGTTTACATTGGTGCAAATGCCTCATCAAGACTAACTTCAGCCTTAACCTCAACTTTAACCTCATCCACTTCAATGCCATCGACAACAGTATCCAGACCAAGTAGTACTATCACAAGTAACGCTCGATCACCAGCAATCACAACCAATTGCACAAATTCACCGACTCAACCCAATCTAAGTCTAATTTCACCAGAATTACTTTCCATTTATGGTTCAACTTATAAGATATTTCCAGGTAAGATTTCAATATTATCTCAAGATTTGCTTAATTCAAAGACAACAGAGTATCAAGAAGACAATATATCCCAACACTGTTCAGTAACGCTATCCTTCCAGATACTAGAATCTAAGCTACTCGCTAAGTTGTAAGCTAATCATCTAATGGAAAGTTTGCAATCTCAATATTTCCAACTAATCTGAATTACTCTCTAAAAATATCATAATTTGTGCCGAATTTTTCATTTTGTTTTTTTCTACTTTGAAAATTAAAACTTTGGTTTGACTTATGTTGATTTTATCAACAATGGCAACACGATTTGTCGTTTTAATTGTCAAATCAACTTTTTTTTTTGAAACCGATTCAAAAGATTCACAGAATTTAACTTTTTTGTTCGACTAAAAGTCATTCTGTCATTTCTATAAAAATAAGTTGAAATCGTCTATTGGATTGCAATCATCAAAATTGTTGGAAAACATTTGAAATTTCATGAAATAATCCATTTATTGCTATGAAATGCCCTGATGGATGAAAGGAAAAAGCGGGAAAAGTTTTCCTCTTTTATAAAAGTTATATTAATAAGTTTCGATAAACTTTCTCCTTCTTTCATCCTAAGACTGGGAGTGAAACCATATTTAATAATGATAATAATAACATCATAATTACCTTTTAACCTTAATAAAACCCGATGATTTGTACTCTTGTTGGCCACAAGGTCTAAAGTCACAAGCCAAGGTAAAGAAAAAAGGTAAAAGTTGAAATCAATGGTCCGTAAAACATTATTATTATTATCATTGTTATTGGTTAGCTTTGAGAAAACTTTGGATTGCAGTTGATACTCAGACTGAGGTTAATCACTTTTAATGGACAAACTTAGATTTGTACATTTTAACCTTTCTTTTGACCAATAACTTAATTACTCTTAATGGACATTAAAGTATCAACAAGTTACTAGATCAACAAATGGCCAGGAATCAAAGGTTAACTTTATTCAAATTTAACTAATCGATTCAATTAAAATGCCATTTTACCAGAAACAAGACACTTTATTTTTGCCTCTTTTTTCACAATATTTTGTAACTTTCGACCTTTTTTGACCTTTTTAATTAATTTTCTTGCTTTGCTAAAAGTCCATTGCTAACAATTAAACAGATTGATGATTAAAGCTTGAAACTGAAATTTGATTGAATGACAATGAACTCCAACTTGAGTAGGAAATTGATGATTAAAGATTGAAAGTAAATTTCATCTTTTTGCTTGTTCATACACTATTCTGGTGCCATTATTAATTGACTGTCAGTTGATTGTTAAGATGGTTGATTAAAAGTAAATGTTAACAAAGTTGACAACTTATTAGTCGCTCTATTAATTAAAACAAAAACACCAAAAAGAACCTCAAAACAACACCATTCAGTGGTTTGTTGTTGATGTTTTTTTTATCTTCCTTTGCTTGTAATCATTTCAATGTGTCTTCATCATGAATGATTGGAAGCCCTGGTGAAGCCAAACCACCTGTCATATGATGATCTGAATATGAGACTGAATAAAGGTTAGCTTAGGTTGGGAGGTAAAAAATGGTGAGGTAAAATGATGAACGCTTTAAACAAGGCTTAAGAAGCCAACAACATATGTATAATAGGGAGAGATAATGATGATGATGATGAAGATTAGTTGCAAATCAATCGGTTTTTTGTGTCATTTTAACCATTCATCCGATTGACAGACAAAATGTTGGCCCACCTTTCACAATTGAACAATGATAAGGAGAACCAAAAATATGTTGATTGTGATAGGCAACATATTATTGTAACTGTAATTCACTAAACCTATCATAATGATGATATTTTTTCTCTTCTTTTTGTGTCTCTCATTTGTTTCATCTAAATCAATTGAATCATTTGTTACATTATTATTTTGATTGATGATTAAAATTCACAAATTGCTACAATTACCAGTTGATCAAGAAGTAAAATTGCCAAAAAACAGAGAAGAGCAATGAAGAAGAATGGAAATAAGGAAAATGGTTTCTTCTAGTTTTGATTTTGATACTTTAATGTTAATTATTTAACCATTATTGCTATCATCATCATTGTCATCATCAATATCAATGATGATCAATGTTTAATGGTTGACTAGCCGGCTCGTGGCAACTCGCGGTACAACAGTTGTTCAAGCCTAACATATGAAGTTGAAAGTTGATCCTAGATCAGTCATAGTTAAGGTTTCAGATTTGGAGTCAGACATCAACATTGGTCTTAATTGTCATTAGCAATTACGTTAAATCTGACATTTTCTGGTTAAAATTGAAATTGAATAAACAGTCCGATTAAAAAAAAGGTAAAATTGGTTGTTTGATTTGTTGAATTGTTGTTTATTGTTGATATTCAACTCTCACAACCTGATAATAAACCTTACCAGAAATCAAATAGAGGTTGTTAATTTAAACAAGCTGCTATTGATGGATTGACATTAAAAGCAAAGATTGAAAGATGAAAATATTGTAAAACCGGAAGATTCTGTGATCAGTTAGATCAATGATTGTGATATTAATAGTACAATAAATAATGAAAATGATAATACTAATATAATATGGAAAGGTGATTAAACAGAAGAAGAAAAAGTGAGGAAGGAAAAATTATAAATATCATAATGAAACTGAAAAGTATATGAACAAGAAAAAGGTAAAAATATTTTTTTCTTTTCAATATTGATGTCTATGGTTCGATGACTTTTCACTGAAATCAAATAGACAACCAATAGACAAATTGTGCTCCATTGTAATCAATCAAATGGATCAATTGTAATTGTCTTTCACAAGGTGCAACTATTTCAATTGATTTATATATGAACAGATGAGGTTAAGATGATTAAGACGCCATGATCCATGAATATCTAATGGTTAAACATTGGCATTGGCTTTTAATTTGAATATATTTTCTTGTCTGATTTGCTTTGTTTTTTGAATGCTCGCCACATTATCCTTAAATGTAATAAATGTTTTTTTACCATTTAACAGAACCTTTACCGTTTGATGAAGGTAAATCAGTTATTTCGTATCATTCCCGGTTACCATTTATTGACTCGTATGGCACAGTTAAATCTAAATTTGTTAATTTTGATCCAATCAAAAGTCCAGTTCGTAATGAGAATATAGTCCCGAATGGATTTGCTTTCACTAACACAGCAAGTGTCTCGGATTACTCTATAGCGTCGCTGCTTGACTTGAAGGTTAATAATACTTGCAGTTTGGATGAACCTCTTAATTTAACCAACAAACCAGTTAATGTAACTTCAATTACAACAACCTCATCAACATTATCATCATCTCCGTCGTCCTCATCATCAGTTTTAACTCCACCATCAGCCAGACCAACGACAACATTGAAGGCAACAGTTGTGTCTAGTAAAGACAGTGAAGAGTGCAGGTCATCATCATCCATAAACTCTCATCTTCACTCATCAACTCAGTCAAATTTGAAACCATCTTCTAATAATGTTAACTACAGTAATATCAGCACTCTATCATCATCATCATCGTCGTCGTCCTCGTCAACAACGACAACAACCCAGTCAAATAAAATATCCTCGCCAGATGGAAGACATTTTAAATGTAATCAATGTAATAAACTGTTTAAGCGATCGTCAACCCTATCAACTCATCTCTTGATTCATTCAAATACACGACCCTTTCCATGTCCTTTCTGTGGTAAACGATTCCATCAAAAGTCGGATATGAAGAAGCACACTTATACCCATACAGGTGAAAAGCCTCATAAATGTGCCGTCTGTGGTAAATCGTTTAGCCAATCATCCAATTTGATAACTCACACAAGGAAACACACAGGTTATAAACCCTTTGCTTGTGATTATTGTCCCAAAGCATTCCAAAGGAAAGTGGATTTACGGCGTCACCGGGAGACTCAACATCATTATAAAGATTAAGCAAAGGTAGACTTGGATTTGATCTCGACATCTTTTAATTAATCAAATTGTAGTCCAGAACAGTCCTTATTTATTTTACCAAAAATCGGGACTGACAAAATCAATGAAAATTATCATAACCATATCAAAATCACTTCATCGATCTTTTAAGTTTTATAATTTTGTTTCCTCTTTTCATGTATTGTAAATAAAATCATCCAAAAATGAACTGTTTTAAATTGTATCAAAATCGCTGTTTTTATTTATCATCTATTATCATAATATTTACGATCGTTAGATTGTTCAACAATTGAAACGAGGTTAGCATGCTCTTTAATATCTAGTAAACAAAGAGTTACAGCTAAATCATTAAGACAAAGAGATGACTAATTTTTGATTTGGTTAACTCTACACCAATTTGTATCACAAACATCATTGGAATGATAAGTGAAATCAAATGATTTATTCAGTCATTAAATAGATCAGTCTTAACATCCATGTTAGCGACTTTAAACTCTTCTATCGTAGTTGCAAATAGACTGGATTATTTTTCGCTTTATTTCATTGATTTTAGCTGCAAAAAGTCCCGATTTTGTTTTTAAAACAAAACTTTAACATGTTTTATCGAGCAATTTTAAAGATATAAATTGAATAATGTAAAATTAATGAATTCAAGGTCTTTTAATCATAACTACAATCAACAAACAAATAAGTTAAATTTAGCACCTGTTGAAGGTGTAAACATATAAGCATTAGCCAACTACAAATCATTATACTTATCATTGTATTTTCCTCTATTTTGGTAATTAGAGTGACTATTAATTCAAACGCAGCAATAAGTTACCTGTTAAAATTAAAACAGACACACTAATTACACAAGGTGTAAGCACATAGAGTCTTAGTAACGGAAGCCTGCAGTTGAAAGCCTATACTGGGCTCTTTTATGAGAATGAAAATTAAATTGTTTTGTTTGTTCAGCCAAATATTATATTAATTAATTAATATCTCTCAGGTTAGTCGGATTTTAGGATTAAATTAAGGATCAGCTTACAAATGATTGGCGAATAATACAAATTTTATAATAAATTTACAACATTAAATGATGACCTAGAGGTAAATTGAATTAGCACAATCCAAAAATGATAAATTCCGGACTTTCCTTAAGTACCCCATAAAACGCGAATAATCACTACTGTTTTCAAAAAATGTCAGATGTAGATGACACAAAGTGGATAATGTGGTGAAAGTGCTAGGTCCATTTGTTGCAAGAAAAGAAAAAACAAAAATAGAATTTTCAACTCATTTTGAAGCAAATCTATGTTAATCCTCACATATCATATCATACACACCATATCAATACAATATCATTTCAAGATTGCGCGATTTACAAAAAGTAATGGAAGAAAAATGAATAACAATATCAGTATCAGTGGACAATTCTTGCTCTCCAGCTATTCATTCAGAAGAATGAGCAATTTATCAGCGATACTTTTACGTAATATCAAAAATTTAAAGTTGAAAAACTCGATCGAATACGATCAAGCAAGCTTTTCAATCAATGTCTGACGCATATTCTGTTGTATCACGCTAGGTCCAGCTGATTCGTTAAGTTTAAATATGTTTTCAATCAATGAAAGTTCAGTTGCAGTTGTATCGAAACCACAAAAAGCACTCCAATCATTTACAACCATTCCTCCACCAATAACATCAGAACCTCGATTAACAGTTCCAGCAACAAGAGGTAATTGTAGGAGAGTTGATAATTCATTCATGTGTTCAATATTTGCCTTTGGATGGACAAGACCGCCTAATAAAAAAACAATATAGAAATATTAGAGCACTGTTAAAATGTTAATATGTTAGCATGTTAAGGATGGACAGATTCAACAACAAACCTTGATTAGAAAGAGCACAGTAACTTCCGACCAGAACTTGATCTGCGATAGTCTGTTTGAAAACTTCTACATTCAGTGTGTCAATTAATATCTCTTGAGTATCTTTATCAAGATCAGGGTGCACCAAAGCGACATAATCATTGCAAGCAATTACATTTCCTAGAGCAGATAATCTTTCCTCAACTCGTTCGATTTTAACAGAATCAGGTAGTGAGTTTCTTAAATGTTGTAATTCTTGGTCAGTAGTTGTATTTGGTACCAATAAACCATGTCGATTTCCAACAGTTAATCTGCCAACGATACGACATCCACCAATAGATGCATGGATGACTGGAATACTGTCACTCAATTCAGCTTCAAATATTGAATAAAAATTTTGTGATCCTCCGATAGCAACCAAACAATAGCTATTAGTTAATTTAGCAAATACACCAACTTCATCGTTTGATTCAAATTGTACTCTGAAAGCCATGATTCTTTAGAGAAAGGTGTTGATGGAAACCTTAAAATTAAAAGACAATCAAATAAATCACAATAGAAAATAAAGAAAAATTAAACAACAACAAGTGTAAATTGGTTACATGCTTCTTTTCCTATGAGCAAAAAGCAAAGGTTTTCACATATTTACTGATCTCACGTGACTAGAAAGTGAAAATAGTATTTTGCTATTTTCACAGCAGCAAACCGAGAAAACTTATTTATAAATTAACAATCGCCGAAGTTTGTATGATTTGAAAAAATAAGAAACGCGAATAATCACAGTTGTAATCGTCACAGTCTGAGATTTAAATATAATAAGCACAACAATTGTGTACATTATTATGGTCGAAGTACAAACGTATTCATTCCAAGTTCTGTGTTGCATCAAAGAAGGCAAATAAAAATGAAAGAAAAAAAATAGCAAAAAAAGTAAATGATAGACCAAATTCAGAAGTCAGAGAAACTTACTTTCGAAAATTATTAAGAAAACAAATGTTGACATACATGTAATAGGAGCTGGAATTTACTTGATAGGTAGGAGAGACGATGGAAACAGTATGATTTGAGTGGACCATCAGTAATCATATCGCAAATGACTCTCATGTCATCAATAAACTGATGAAGAGATGGAAATGGATAACGGATTGGTTGACCCTTTTCCAGATCCTCTTTGTTCTTGTAAACCTGGCAAATTCCCTTGTCCATTTTAAGCAAATAGTTGGCTGACTGAGGAATAGGTATATTCCAGGGTTCTTTGATTGTAAGAGCTTCCACGTCATAATGTACTGTTGTCGGGGGATATCAAAGAACGATAACATCCAATTAAATCCAAAATGATACATCCAGTGAGATCCATGTTGGATGGGAATATAATAATAAAAACATTAGAAAGGTCGAGAATCAAAGGAGCATTTCCATAATTCATTCGTAGTCAATACAATTGATTTTTAATTCTTAAGTTAGTTGCATCACCTGTTTTAAAAAAATAGGATATAACTGACCAGATGAACCAGGAGTTGTTTCAACTTCAGCCAATCAATTTTTTTGTTTACAAAGTGGATAATCTGGTGAAATTGTTAAGTCCATTTGGTGGAAGAGAAAACCCAAATTTTCGTCAAACTCGTTTGAAGCAAATCCTATGTTAATCCTTTACTTTTTTAGAAACTCTAAAGAGGAATGTTTCAAGTCCATAATCTCGTTTTTCCAAAGTGGACTTTTACACAGACCAATTCTTTTACAGTTGCTTAAAATTTTAGTAAAATTTTTAGTTTAACACACAGTTTGAGAATTGAAAGTTTGAATGAATTGAAATGAATAAATTTATCTTAATTTCGTTTTTAATTATATTCAATTGTGGCTTCGCGGTTTCGCACATAAACAATGAAACTGTAAAAACAATTTTTGAAATTATTGCACCATACTTTCGAATAGACCGCTTGCAAGGTAAGTGAACAGATTGAAATACATTGTAATATTGTTCAATGTTTCTTTTTCCTTTTCTTTTTCTTTTAATATTTCTTTAATTTTTTTGAGACAGTTTTCAAAGGTCCCAAGTGCTTCTCCGATTTAGGATGCTTCGAAAACCGAAGAACATTTCAACACCCAATTTTCCGACCAATATCCTTGTCTCCAGAAGAACCGGAAAAAATTGAAACAAGATTTTTTTTATATTCTAAGCCTGGCCAGATAGTCCCACAACTAATCAACCACAATAATATAACAAGGAGTAATTTCAACCCAAAATTGCGAACCATTTTTGCTGTTCATGGTTTTTACTACGCCAATTATCTTGGTCAATATCAAATAGTAATTAATTTCCTTTTTTTGTAGTGCTCTAGTGATTCAAACAAATCTATTCTTTTGAATTTCAGGAATCATTTCACAAATTAAAAAACGCCTTATTCATCAAGGAAAATATTAATTATATTTTCGTTGATTGGGGCAAAGGAGCGTCAACATGGTACGCCCAAGCCACAGCAAACACTCGAGTTGTTGGTGCTCAGCTTGCCCAATTAATTGAAAAAATAACTTTAAAATTCGGAATTCCAAAAAATAAAATTTGGTTGATTGGCCATTCATTAGGAGCTCATGTTGTGGGCTATGCTGGTTCAATTGCTAAAAACCTTGGCCGTATCACTGGACTAGATCCAGCAAAACCTTATTTTGTTGGCATGCCAAATGAAGTTCGTTTAGATGCTGGAGATGCACTTTTTGTGGATGTTATCCACACCAATTCGCCACAAATTAATCAACCATTTGGAATCGGATTGCGTGAGGCCATTGGTCATCTCGACTTTTACCCGAATGGAGGTAATATGCAACCAGGATGCTTCAAAGAAGAAGTTGGTGCTTTTTCAAAGTCTATTGAATATGGGATACAAAAATTGGCGATTTGCAACCATGAAAGGTCAATTCAAATGTTGGCGTCAGCAATCGATGTTAGTAATTGTGAAATGATTGGTTACAAGTGCGCTTCTTTCTTGGATTTTAAACAAGGAAGTTGTTATTTATGTGGTCCAGATGGACAAAACTGTGAAATAATTAATAACCCAAGACCAGGACATCAACAGAATCAAAAGTATTTTTTGCTTACCAATTCGGAGCCACCATTCTGTGTTCATCATTACCGGATTTCAATAAATTTAGGGGATATGCCAGCTTCTTTCGGACAAATGGTTATTCATACTACTTTAATTAGTTCCGAAGCTAAAGCTTCAGGTCATTCTGGTAGAATTATGATGAGATCGCATAAATCATCTGCATTTTTATTAACAGGTGACCGTTTGATCGAAGATCTAAATCTAATGTTAGAATTATTTATTGAATCGGAATTCCACCATGGAACCATAAATATTAGAAATTTAAATATTACTCCAATGTATTATTTGGATGACAAAATGAAGATGAAAATGCAAAGACATTTAAATAATTTGAATATTGTTACAAACCAAAAAGTCAAATTTAAGTTTTAGTTTTAATTTAAATATGTTTGATGTATTTTACACCAATCGTTTGATTCAAATTGTACTCTGAAAGCCATGATTCTATACAGAAAGCTATTGATCAGATCCTTGAAATCAGAAGACAATCAAATAAATCACAATAGAAAATTTTAATTCACAAAACATTCATGCTTAAGTATTTCATTCTTTAAGTTACGACTATAAATTGCTAATCCGAATTGAGTATTTTGAAATTTGCAATCCTTTTTCTACTCTCGTCTTCTTCTTTCTCATATCTCTTCTTTTATTCTCTCGCTTCATTTATTTTTCTCAGCCACCCTCCAAGAAAACTCGTTTACACAACAACAATCGGTAAAACAATTGAATAGAGTAAGAAAACGAAATGAAATATAATATAAATAGGCATATAAATATAATACACAGTATCATTTTATGATTGCTCGATGTACAAAAAGTAATGGAAGAAAAATGAATAACAATATCAGTATCAGTGGACAATTCTTGCTCTCCGTCTATTCATTCAGAAGAATGAGCAAATTATCGGTGATACTTTCACGTAATATCAAAAATTTAAAGTTGAGAAACTCGATTGAATACGATCAAGCGAGCTTTTCAATCAATGTTTGACGCATATTCTGTTGTATCACGCTAGGTCCAGCTGATTCGTTAAGTTTAAATATGTTTTCAATCAATGAAAGTTCAGTTGCAGTTGTATCGAAACCACAAAAAGCACTCCAATCATTTACAACCATTCCTCCACCAATAACATCAGAACCTCGATTAACAGTTCCAGCAACAAGAGGTAATTGTAGGAGAGTTGATAATTCATTCATGTGTTCAATATTTGCCTTTGGATGGACAAGACCGCCTAATAAAAAAACAATATAGAAATATTAGAGCACTGTTAAAATGTTAATATGTTAGCATGTTAAGGATGGACAGATTCAACAACAAACCTTGATTAGAAAGAGCACAGTAACTTCCGACCAGAACTTGATCTGCGATAGTCTGTTTGAAAACTTCTACATTCAGTGTGTCAATTAATATCTCTTGAGTATCTTTATCAAGATCAGGGTGCACCAAAGCGACATAATCATTGCAAGCAATTACATTTCCTAGAGCAGATAATCTTTCCTCAACTCGTTCGATTTTAACAGAATCAGGTAGTGAGTTTCTTAAATGTTGTAATTCTTGGTCAGTAGTTGTATTTGGTACCAATAAACCATGTCGATTTCCAACAGTTAATCTGCCAACGATACGACATCCACCAATAGATGCATGGATGACTGGAATACTGTCACTCAATTCAGCTTCAAATATTGAATAAAAATTTTGTGATCCTCCGATAGCAACCAAACAATAGCTATTAGTTAATTTAGCAAATACACCAACTTCATCGTTTGATTCAAATTGTACTCTGAAAGCCATGATTCTTTAGAGAAAGGTGTTGATGGAAACCTTAAAATTAAAAGACAATCAAATAAATCACAATAGAAAATAAAGAAAAATTAAACAACAACAAGTGTAAATTGGTTACATGCTTCTTTTCCTATGAGCAAAAAGCAAAGGTTTTCACATATTTACTGATCTCACGTGACTAGAAAGTGAAAATAGTATTTTGCTATTTTCACAGCAGCAAACCGAGAAAACTTATTTATAAATTTGTAATCGGTAAACCTTAAAGTTGGTATAGCGCCAATTTAGCGACTTAGGCGGTTGAAGCTGATATGTCTGTTTTAGGTGGAGATCAGCTACGGACAATATTGTAAAGTTCATCCACGAATGTTGCATACCGATAAGCAATCCGAGCATGGACGAATTGGGTAAACCCGGGTGTATATGGTTGGAGTAGTATGATGCTCCTGAGATTTGAATATAATAAGTACTTGTACATTTATTATGCACAAGTTATTAACGTAAAAACAATAATTTGTCAGTCAAGTCAAAATACTAAATCAAAACATCACAAGACGGATTGGTATTAAAAATACTGCTGAGTTCGGTGATATTTAAAAACAGTGTTTGCAATTCCAATTTGAACCAGATAGTAAAGATATAGTAGAACCGGAGCTTTTCGAAGGAGAGGACCATGAGATATGTTTTCACTAACAAGGGAAGTGAGGGTAGTGGTACGGTTAGAATCGAATAAAAAGTGTATAATTCTATTGGTCATGATGAAAATAGTTGGTTACCGTACAAAGTTGAGAACGCAATTGTCCTTTTCTACCTCGAAATTCGATCATTGCTTCTCAAAGCGCATAAAGGCATAGTGAATATAATAATAAATTTTGACTTTTCAACAAACCAAAAGTTTACCTCTGTGGTAAGCTACACAATTTCAGCTTACCATTGAGGTTAACTTTACCGAAACTTGACGACTTTAACCTTCGACTCACAAGCAAAATTTTATCTTATTTCAACATGATATTTGAATATGTAATTCAGATTGAGCATTGAGAAAAAAATCAATGATGATAAGGGTTGGAAGGTGACGCGAGTTGAAATTCATGATTATATTCACTATGGCTTTATGCGCTTTGAAAAGCAATGATCTCGAATTTCGAGGTAGAAAAGGACAATTGCGTTCTCAACTTTGTATGGTAACCAACTATTTTCATCATGACCAATAGAATTATACACTTTTTATTCGATTCTAACCGTACCACTACCCTCACTTCCCTTGTAAGAAGATAACCTCCGACCAAATGCTGGATATGACCAGCTTCACCGCAATGAGGTCGAAGTACAAACGTTGTTGCACCCAAGAAAATATCCATTGTGATCCAAGTATACATATGATAGGATGAAAATAAATAAAAACATTAGAAAAGGTCGAGAATCAAAGAAGGCATTTCCTTAAATCGAATGGAGTCAATACAATTGATTATTAATTCTTACCTTATTGTTAGTTGCATTCACTTGTTTTCAAAAAATAGGATATAACTGACCAGATGAACCAGGAGTTGTCCCAACTTCAGCCAATCAAGTTCTTTGTTTGCAAAGTGGATGATCTTGTGAAATTGTTAAGTCCATTTGGTGGAAGAGAAAAACCAAAGATCGAATTTTCAACTCGTTTTAAGCAAATCCAATGTTAATCCTTTACTCTTTTAGAAACTCTGGAAAAGTGAAGTTTCACACAAACCAACTCCAACTCATTACAGTTGTTTCTTATTTTACAAAAATTTTGTGTTTGAAAAATGAATAAATTTATCTTAATTTCGTTTTTGATTATATTCAATTGTGGCTTCGCGGTTTCGCACATAAACAATGAAACTGTAAAAACAATTTTTGAAATTATTGCACCATACTTTCGAATAGACCGCTTGCAAGGTAAGTGAACAGATTGAAATACATTGTAATATTGTTCAATGTTTCTTTTTCCTTTTCTTTTTCTTTTAATATTTCTTTAATTTTTTTTGAAACAGTTTTCAAAGGCCCCAAGTGCTTCTCAGATTTAGGATGCTTCGAAAATAGGCAAACATTTCAACACCCAATTTTCCGACCAATATCCTTGTCTCCAGAAGAACCGGAAAAAATTGAAACAAGATTTTTTTTATATTCTAAGCCTGGTCAGATAGTCCCACAACTAATCAACCACAATAATATAACAAGGAGTAATTTCAACCCAAAATTGCGAACCATTTTTGCTGTTCATGGATTTTACTACGCCAATTATCTTGGTCAATATCAAATAGTAAGTACTTTGATTTTTTGTGTCTTAATAATTTAATTCAATCTCTTTTTTTTCATTTCAGGAATCATTTCGCAAATTGAAAAAAGCCTTGTTCATCAAGGAAAATATTAATTATATTTTCGTTGATTGGGGCAAAGGAGCGTCAACATGGTACGTCCAAGCCACAGCAAACACTCGAGTTGTTGGTGCTCAGCTTGCCCAATTAGTTGAAAAAATAATTTTGAACTTCGGCGTTTCAAAAAATAAAATTTGGTTGATTGGCCATTCGTTAGGAGCACATGTTGTTGGCTATGCTGGTTCAATTGTGAAAAACATTGGCCGTATCACTGGACTAGATCCAGCTAAACCCTATTTTGTTGGCATGCCAAATGAAGTCCGTTTGGATGCTGGAGATGCACTTTTTGTGGATGTTATCCACACCAATGCACCGCAAATTAGCCAGCCATTTGGATTTGGGACTCGGCAAATACTTGGTCACGTCGACTTTTACCCAAATGGTGGTAATAATCAGCCAGGGTGTATAAAAGAAGAAATTGCTGGTTTCTTCGAATCTCTGCAATATGGACTGCAAAAAACTTCCATATGCAACCATGAAAGATCAATTCAAATGTTGGCGTCAGCAATCGATGTTAGTAATTGTGAAATGATTGCACACAAGTGCGATTCTTTCTTGGATTTTAAACAAGGAAGTTGTTATTTATGTGGTCCAGATGGACAAAACTGTGAAATAATTAATAACCCAAGACCAGGGCATCAACAAAATCAAAGGTATTTTTTGCTTACCAATTCGGAGCCACCATTCTGTGTCCATCATTACCGGATTTCAATCCATTTAGGAGATCTGCCAGCTTCAATCAAACAAATGGTTATCTTTCATTTGAATTTAACCAGTTCTGGAGCTAAAGCTTTCGGCCACTCTGAGAAAATCTCACTAAAGTCACATGCATCATCTGCATTTTTAATAACAGGTGACCGTTTGATCGAAGATCAAAATCTAATGTTAGAATTATTTATTGAATCGGAATTTCACCCCGGAACCATAAATATTAGCCATTTGGAGATTACTCCAATGTATTATTTGGATGACAAAATGAAGATGAAAAAACAAAAACATTTAAAAGATTTGAATATTTTTATAAACCAAAAAGTCAAATTTAAGTTTTAGTTTTAATTTAAATATGTTTGATGTATTTTACACCAATCGTTTGATTCAAATTGTACTCTGGAAGCCCTAGCTTAAGTATCCCATTCTTCAAGTTCACGACAATAAATTGCTAATCCAAATTCAGTATTTTGATATTTTCTGTCCTCTCGCTGTCTTCTTCATCGCTATTTTTCTCAGCAACAAACCGAGAAAATTTGTTTACGCAACAACAATCGGTAAAACATTCGAATAGGGTAAGAAAACGAAATGAAATATAATATAAATACAGTATAAGTACAATACACAGTATCATTGCTTGATTGTATGATTGCTTGATTTACAAAAACCAAAGGCTAGTGAAAGCCTTTCACTGATTTACTGATCTCATGTGACTAGAAAGTGAAAATAGTGTTTTGCTATTTTCACATCAGCAAACCGAGAAACCTTATTTATAATACAAAGCAAAAATCAATAAAGTTGTATGATTTGAAAACAATAAAAAACGCGAATAATCACAGTTGCTTTAAAAAATGGGATAAAACTGACCAGATGAACTAGAAGTTGTTTTGACCTCAGACTGATTCTTGTTTTTCAGGTTTATGTTTGCAAAGTGGATAATCTGGTGAAATTTTTAAGTCCATTGGTGGAAGAGAAGAACCGTAGATCGAATTTTCAACTTGTTTTGAAGCAAATCTGGGTTAATCCTTCACTTTTTTTAAAAGCTATAGAGAGTACTTTTTCTAGAGTAATTTAGAAAAAATTCAAGAAAAATATTTCGTTCTCAAAAGAATATTGTTTTTTATTAACTTGTCAAATGTCAAATTAGCTTAAAGTTGGTGCAGCGCCAATTTAGCTACAAATTAAGCGGTTGAAGCTGATCTATCTCTTTTAGGTGGAGATCGGCTTCGGAAAATATTGGAAAGTTCATCCACCAATGTTTCATATCGATAAGCAACCCGAACATCGGGTAAATTGGTTCGAGTAATATCATTGCAAGCAACTCCTTCTTTAGCATAATCAGGTCCAATCCAATGTTGCTTAACCTGCGTTGAGGGATGCTCCTGAGATTAATCATTTGAATATAATAAGCATAATAATTATGTACAGGTTACTTAGCGTTTAAAAAATTATCATTTGTAAATTTGTTAGGGAATTCAGAAATGTTAAATCAAAACGTCTCAATACAGACAATAAGAAACATTTTATCCAAGTCAGAAGCAGACAAAAATGTTTAACAATTAGAAATCTTATTGCTATTATTGATTAAAAATCGAGGTTGACAGTTTTGACAAACAATAAGAAAAGGCATTTGAATAAACTAACAAGAGTTTTCTAATGAACTTACTTTGATTGGGAATCCACTCATAAGTACACTATTACGTGCTAATTCACACATATCACAACTGCTCAACTGCCAAATGTGAGTTGCATTACTGTATTCCTCCATCAAAGGTTCCTGAAACAATGAATAAAAGATTAGTTATCATTGAAAAGTATTCATATTCTCCATAATGCTAACCTTAGTGAAATGAAATTGAAGAGGATCATCTGTTGATAGAGAAACCATTAATCCTCGAAACAGATAATCTGGAAAAGGATTTCGGTGATATTTCAAAAACAGTGAGTTATTTGACAATGGGCTCATTGCAATGCCAATTTGAGCCAGATAGTAAAGATATTGTAGAACCGGAGCTTTTCGAAGGAGAAGACCATGAGATATGTTTTCACTAAGAAGATATCCTCCGACCAAATGCTGGATATGACCAGCTTCACCACAATGAGGTCGAAGTACAAACGTATTCATACCACGTTCTCTGTTGCACCAAAGAAAGCAAACAAAAATAAAAGGAAAAAATAATTAGCAAAAAATGTAAATGATAGGCTGAATAGGAAGTCAAATAAACTTACTTTCGAAAATTATTAAGGACACAAATGTTGGCATACATATAATATAAATAATAATTGTAGGGAGGATTATCAAGAGAGTTCCATTCGTTTGGAAGTGGCATTCCTTTATGGACAATTGCGTTTTCAGGTTTACTCTCATCGTCAACCGAATCAAATCCAGTAACATAAGTAAGAAATTTGTGCAGTTCTGGGTGCTGTTCTGGGTTATTTGTAGCCTCGAACAATGGAAGAAATATGTTTGCGAGAATTTGCTCAAAATTTGCAACCAAATTATTAGATTTGTAGATATCACTATAAAATAGGAAAGGATGAGAAAATTAAATTAGCTAATTTTGAAAAACATTGTAAACATACAATACTCACTATAACCTTGGTATTTGAATTAACCATCTAATGTTGTCCGAGTAAACATTATGAGTTATTGCCCATTTTGCTAAAGTGTCCCATTCTTCAAGTTTACGGCCATAAATTGATAACCTCAATTCAGCATTTTGATATTTGCTGTCCTCTAAATCGCTACCAACCTCCTGTAAATTCAAGATGAAAAAGTATTATGAGTTAAAAAATTTAAATTTAGATTTAGATTTCTACAAAATCTTTAGTTACCTTTAAAATCTGTGCGAAATATTTTCCTCCAATATAGTTATCAGTTTTCAGAAAAATTTCTCTCAATCGACTTTCACCAATTGGGTTATATTTTGCATTGAATTTGTCAAATCGGTGAAAAGTATTTCGATCCTGGATAAATGAAATGAAAGGTTAAAATATGCTGATGATATTAGCAAAAAAGAGTGTTTAAAGAGGTCAATTGACAATGAATGATCACAAACTTTAACTTAAAATCCGAGATTCTGAATTTTGTAAATATCATGTCGCAATTGTACTCAATTTGAAGTGATACAATCTGAGAAGCAAATGTTCAGAATAGGAAATGATAATTTATATATACTACGTACTACATACTATCGGTATATGTTTTACTGAAATGGGTTGTTCAAGTTTAAATGGTCTGATCAACAACTGATTTGAGTTCTGTTAACTGCTTAAAGGTGCATTTTTTGACATTTTGGACAGCGAAAATTGATTGGCTTACCGCATGAACATCCAACATGTCAACTGATAGATCATAAGAGGTAACGTTAAGAGATTCAAAGACTTTTTCAAGTGTCATTGGTTTCCCTTTTTCATCCAAGCAGACAAGATCCTGTGGAGATGTTTTCATGGTTTTCTTGATAAACCTAAGAAGATGTTTCTGATTCATACAAGATGCAGCATGAACATGGGTATCAACCTTACGAATGTTGTAAAAATCTCGATGAGGGACAGCCTTTTGCGCGGATAGCTCTCTTTTGTCATTTAAAATAACATGGAGCTGGAATTTACTTGATAGGTAGGAGAGACGATGGAAACAGTATGATTTGAGTGGACCATCAGTAATCATATCACAAATGACTCTCATGTCATCAATAAACTGATGAAGAGATGGAAATGGATAACGGATTGGTTGACCCTTTTCCAGATCCTCTTTGTTCTTGTAAACCTGGCAAATTCCCTTGTCCATTTTTAGCAAATAGTTGGCTGACTGAGGAATAGGTATATTCCAGGGTTCTTTGATTGTAAGAGCTTCCACGTCATAATGTACTGTTGTCGGGGGATATCAAAGAACGATAACATCCAATTAAATCCAAAATGATACATCCAGTGAGATCCAGGTTGAGTAAATCAAGGTATTAATAAGATTAGATGGAAATAAAAACATTAGAAAAGGTTGAGAATCAAAGAAGGCATTTCCATAAATCATATGGAGTCAATACAATTGATTATTAATTCTTATCATAGTTGAATATATAAGCTTCTAACCTATTCTTAGAAACTATAATATTACCTTTATTTAATGGCCTTAACTAAGAAAGAAAAACTAAGAATCAATGAAAGAAAAAAACACTATAATCAGACAATCAAACATAGAATTACGATGTAAGACGGTGGATTATTTTGTTTGGTTGATTATTGCGGTTAAAGGTAAGATGTGGGTTGTTGGTGATAAGATTTTTGTATACATACCGTACTCTTCTGAGTCTTTTGGGTCATATTTATCAGCGTTTGGGTTAATGAAGCGACTGGTTAAACTGGGAAATGATTGATCGGCCAATTTCATGTATTTTTGTCGTAAGCGCAAAGCTCTTTCAAATATTCTCTCCAATCCTTCGATATTACCCTGTAAAGGATAAGACATATCAGAATCACGAATATATGGGGATACCATTTTAGGAGTGAGGATCTTTAACCAGAAAACAAAAGTTACAGAAATTACAACGGATTAAACAGAAGATAAACAATGAAACTGTCTCGAGATTCAATAATATATTACCATGATGACAGTCCAAAATTTATACCTTTCTCAATTATCATTATGATCAGTCATCCAATTTAATTCACTAGCCTTCGTAAAATTACTTGTAATTAAATACTAAACAAGTAATTTCAAAATAAACTTACTCCTATAAGCTATTAAGATGGTTCAAGACAAGACCACAAAAACATACAGAATAGCATTATGAGGAAATCTCACAGGATAGATATGATGTGACTATTAATGCATATGAAAGGACTGCTCTAAACATTGGATTAAGAAGGGAAATAGTTAGAGTTCAATTGTTGCACAGTAAAAAGACTAATCATTTGATTATTTACCGTTGTTGGATGATATGTGTCATCTTCGCCAGTTATTGTTACCCTTTGAAAATCAATACCAGGGTTGATTACCGTAGCTTGATCCGCTGTATCATCCAAGAGTCCATCGATTTGACAATTAACATCTAACTCTCTATTCTCTTTTAAATCAACTACACTAGTATCCATGCTTGGTTGATTGAGTTGAACAACAGTTAAACAGTCCAATAAACAAAAAACTGATTTACACTCGAGCCTTATCTGGGTTTACTTTGTGGGTATGTATGTAATTCACTTTGTTCTGGTTCTTCCTAGTCTTGGTAAATCAACAAACAAACACAATCTAGGGAAGCAAAATTGATGTGTTGTTACTCAGGAGATCAACAATTTAAACCACTGTAAGATAGGGAGGGGGAGAAAAAAGAAAAGATTATAAGAGGTTTGATAATCATATTCAGCTATAGCAAGAAATAAAGATGGATTGTCAATTTACCTTAGGAAAACATTATGTGATGTGAACACGAAAAAAACAATAACAAATAACGGTTTCCACCAAAATAATGACATTAACAGATGATGTAATTTTGGTGATTTCAGAGTGTTATGACGTTAAAAATTACTGGAATGGCTATAAAACATTATTTGGTTGTCAGGATCGAGCAATCATAAAGAATCAAACATTTAGTTTTAATAGACAATCTTGTTAAACATCAACAACATGAGAGTCTCAACCAGTTAACCAAAGAGTAACTGTTGAGTTTGCTCCATACAAGAAATATGTTAGGATAATGGGTTAAAATAAACTCTCGGCTCATCTTCCTGGTCCTGATCTTTTCCTCTTGCTTTTACCCATGTAATATTGTCAATTTAATAACCCAGTTTATTTAATGAAAAATACCGCTTTAATTTAAATTGTTTGCTAAAAATGCGGAACAAGTGTCAATTATCAACAAGACAAATTTTCCCAAATCAGTGTTTGTTATGTAAATGATTCAAACAAAAACAGCATTTCAAATCTTATTATGTTCCCTTTCAATCCTTTTTGATTTATTTAATTTCCTGTTTAAATTGTCTAAATTGATTGGATATCATGCTGACTATGATACTAATTGAATTCAAAAGGATTGAGCCTTGTCAGGTGATTTATCCTTTTGATTATACAGTAGTCTAGATAAAACCTTTTAGGTTAACCAGGTTTTTTGTTTCAAACCAAATTCTATATACTCTATGGCCTTTTGCATCTCTTGACTTTTTGCAGGTTTTTTTAGGTTACCTCGATTTTCAAATCTTTTACATCTCTTCCATCTTATCACCAAGTCATTCAGTTTCTCTATTTGATTCATTGGTGATGTCTTAATTACTTGATGTTGATTACACTTGATTATGTTATCTATTTTAATAGCAATATATTGATTTGGAGAGGTGAGAGTGCAACTCTTCTTGAAACATGAAAAGCGAAAATATTTATTCCTTTTGACAGATTACTGTAAACAAACATTTTAATCAGTATCAAAGCTGATATCTGCTAATAACAATCAAACCTCATGATAGAAATTATAAAGCTATGTATTATGCAGCCTATTAAAAGCAAGGTCTAGATAGATTCAATGATATCAATTAGCTATTCAATGATTAATTATCATAACAAGTATTATAACATGGCCATCACAATAACAGAAAATGTATTTTTGTTTCATTTTAATCTCTTTTGATCAAGCTTGATCAAGGATGATCAAGGATGATAGAAATTCACAATCTGAGATTGAGATAAAATCATAAGCTGCTTCTCAATGTAAGCTAATAATAACTGCAACACATTTTTAGGACAATCTCATAATCTATTATTTCTAGAATGGTAAAACTGATGATCCAAGCAAATTGACATAAAGGGTGCTGCATTTAATAAGGTTCAACAATCAGTTACCCAAATGTAAAGATGAAAATGTTTAGATGAAAAGATGTCTCATCTGCACCTTCAACCATCTTTTCATACATTTGAGTGACTGAATATTGAACCTTATTAGACGCAAGAACCTTTAGTAGACCACAAATTATGGCTTAGTTATTGTGATAGTTACCTTTTCTTATTTCAATCGAAATAAGCTATGAAGTTGTGTGTATAAATCAGATAAATTCAAAGTTAAAACATTTCATGAGTTTGCAAGTTTGTGCAAAACAAAATGTCATTCAGATATTTTTCCTGTTTCGTGAATTTTCCTCTGAAAAAGCTATCATGAGCTGAGTTTACATGGAAATTTCACCGGCATCAAGATTCCTGCTTTGGCTAATTGAGTCGTTTTCATCAAAGCAACTGGTTAAAAAAAGCCATGAAATTCCATTAAATTTGATTCACAAGAATTTAAGTTTTCTTTTATCCGATTTTTGTCATGCTTCATGATTACCATTCAAATTTAAAAAAATATAATTCCTCTGGCAAGTTGAATGAGATACAAAATTTAGTCTATTCATCATGGTAGTTGATAACATGAAAAAGATAAGGTCTGATTAATAAAGAGATGTGAATATTAGATCTGGTTGGTTTCCAAAACAATTAATATTTTATAACTTACCAAAGTGAATATTTTGAATGATGATTTCAAGATGAAATGCTGCAAGAATAGCAATAATGAGTTTTTACACGATCACATCACATGTTTCAGATAATCAGTCAGTTGCTCACAAGAATTGTCAGTTTGCTTATTTATTCTCAGTGTGATTGACTTCATCTCTTTGAAGCTACTAAATTTGCTGAATTAACAAGTCTGGATCAAAGAAAGAAGTGGCCAATTTTATTAGAAAATTTCAATCAAAGTCTTTCAACCTTAATCAAGTATACAGGTATCATGTTTTTAATTCCTGTTAACCTCGATTTTCTTTTCTCGAGTCAGATAATGCCCATAGGGACATAATTTGACTATAAATAGTTACACTAAAGACTAATGAGATTTAGCATAACAAAGCTACAGAGAAAGATTTTTACAAATTTAAAGCGATACTTTTTTAAAATGGTTCAAATTGCGAGTTTAAATTCAATCCATTTAAACTAACAGTGAATTTATATGCATGAAATTATGCCGATAGATTCACAATAATTTGTGATTCAAATCAATTTAAGTGGAAAATAGATTTAATGACTTTACCAGATTGGTGTTAGATAATAATTTAAAGGATTTTAAGATTTTCGATTAATATTGTATATAAAAGGTTAAATTATTTACATAACATTATCAATTCCAACAGGGTGAAACAGCAATCCAACAAAATTTAGAAATTTTCTTTGTGAAAGTTGAAACCATATTGATTACACAGAGAATGCAATTCTTTACTGAGAACAGGTGAACCACAGAAAAAGAGGGAGACTTTACCTTTCTTCTGTCTTTTGATATCATTAAAAACCTAAAACAAGAAAAAAAAGGAATTAGATATCTTGTATTGTTTCAAAGTGAAATATTTGAAGTACTACCTCAGCCCAAACGGGTCTACCAGGTTTAGCCCTTGTTTTTAATCCTGAAACGAGATCACGATCTTTTTTCTCGTGCATTAATCCTAAAGCTAGATGTAATCCAATTGCACGAATATCTGCAGAATCAAGAGCAGCAGTGATAAAAATGTGAATGTCCAGGAATCGATTGTTGGGATCAATTTGTGCTTGAGTCATTTCTAACTGGGAAAGTAAGTGAACAAACCACTCCAAAGATTTTTGGTCCCTATTTAGCCAAATGAAATCGACTTTTTTGAGTTTCATCATGTCTATGGGGACAGCATCTGACCACGAATAGTTACATTGAGGGCAAAGATGTTGAGATTTTGCATAACGAAACATAATACTTTGAAGGATTGAAGCAAAAGGAGTTACACCAATTCCAGTGGCAACAAGGACTGCATGTTCAGTTTGGAAAAAGTGAGAGGCTGGAGCTCCATATGGTCCATCAAGACGTACAATCAGTTCTAGTGGAGACTTGATGATTGAACCTTTAAATGGTCCAGCAGCATAACTTTTACCCATTTTATTTAAACTTGTTGTTCTTGAAGTTTTTGGAGTTGAGTTGGTGATTCTTTCGGTTGAACCCTTTTCATCATTTAAACTGGTATTTAATATGTCAATTTGATTTCTATCCTTAAATGAATAGAAGCAAGCTTCATCATCATCACAACATCGGCCGATTGGTCGAGTAAATTGAACAACACGATCTTTTGAATTTTCAGCACAAATAGATCCTAGTCGATTAGCAAGGTCTTGAAGAACTTGACCGTATTTAATTGTTTCATTTGTTTGAAATGGAGCCTTTGCTCGACGAATTATGAAGGGAGTTTCGGAAATTTCATTAGAGCTCAATGAAATGGGCGAGTTGATTACAGTAGGCGTGCTAGGCATAGTCAATGCATATTCTGGACTTTTAACAGAAGTTCTTTTTCTGGGACACTCATATGCAGCTTCTTGATCCAACAATATTTGATGTAAACGATTTGTCCATTGACCAGCTGAGCGAATATGAAGAAAAATCACGTCTGGCATCTCCGGAGCACTACTTATTGTAAATGGATGCCATTCCCATCGAGCAATATATGGTATTTGTACATAGACCCAATCACCAGGCTGGTAATTGAAGTTAGGCGGCCTGCGAATAGCTATGTGACTCACTTTTGAAGGTAATACTCGTCCTCGAACTACATATGAATGACCTGAAGCACCCATTATATTTATAAAGTTATATAATTTTTCAAACAGAAATATTGATCCTGGAACAACCAGCCAGCACCAAAATTTAGGACCATGGCAAAGAAGAATAAACCAGAAGACGATATAAAATAAATGGAAGACAGCGAAAATCTAAATTTAAGATGAATAAAATTAAATTCTAGCTTGGTATTGAAACGAAGAAATACGAGTTGATATATTACCTCAAAATGCCCAGATTTTCGCACAAAAGGCAAAGAAGAGACAACAATTATTAAAAGGGCCGTCAGGCAAATCCATCCAGTTATGTTTGCAGCGCCAAAGAAGAAAGTGAATAACTCAGGATGAGGTGAAATAATGATATATTTAAAAGGTTGACCTTTGATAGCAGCAAGGTTAGCTAAATTGGTAACCAAAAAAAAGTAATTTCAATTAGCCTAGGTTTTGATTTTAGCTGAAACTATTGCTTACCATAGTTACCAAGATGAGCTAAGGTATGAACAACAGAGAAAAATGCTATAACATAACCAACATATTTATGATATTTGATATTTTTATCTAATGGAAGATAATTTGCCAGTCCCCATATACGAAGTCTTGTTATAGTCCGACGCAAAACAAATACCATCATGAGCGAGCAATTGAGATTCAGTAGCATTCCTAAGTAAAAACATAAATCACATTGATATTTAGCAACTAGATAAGGGTGCAAATATAGAATGGATTGATAATATTCAGTAGCTTACCTGCCCCTCGAGCTATCAAAACAAATGGATGGGCATGTTGAGCTGCAAAATAGCCAACCCTTCCGAAAAATAAACCAACGCTGAAAATGACGTATACTATTACAGCGATTACATTTGGTTTATTGTTTATGATGTACTCCACTTGCCAAAATGATAGTTTTTTTGTATTATTTTTAGTAGATTGGGCAGGACAAAGAAGCATCCAGCGTTCAAACGATCTACACATACATTCAATCAGAGAGTCATACCGGTCCATTAATGATTTAAACTCATCAAAATCAACTGTGTTTGAATTGTCTTTGTCAGCTTCCTCAATGAAAGTAGTGGTCAATTGCCTGATTTCGTCCTCTGTAAACTGCAAACCGTTTTCAGCCATACAAGCTCGCAACAATAATCCAACCTCGTCAAAAGATAGTGATCCATCACCTAAAAAATAAAAGAAAGCTATTAAACCTTGAATCACAAAATCCACGAAATTACCATTAAAGTCATAAATATCAAAGAGTACTTTGAGTTTAACATGATCCTTGTTGTTGGCTAATTTGACGATCCGTTTGATGAGCTTAACTTGGTCAAGTGAAGGTTTTCCTTTTGACAAGATTTGGAAAAATCTCCTGGGAAATTCAGGCTGAAAAACATGAAAAATAAGCCAAAGCGAAGATAGTAAATATCTTGAAAATTATCACAGCTGTTAGGTTGATCTTACAATCAACATGGTACCCTTAAGTGGCGAGTTAATCTATCTTTATTCGATAGTTATAAGAAAAGGGTTGAATGATTGGACTACTTACATTTTTAGAAGGTAGCACTTTAATAAAGTATTCTTCAGTAACGGCGTTGGTACCACAGATGAGCTTCAACTTTTCTTTCAATGCTGGAATCCCTTGTTCTACTTTAGCCTTTAAAGACCTATTTGCATAATAATACGTAATGAGAAATTACAATTATGTAGATGGTTAATTTTAAAGGATTTAGTTAAAGGACTTAGTTAGGGTTAATTAAAAATCAATTCAACGATAATTCATAAAGGAAAATTTGGAAATTAATAGATGAATAGAAACACGAAATAGATTTAAAATTAGCAAATCTTTTTCTTTCAAGCTAACTTACGCTTCTCTGGGAACTTTAGAGAGCACATAAAGCCCGCTCACTTCTCTCACAGCCATCTGGTCGATCTTAACAGAGACTAATCTCGCTAATTGAATGCTGGAAAGTATTTTTGTAAAATTTAACTAATTGTTTAATGAAAGTCAGTTTCAGAGCAAAATCATCTTAAACAATAACATTGAGATTGTCAGACAATAAGACATATTTTTGTTAAAAAAACTAACTCAGCCATGATTTTTTTACACATTTTGTTAGCCATTGGACTATCTTGCTAGTGTGATAATATTTAAATGATAGAGCAAATAATGATTAATTTGATTGATTAGTCTGTAGATAAGAAATGTGAAAAGGGTAAAAAATGCATTTCTTTTTGCTTAATGCATTTAAAATTGCAAACATAATTTCACACCAACTTCCTTCCTCTAAAAACAGGACAATATTTCCAGGGTTTATCTATTAATTAAACTGATGTTGCTTGATTAGATTGAATTTAAACTTGAAGATTACGTGGATTACTTTACAGCTTTACTTAACTTCACATTTTTGAGGAAAATATCAAAAAGTTGTCGATTGATGGAGAGACTAATCAAAGAATCGATTAAAGTAAACTTCGAGATTTTTGGGAACACAAAAAATCAAATCAAAAATTTTGAGTAAAGCGGAAAACAAAGTTAAGAAGCAAATGGATGAATACTTGTCCAAGCTAAATGATGAGGATAAAAATATTATTAAGATAACTCACGATGTTGTTGGCTTTCTTTGAAAAACGGAAACGATCACTTCCATGGTTAGGTCACTAAATGATCAACAGTTGAAGATGCAAGTTACACGAGTTGATAACTTAACTTGACTGTAGATCTAGTTGAACTGAACCTTCTGTTGTATTATTCAATCAATTCACTTTCCTTTTCAATTCACAAATATTAATACAATTTTGCTGTTCCTTGTATTTATAAATTTTGTTGAAACACTAACTTTTAACATTACAATTAGATATCTAATTGACGTAAATACATCAACAATCAGATGATTGAGACAGATAATGTCGAAGTGAGCCACCCATTGAAAATTGAAAACCATATTTAGCCGCAAACTTACAAGTTAGTTTTAAACTGATTGCTGAGGAATTAAAAATAGCTCAAAACTGTTTCATTTATTGTGAGCTAAGTATGACGATATTACTATTTATGCAATTGACTGAAAAGTTTTCGTTTCTTATTAATTTCGAAGATAAGATTGATAATGTGTTAATCACCAAATCATGCAGCATTTGATTCAATGGTCTTTCGGGTAAGTCTATTACGCTTAATTATACAGTCGAGTTGATATAAAATGACAGATTTTGAAGCTCAAATAAATGTTTTCACAAACTTATTTCGATGTGAGTTGTGAATTTCTAAGAGCATTTAGAAGAGATTGTAATCTGAAGTTCACTTAATATTGCAAATTTTATGCCGATAAGCTTTCCCAGTTCCAAGAATAATTCAAATGTTATTTTTCTGAGAAAAAATACGGGGTTTTATGGACTATCAGTTTAATTCCATTACATAATGATTCTCAACGAATTTTACGTAATTTGGTGAGTCAAATGAAATCAGTTGCAGAATTGTCATACTTATTATCAGATTGTGAAATGTTTAATATGCAGATTGATGACATTAGTTACTCGATTATGTTTAAGATCCATGAGTTGGTTTTGTAATTTTTTTATCAAGATTATCAATAATAAATAACTGTAGGATGAGAGACGATCCTAACGATCTCAAAAATATTTGGTGAAAATTTGGTCTCATTCTATTCAGTAATTTCTGAGAAAATACTGGTTAAAAATCATTTCCATTTTTACTTTACATACGTTATAGAAATTGCCTTTTTTATCATTCATTTTTGAATGATCAGTTTACTTATGAACTTAAAATAATAAAATAAATTTTTACTGATAGCAAGAGGTTTATTCATAAAATCATTTAACTGCAATTACATGGCACTTGGTAAATAGAATAAATGGGATATTTAAAAAACAATGATGTGCAAAAATTAAGATAAACAAGGTGTGATAAAGAAACAATTTTGAAATAAAAATATTAAAGATCTTGTTGAACATTTAAATGGTTGTGGTATTAAGCACTGCACATGAGGCAAGCTTCTTTGTTCTGAATAGAACAGGCGAATATTTCTTCTTCGGTTGGCCCTTCTTTAATTGGAGTCGTTTGCTTCTTTGCGTTGGTGGAGATCATCTTCTTCTTATCAACAGTAAATTGGATAGCATTTGCAGCAGGTTTACTTCGTAAGTAGTACATGCCTGTCTTAAGCCCAAGCTCCCAGCCATAGAAATGCATCGAGGTCATTTTAGCAACAGAAGGTCTTTCAAAATGAATATTTAAAGATTGACTTTGATCAATAAAAGCTCCACGTTCAGCAGCCATTTCCAGAATATTTTTTTGAGGAATTTCCCAAACAGTTCGATACAATTGCTTAATATCCTCTGGGATACCTTCAATAGCTTGAATGGAGCCTCTGTGATAAATAATCTGTTCTCTCATGTCTTCATTCCAAAGTTCTCGATCAGTCAAATCTTTGACAAGATGGTGGTTAACTACTTGAAATTCACCAGAAAGAACTCGTCGAGTATAGATGTTACTTGTATATGGTTCAATAGATTCGTTGTTCCCCAAAATCTGAGCAGTTGATGCTGTAGGCATGGGCGCTAATAACAGACTGTTTCGAAGACCATGTTTAGCAATTTTACTCTTCAGCTCTGTCCAGTCCCACAGATTAGATGGTGTTACACCCCACATATCATATTGCAAAATCCCTTTAGAAGCGGGAGATCCTGCATAAGTTTCGTAAGGTCCGAGTTCTTCAGCGAGCTCACAACTTGCTTCGAGAGCTCCATAATAGATTGTCTCAAAGATTTGGACATTCAATTTACGAGCTTCTGGGCTGTCAAATGGATATCTCATTAAAAGAAATGCGTCTGCTAAGCCTTGAACTCCTAAGCCAATAGGTCGATTCTTTTTGTTTGAATAAGAGGCTTCCTTTAGAGGATAAAAGTTGATCTCAATAATTTTGTTTAAATTTCGTGTGACCGCTTTGGTAACTTCTTTGAGTCTTGCAAAATCAAATTTTTGTTCCTCGGTAACAAATTTTTTCAAGGCTATAGAGGCAAGATTACAAACAGCAACTTCATCAGGGGCACTATATTCAACAATTTCAGTGCACAGATTTGAACACTTGATGGTTCCAAGATTTTTCTGATTGGACTTTTCATTACAATGATCTTTATAAAGCATATACGGAACACCAGTTTCCATCTGGGCATCAATGATTGCTTGCCAAAGAGCTCGAGCTTTTATTTGCTGATTGTATCTTTTTTCTTCTTCATATTTAACATAAAGCTTATTGAATTCATCTCCATAAACTTCGAATAGACCAGGACATTTGTGTGGACACATAAGACTCCACATTTCATCTTTTTTAACTCGCTCCATAAAAAGATTAGGCACCCAAAGAGCTAAAAACAAATCTCGAGCTCTCATCTCTTCTTTACCAGTGTTTTTTCTTAAGCATAGGAAATCAAAGACATCAGCATGCCAAGGCTCAATATAAATAGCATAAGCTCCTGGTCGTTTACCCCCTTGGTTGACATAACGAGCAGATTCATTAAACATTTTCAGCATAGGCACGAGACCATCAGAGAAACCATTTGTCCCTCTGATTCGGGTTCCTTTCGCTCGAATACAATGAACATTGAGACCAATTCCACCAGCATATTTAGAAATCAAATTACAATCTTTCAAAGTATCGGATATTCCTTCAATACTATCTTCCCTCATTGATAAAAGAAAACAACTAGATAGCTGAGGTCGAGGTGTACCAGCATTAAAAAGGGTAGGAGAAGCATGTGTAAACCATTTTTGAGACATTAATTCGTAGGTCTGTAAGGCTGATTCAATATCAGATCCATGAATTCCAACAGCAACTCTCATTAGCATATGTTGCGGCCTTTCAACTACTTTACCATTGATTTTAAGAAGGTATGATCTTTCCAAGGTTTTGAAACCAAAATAATCATAGCTGAAATGGAAAGAAGGATACGAAAAAACGAAAAATAAATCAATTGAAATATGAAAAACAGGATGAATACCTATAAGGTAATCCATATAAACATTTATATTAGATTTTTGACGGTTAAACTAGTTATTACCTGAAATCTCTGTCATAAATCATTGCCGAATTAAGAGTTTCAGAATTAGCCATAATAATTTTATAAGTTTCTTCCGCAATCATGGGTGAAGGAGACTGGGAATGCTCGTCGTACATACTGTAAAGTTCTTCAATAACCTCGGTGAAACTTTTCTTTGTCTCTTTATGTAAATTACTGACGGCAATACGAGCTGCTAGAATAGCATAATCGTGATGTTGAGACGTCAAACTGGCACTGATTTCAGCAGCCAAGTTGTCCAATTCGACAGTAGAGACACCAGGATATAAACCATCAATAACCTTACGAGTGATTGCTGGAGGGTCAATAAAGTCCATATTCAGTCCATAACAAAGTTTAGCCACACGAGAGGTGATCTTGTCATACATCACAGACTCTCGACGACCATTACGTTTGACGACATACATCTTGGATAAAGACATGTTTGAACAGATTTAAAGAGAATATAATATCAAGATGAAAAATAGGTTTACACAAAGTCGGTAACAAAAATCAGAACACTGAATAAACGATTATTGAATTGAGAACAAAATTGAGAAGCAAAATTCAAAAGGTTGAGCGTGGTCCTGAGAAATTACGTAAAACCACAACAAAGGATCGAAAAGCTCCTTTTAATGAAATCATAAGAAAGATCCCGCCAAAATAGCAATTCACTACCGAATGTAACTCCATCTATTTAAACTAATGTTTACTTTATTTTTGAGCGGACATTTTTTATACATTTTTTCATCAAATTCTGGTTTAATTTAATCCAATTATCTGACTAATAGTTGTTATCTAATATTTTACCGCTTAAATCTGAACACATAATTCAAGACTTAATAAGATCTTTTGAAGCTCGTGATAAAACAAGTTTGATATCGAGATGGAAAGGCTTACTCACAATGTTGTCAATGGTTTCAGTGATATTTGTAAATTCAACTCAAAGTTTCATCATAAATGTAAATTAATATTACTTACTTTGATAATTTTCAATAACAGATGATCTTTCAACTTTATTTCAACTTTATTGACCGTTTGAACAATCTATTTAAATGTCACTTTGTTTAAAGATTAAAAATAGTGTTAAAAGCGTGTGATGAACCAGTAAAGTGGCTAACAAGGTCAGAAAAATAAATACAAAGGGTTACTTGCAAAGAGTAAAGAAGAAGAGACTGCGATAAATACAAATACAATTTGTTGCTGTATAATAGCACTGGTGGTGCTAGTAGTGAGAAACACTTTCTTTTCTCTTTCCAACTTAAATATTTATCAATTTTTTTAAATTGATTAAATTGGTCAATTTTGATTAAAAAAAGAAAGAGAAAAGAAAGTGTTCTTATTACTAGCCACACCAGTGCTATTATACAGCAACAAATCGGTATTTTATTCATCGCAGTCTCTTCTTCTTTACTCTTTGGTTACTTGTAACCTTAGACTTAAATGTGTTCACCTGAGACTTTCAACTTGCCATTAAGGTTGGCAAAAAAATCGATTAGTTTTCAATGATTTGTTGCCTTTGCCTTAAAATTGTTTGATTTGTAAACTAATCATTTTTTGCCTTGTCTATAGCTTTGTGAAAAAAAGGATGTCAAACGCGTTAAAATTGTAATGTAATTTTTTATCAAATCTCTTGCTTATTTTGAAGCAATGATATGTGAGCATCAAAATTCATTTTAATTTGTTCACATGATTCAAACACCAATGAATATTGGATTTATTGTAAGATCATCAAACTTTAATCAATTTTGTTTTATCTTCAATTTTCCTTTTTTGCTTCTTTCATCATTGCATAGCTTATTATTAATAAGTTATTGGCAATAAATTATTACAGCAGCTTAAACTGTGAATGCACAAAATATAGTTAGTAGTCTTTTCATTCCGACCAGTGAACGATAAGGTCTATTAAACTATCTCCTAATTAAGTTTATTTATTTTATTTTATCTAATAATGGGTTACTCTGTTAGTCGATCAAATGAACAATGATCAAATCAATCAAATCTTCAGTTCAACAAATCTTGATAACAAACTTGAAAAGTTGCAATTCGTAAAGAAACTACAGTTCCGTACTAACCCCATCTACTGACTGAACTTAGATAATAGTTGATAGGTGGGTTTAAAGCTGATTTACATGAAAGGCTAACCGAAAAAATTTAAATTTCAAATCTAAACTCTAGAAATATCAGTTAGTTTACTAAACACCGAAATGTAAATAGTCTTTATTTGCAACCATCTTTTTATAGTGTGTTCATTGCTGGTTTTGCTTTTAGGTTTAATGTTCATCTAACTCTAAACCTGTGATCAAAGATTCAATGTATCCATTGTTGATAATGGATACGATTAAGTTTGTTACAATTTAACACACTCAATTACCCCTGAGTGTAACAATTTACCGATAATTTAACTTAAACTACGAATAAACATTGTCAGCCTCTGAAAGCTTGGATTTGATGCTAGATAACAAAAGAGATGAAGTTGTCCATTGATCAATCACACGGTTTCACTTCTCTTCCTCATCTAATCATGTGAATTATCAGAGTTTAATTATGGTTTGCTGTGATGATCGTGTTCATTATCATTCTCATTCAATTACAATGAGTGCCTCCTAGAAAAAAAAGAAAGAGAAACAAGAGTAAGAGTAAAACTCAAAATGAAGAAAGGAATAGTAACTTTGTCTCCTAGGTAATCATGAAGACGACTTTGATTTCTAGTCATCAACTTATCCTAATTGCTGCAATCAGTTAACTCGCTACATTTTAATTCCACTTTGTTCATAAATTTCCCAACTTGATCTAATTATATTTTTTGTGGTTCAACATTATTCCAAAATCTTTCCAGCTTGAATCAACATGAACTCCTCTCTTTTCCTCCGACCAACATGTCTGAATAGACTGAACAGGTTTGTTTTTGTTTTCTATTTTTTCATTTTACTCTATTGGCTGCCAAATTCAATCTATTTTGATTGCTTGTTTGTCTGAACTGTACACCAGCTATGATTTTATGTTTATACAGTCTACGATCTTTTAATTTTGATATCAAATTCATGTTGTTTTTGTTATTTTGTTATGTTGTTGTTGAGACTGTTATGATAGACAAACGTAAAGACGTTAGAAAATGTGATTGTAATCTAATCAACTTTCTTTTGAGTTTTTTATCTATTCATTTAAAGTTGAAACACTTGTGACTTTTTTGTGAAAAAATCAAGGATTAAAAGATCAAAGTAAAAAGTCATTTCGAGCATCAAAAATAAAGCTCAACAGCTGTTAATTTTCATAAAGTCATTTGAATTACTGTTCAAACAGTCATGATTTCATCTTTAGTGCCTCAAGTAACATTTCTCTTTATTTTTTTCTGCCATCAGAGTTAGAAATTATCCAACGAGTGTAAATCGATCTACTCATCATCCGGAATTATCAAAGATCTTGATTGCCAACCGAGGAGAAATCAGCTGTAGAATAGCCCGAACTGCTAAAAGAATGGGGTTGCTAACCACTGCCGTTTACTCAAATATGGATAGGGATTCAATGCACGTTTATCTCGCTGATGAAGCAATTAATCTTGGCAACTCACCCTCGGCTGATAGCTATTTAAACAAGGTACGATTAATTTCTAATAACAACAAATTAATAAAAGTTAATCTCAAATATCTATTATTTATCCAAACAATAATAAATAATTCACTCTGACTCCGAACTGTTTCATATTACTTTCAGACTAAGCTAATTGAAGCTGCCAAGCGTTGTGGAGCCCAAGCAATACATCCTGGTTATGGATTTCTTTCTGAGAATCATGAATTTGCTGATATGGTTAATTCATCAGGACTTATATTCATTGGACCTCCTGCATCTGCAATTCGAGATATGGGAATAAAGTCCATCGCTAAACACATCATGTCTCATGCAGGAGTACCAGTAGTACCAGGTTATCATGGAGAGGATCAAAGTGATGAACTTTTAATGGCAGAGGCTGAGAAAATTGGTTTCCCTATTATGATTAAAGCAATTAAAGGAGGCGGTGGAAAAGGAATGAGAATATGTCTCAGTAAAGAAGATTTCTTGACTCAGCTTGAATCTGCTCGACGAGAATCGCTGAAATCATTTGGTGATCAATCTGTTTTGATTGAAAAGTATGTCGCTAATCCAAGACACGTTGAGGTTCAAGTTTTTGCTGATCAATATGGAAACTGTGTATATTTATTTGAACGAGATTGTTCTGTTCAGCGAAGACATCAAAAAATCATCGAAGAAGCTCCAGGACCAGGAATTAGTAATGAAACACGAATGGAATTAGGTAAAGCTGCTGTTCTTGCAGCCCAAGCAGTTAATTATGTTGGAGCGGGAACTGTTGAATTCATTTATGATCCTAAGGATGGAAAGTTTTATTTCATGGAAATGAATACACGAATTCAAGTGGAACATCCGGTAACTGAAATGATTACTCGTGTTGATTTGGTTGAATGGCAAATCAGAGTTGCTCGTGGAGAGGTTTTGCCTAAAACTCAAGATGAGATTAAACTTTATGGTCATTCATTGGAGGCAAGAATTTACGCAGAGGATCCAGATAATAATTTCATGCCTGGTGCAGGTAAATTAGGTAAAATATTGCTTCCTGAAGACGAAGAAAATGTACGAATTGAAATGGGTGTTCGAAGTGGTGATGAAGTTTCAGTTCATTATGATCCCATGATTGCCAAACTAGTAGTTTGGGCTCCTGATCGTAGTTCAGCATTAACTAAACTCCGTTCATCATTAAGTAAATTTAACTTATCTGGTTTGAAAACCAATATAAACTTTCTCCATCGTTTGGCCTCTCATCCTGAGTTTGCCAAAGGTAATGTTCATACTGACTTCATTAAAGATTTCGAAAATACGCTATTTACCAAAACTGAAATACCTGCTGATATAGTTGGGATAACTGCTGTTGCTTTATTTGCGTCAAAATCTCAAGATGAATTAAAGGCAAGCCCAATTGCTGCTGATGCTTTCAGATTGCATAAAACAATGCCTTCACAAAAGTCTTTCACTCTTCTTTACAACGACAAAAAATATAATTCCATAATCAAGAAACTTGGACCCGAAGAATACTCAGTTTCCATAAATGGATCATCATTCTGGCCAGTCAAAGCAAAATTTGATCCAAATACTCATCAATTAATAGTTGAAGATGACGGCCTGAGCAAAAAATATCAATTTTTACAATCAAATGATAGTCAAATTGCTCTCTTCACTTCAGATCAAGGAGGATATAATTTTGAAATCGAAACAAAAGCTCATTATCGATCAATTGGATCAGCAGATGCTGCTGATGGGGCTTCGGGTTTAACTGCTCCTATGCCTGGAGTAATTGAAAAAATACTGGTTTCAGAAGGTGATACAGTTGAACCAGGAACACCTTTGGTTGTAATGATGGCTATGAAAATGGAACACGTTATCAAAGCGAGTGTAAAGTCTAAAATCGAAAAGATTTTATTCAAACCTGGTGATAATGTTCAAAAAGGTGCTCGACTGGTTCAATTAAAGAGCTTAGATCAACAAGAAAATTAATGAACATTCCAAGACAAAATTATTTTGCAACTTGGTGGCTAGAATTTTTTATATCTAATAAAAAGCAAGAAACTAAGGAGTATTAGTTTTTTGCCTTTCATCTTCACATGATTCTTGGAAATCTGATAATCGTTTCATCAGAGTTTTGAATTGGATTGGCATTTGCAGCAATAATGATCAAGTTTAAAATGACTCGACAAATTCATTTCTCATTCTCATTGAAATTAAGTAAATCTGTTTGGACCGGATAATTATAAAAATTTCAAATTTTGAGAAGCCATGTGGAATATTTAGAAAAATAAAATACAAATCTTTGTTTTGTAAAATCTTTTATAAACAATTTGAAATCATTATTCTGTAAGCATTAAAATGAGTTTTTATAGTAATGATTAAGTCTAAGTCAGTAAAACGGAATTTAAATATTTTGCAAAGTAAAAATGAAAAATAGTTTCGATAATCAATCACAATATTATCTGTTAGAATCAAATTTTTCTTGGTTAAGTTTGATTTCCTTTGTAAATCACAATAAAATATAACACATTTAACATTGATATAATGGGCTAAGAAAACTAAGTTTGCACAAAAATCGTAATATTTTTACGCAGAGAAAGTTCAATCACGCATTAATTTTTTCACCAACAATGGGCACAGTTTTGATTAGCTCCAAAAAATCATTTAATTAATCTAGTTTTGACTAGAGATTTGATGAGTCGAACTATTGAAGATGCGTGTAAAATATAAAACCTTGTCCGCACTTAGTTTGCTTAGCTTATAATCCATGATAATCTTTGTATCCCGATATCATTCAATAATACTGTTTATGCTTTAAATCAAATAATCGTAGTTATTATTCATGTTTCAATTATCACGAGTCGTGATATCCATGTGGAATCAACATCAGATCTGGTCGTTTTAGCTTTGTTGCAGCTGCATTAATCTTATTCGGTTTGATCTGTGGTTTAGGAATAAGATCATTTTTGATAAAATTAGAGAACTTTTCCCATTCTTTGAGTCTAACTGGCCAATCAGTAAGTAGATCAATGTCATCTTGCACATCGTCAATAACAAACTCATCGTAAATTGTTTTAATTGGTTCAGTAGATGATTGCTGGTTGTTGTTTGATTGCATTTCCGATTCATCTTCACCATCCTCAGATTTTATCTCAATTATAGATGAACTTAACGTTTGATTGCATTTGGGACAACCAAGGGAGCGAACTTCATCTGGTAAACAATTAATATGAAAAGAATGACAGTGAAAGACAATTAAATCATCATTCATAGAATCAAATCTTCTATTACAAAGTCCACAAGTGATTGTTATAGTAAAAGCTTGTTTTGAAAGAGCAACATAAGTCGATAATGCTTTATATAGTTGACTTTTAATCAAATCATTATAATTTGATAGCAAAGTCGCTTCATAATTGTAGGCATCCAACATTGAAGTCAACAAGTAACGAATTTTGGAAAATTGACCGATCGAACCGCTGTCAGTAATCGATGATTGTAAAATCCAAGTCAACAAAGTTAACATAGAAATGTATGCCATCATGACATTGAATAGATTGTTGCACAAATCGATTGAAGATGATCGATAATTTTTAAAAGTCTTTTCAGTCATTTCGTGAAAACGTGTAACCCTTTCGAGAACTGGGGACCACAAAAATTCTCGATCTTCCGAAGTTAATAATTTTTCTGAGCATCTTTTAGAAAATTGAATGAGATGATCAAATTGCTCAAGTATTGATTCAATGATAGTTTGTGTATTTTCATTTCCATCACTATCATTTTTTAGATCAGAAATGGAAGCTAAATTGTTGTCCAATCTGTTTAACAGTAGTTCTAATGCTTCAGCATATTTACCCTCTTTTTCGTAGAGGATAGCTTTAGCTGAATTATTATCCGCTTTAGTGCAAATTTGAAGAGCCACTTTGGGTCGATAAGTTGAAGTTGTTTGTAGGAAACGGGCAGCTTCATCTGGTTCGTATTTACACAACAATTCAATGTATCTTTCATGGATCCAAGGTTCAAATAGAATTGAACATTTGTCAATTAAAGGTAGACCCTTATTATCTACATTATTCAATTGATCACAAGTCAATAAACATTTTAAAACTCGCATCAAATAGATTGGTTTAGATTCAAGAGAATTGAGGAGATTCTCTAAGTCACTGGTTCGAACAAAATACTCTAAAAGTAATGTTGTTGCTTGCTTTTCATCAATCTCAATCAAATGTCCAATATTTTCCCAGATACATTTTAGAAATGGAACCTTCTCTTCGTTTAAAGACATTACGCGGGCAATCAATTTGAACACCTCCTTCTGTCAAATAAAAGAAAAAGTATTGAGTAATCGCTTGTAAAAAGTGGTGATTTGACGACATACTTGTAAATAATCATCAGATAGATAACAGAGGAGTATTTCAGGAAATTGTTTACGATGCCAATAAATATGTTCACAGACTTGAAAGCTAATCATTAAATAAAAAAAGAGTTAGTCGTTTAAAATATGATTGAATAAACATGAATGTTTGATGGTCAGAGCCTTACAATTTAGCTTTCTCAGCAGATGCCAATATTCTGTCAATCATGATCGCGTTCACTTTATCAGAAGTGACTAGTTGCATTAGTGCTTGTTGACGCTCTTCCAAGCTTCCTTGGTCTGCAGTTTCTGTCAAAGATTCAACAATCTGTAAAATAAAAGAAATTATTAGTGAAGGCTCAACAATCTGTATACAAATGTCGATATAATTTTGATTACTGACCTGATTGACTAATTCATCGCTCATTTTGATGTAACTTCTTGGTTTAGCAACCATTCTTGCTAAGAATATAAACAAAGAGCTGATTTGGGTCGGCGTGAAACCACAGCTTTCAGTCATCACATGAATCAAAACTTCAGTTAAACTAAGTCCATCGACGCTGTAAATTTAATTGAGACCAATGTAAGTCGACTTTTGCACCAAAAGTTTGAACAATAACATATTTACCCATCGAATTCATCCTTATCCATCGCTAAAGCTAGAACATTAAGGAAATCCTTGCCATCAAATAAAAGCAATGCTTTTAAATTTGGATAAAAAATACAATCCAATACTTCATCAGATTTTTCAGAGGTCGATGGATTTTTAAATCTAATGAGAAGCTTAATGGTTTCCTGTCTCACTTGAGCACGCATTGATTCGGGAATATCTCCTCCGTGAAATTTACGCCCTGTGAGACAACAGCTAATGTAAAGTAAAATACTGTTGCCCAAATCGATGTCTTGTTTAGTTAGATCTTCATTATTTAACAGCTTAGGCGATATTATTTTCAGCAAAGTTTCCAATGGAGTCGTATAGTCTTTGAAAGCTTCATTGTAAATGTATATTAATCCCCGATGTAACTGATGTGATCGACAAATAGTTGTGACTTGATGAATATCCAGACAACCAATTGACAAACAAATAATGATGGATTCGAGTGAGCTGTAATTACGCCTTTTATCATATAAATCGACCAAATCTTTGGCAATTGCTGGAGGTATTGAGGGAAGTGATCCTTTGATTATATGACTTTTCAAGGAATCAAGGTAAATTTGACTAGCAATTGTATTTGATTTACATCTCTCATAAATTGTTCCCCAAAGAACTTTTAGATCATTGATTGTCAGAGAAGCTTGAATAGTCGAAGCAATGGCTGAAGATAGCTCCTTATATCTTATTGGAATGGTATAGCTTAAAGACAAAGGACTAATAAGATAATCTAAATACTCGTCAATGAGTAAGACAATTTTTTCTGCAACAATCAATTTGCGTTGATCTCGATTTCCAAATAAACCAATAATAGATTTAGAGTCTCCTTTGTAAATGGATAAAGCAAGCTTTAATGCTTCTGCATATTTTTCCAGTGAAACTAACCAATCAATTCGTCCTTCCCAAGAACGTAATGAATATAGCACCATTAATTCTCGGCCTAATAGTAGTAGTTGACTAGGTGAAAAATGCGATGACGTCGAACTTGTAGTTACTATTGAATTATAACACGCTCTGTGACCAACAGCTGCCATTGCACCGCTAACTTTACCATCTATGTGAGTTCCTTCGAAAAATTCAGTTGAAAATGTTAACTGAACAGGATTAATATCAATTATACTGATTTCATTTCCTGATTTTACGTCAATAACATGAATATTCAAATGTTTATCGACAGTGGCAATAATCTTTGAGGTCAACCAAAACATATTTGTCAAAGTGTAGTCCAAGTTGAACCGTTTCAGAAAAACAAAAGTCAATTCTCGGCCGTTTTTAACTAAAATCTAAAATGATTGAAAAATAACGAAAATTGAGTAATCCTTTCAATTTTTAACATTTCTTAAACTATTAATATTTTATACATAAACATATACAGCTGCTTGTTTTATATTTACCTGATAAATACTGAACACTTTTCCACGACCGAATGTAAGAACAGGATCAAGAACTTTATCATTTGATGTTGTTTGGATTGAGACAAATTTCCAGTTAATTACAGGAGGTGCTTTAGGATCAGCCTGGCAGAAATAATAGAGTTATTTTCAGAAGTTTTCGCAAATAAATATTAATAGTTTAAACAGATTGCTAACCTCTAGTGAATGATAAAAATGCACAGTTGGTGATGGCAAAAGTGAAATGACAATGACTTTGGTTACTGTAGCTAAAGTGATAAGGCAGAGGTTGTTAAGAGATGCGAATCGATGCTGGAGATTTAGTGGAATAATTAAAGTTTCAAGGTGTAGAACTTCTCCTCGACTAGAAAATAAAAATAAAAACAGGTAAGTTTCGTTCAATAGTTTTTTTACAACTGTATAAAAACTCACCTTCCAGAAAAAATGCAAATAGGTTCAAGTGATTTGGATCGTTTTCTTACCCATAATTGAAAAACTGATCCTCCAGTATTACTGAAGACCATTAAATCAGGTTCAGAAGTAAACTAAGAACGTTATATTAGATGAATGTCCGAGTAGTTAAAATGCACAACCAAAAACAAACCTTGAGAAGCAAAGGAGTAGCATGATGACAATCTTCATCTGACAGTGATGTTATAAGTTGACCATTTTCGAGACTCCATAATCCAAGAGATCCTTTTGCATAACCGGCAACTAAGCGCGTTGAATCGGATCGAATGGCAATACTAGTAACAGCGTCAGTCAAATCTTCTTTTCTTAAACACCATCTCATTACTTGCTGTTTATCTGAATTTGATAAATTGAACAAATATTAAAGATTTGAGAAATAAATTTGAAAAGTAAATGCTGAGTCGTAATTACCAAAACAGAAAATAATTCCATGAGCTGTTCCTACAGCAATATAAATTTGACTAACTGTTAAGCAAGTTGCCACTCCTGCATCCGTCTTTTGGACATATGCAGCTCGTAACTGAGATGATATACTTTTCAAGACAATCACTTTAACAGTGTCATCTTGATCAAGAGGTTCTCCTTTGGTTTTGTCATCATCAAGATCTTTGATGGTGTCACAATCAGTATCTCCATTTTCTGAGTTTTCATTTTTAAAATCTGAATCATCGGGAATTGCGTTACTTTCCTATGAGTCAAAAGAAAAATATGAAACGAAATTAATTGAAAATGTTCCTATTTTGAAGAAGTTGCTTTCAACAAGATTATTTTGACAGCTTACCTGACTTATTATACTGCGACTCGGTGATTGAGCTGCCAAGGAGGATGAATAGTGATCAAGATTATCGAGGAGCTGTTAAATTTAAGAGTAAGAGTACATTTGAAATCAAGCCAGACTTTAAAAAACAACACAAAAAGATAGACTCACATCATTATCAAGAGAAACGTCAACAGATGATGAAGAATACGAAGGATCAGTCATCAGTCAATGCTTTTTAACAAATGGTAGAGATAATACACCAAGGTGAATTATAAACGTGAGCCACCAATTAAAGGAATAGAAATGTCACAGGAAATAATTGACTAGGGAATAATTAATTAGTAAAATAAATTACAAATAAATTATAATTGAAAAATGATTGCTGGTATCATATGTTCGTTTGTTTTGATTTTATGAGTAACAAAATATCAGCTGCTGAAGCGCCAATCTTAAACTCAAAAAGATTTGCCAAATTTTCAATTTCCCATTTTGAATAAGATGAAAACTTCGATATTCCTATTTTAATTTGATAATAATTTTCAGACTAAAATTAATTATTAATCAAGTCAATGAAACCATTCAAAAAGCATAGATTGCTTTATTTTAAGTCGATCATACACTTTGACTTAAGTGAACAATTTTCTCTAGGCAGTAGAGTTGCTTGGTATTGAAAATTTATCTGTAGCAGGTTATCGATAATTTTTGCGTGATTGTAGAGCCTCAATTTAAGAAATTTCAGAAATAGATTAATAATGAATAATTTTGAAGTTAATAGCAGAAATTTAAACATAAAAATTGTTTAATCAAAAAACATAAGATTGTTAAAACTATGCCGAAAACCAATTCTTGACAGCAGCTGGGTGGAACTCAATAAAAAGCTTCTTTCACGCAAGATGACTGACAATCATTCCGTGACATTGTGAGTGACCAGAGAGTTTCAGCCCAGAGATCCTCAGATTCGCTATTCGAAAGCCGGCATTCAATGTTTGACATCCATAGGCTTCGCATGCTATTTTCAATTTAAAATTTCTATTGAATATTCAATAAATGAGAAATAGTTGAAAAAAATACAAAATTCGTGTAAACTCAGATGTTAGTCACTTGATGAATGTAACATTTCATCTATCAATTTGATTTGATCAAATTTGATCAACTTGATTTCAAACAAAACAAACATAAATCGATAGGAACAAAGTTTTTACCTAAATTTCGATTTAATTTACTTTTTATAACATATTTTGATTACATTATATGAATGTGTATTAATCATGATTAACTGATCAATAACAGTTGAAATGAGCAAATCAAAATAAAAGAGCGAAAATGAATTATATTGAACAAATTGCAGGAGAAAACATTAGAAATATTGAATGTAGATATTGAAGGAAGAGAAATGAGGAAGAGGTAAAACCCAGGAGAATGGGCAGTAATTTAATCAAAACTAAATCATTTTCGACTTGGATTTGTTTGCAGTTCATTTTCAATGTCATAAGATTGAACTGGCCAATGAAGGCTGATGAAAAGTACATAGATCCATGAGCCGATGATTCCTCCTATGTGAGTTGCTACGATTGGAACCCAAAAGTAATTGTAATTTCGGACTCTGTATAGAAGGAGAAAATTGTTTTATCAATTAATTTTTGGTTGCAAAAAAAGGATTCAATTAGAAGATGGAATGAAAAACTATTCATATTGTCCACTGATTTTCATGGATTGACAAAATTTCCCATTGTATTGACAATAACATTGCTGTTTATTTTACTGAAATCTTTGTTTCTTCAGAATGTTTTGACTTGAAGTTTCCTTAACCTCAACTACAGTAAATTCACACTTATTTTGACCAAAAAAACAGCGCCGTCTATTATACTGCCAATAGTAAGACGAGAGTACTATTTAAGTTATCCTAGCACTGTTTATGCTAGGGCTAAAGCTCTGATACCAATAGATGGCTCTGATTTTTTGGTCAAAATAAGTGTGAATTTACTGTATTAACCTTCAATTTCAATTATACTATTATCAGTATTAATTTATTAGGGTTAACAGTATTTGTTTGTAATTTACTAATCAGCAGTAGATAAACAACAATTAATGATGTTAATTAGAATTAAGTGAAGATGAGAGAAACTGTATCCGAAAGATCAATAATTGACACATCAGTGAAACAGTTGATAATGGGTTGATTAAATACTGTCAATGAAAGGAAAACGGTGCAAAATTATTAGATTGCTTAGGAAGTAACTTGCTTTGCTAATTATCTGTAACAATAGTCCAAAGACCAGTTCATATTTGAATGGAAGCCTATCACAATTACAGTCGCTATTACAGCCATGCAGTTTGCTATTAATTCATACAATTTGCAAGAATTTGAAACGGTTAAACTCGAAATTATCTTGAGGTTGGAGAGCAAACAAAAGATACGAGAATGTTGTAATTATTAAAGTGTTGGATAAAATCTGATCAACGTTCATCATCTGAAACAAAAGATATGAAACAAATCAAGAATATTGGACCAGGTTTTCACCATAAGAAAATGCAAAAAGAAATGAGAAGATGTAATCGACTAGAGATTTGACACAAGATTGGTATCACAATGGTTAGATGATTAGCCGACAATCAATTAATGGTAAAGCTAACATCTTAAGAGCTGGAAGTGCATTACATCACTGCATCTAGTAGTTATTCAAGTAATTAGCAGAAATTAGAGCATGAGAAGTTGTATATTCTGGATTAAATGCACATCAGTAAACAATCACAATCTAACACCATTTCATTTTTAATAATCATCATTTGAAACAATGATTTGCTAAAGAAGATGGTAAAAAGGCTCAAAACTTACGAGAAAACTTCACCACCATAGCCAACAATAGATGATAATAGTCTTGGACCCAGATCACGAGCAGGATTGACTGGAGCCCCACAATTGTAGCCAAAAGCGAAAGCCATTAATGTCAAGTCAGCAACCCCGATAGCAATAGGAATTAATCCTTTTGGACAATCCATATTTCGATCATCCGTAATAGCTTGAATTAATAGAAGGAAAAATCCAACACAAACAACCTAAAAAAACGAAAATGAAAATGAAAAAGAAAATGAAATGATTGACAGCAACAGAAGAGAAAGTAAAACAATAACAATCAACTAATCATCATTTTTACCTTTCTTTCTAATCATCTTCAACTCGAGTAACATTAAAAAAATAAATTATATTAACCTGATCAAGGAAACAAGTTCCAATGGAAACATTTGGATTAGGAAGAGTACCGAAAATTGCTGCTGTACCATTGACTCCAAGAGTTTGCAGCTGATCACCGAAATGAGCTTTGATGGATTCATGGTAAACAAGGTAAGTAACTAAAGCACCAAAAAAAGCGCCAATGTATTGTGCAGCAAAATAATAAGGAACTTTAATCCATGACAATTTTCCAATTGTCGCCATTCCTAAAGTAACTGCTGGGTTAACATGTCCACCTGCAAAAGTATCAATTTGTATCAGATCGATATCAGATTCAATAAATTAATCAATAACCGATACACGTTTGGCAAAATCTTATTTTGCCTTGGTTTATAATTTTGAGTGTTTTTCTTATTCTATTGATTGAGTGTCTATTGTTTATTTTTAATTTAACCAGTTTTGAATTGATTCTTATAAATTATGTGAAAAGTTTATTATGACATCAGGCGCTAATCGTTAAATAAATGGAATCGATTCTTATGTAAGTTAGTTTTTGTTTTTGTTTAAAGAAAATTCTTGTTATTTTTGCCAAGAAATGTTTCTCACATCAACTCATATCTTTTTTTTGGATTGACGTTTCAGCAAATTTGGTTCAATAATTAATTACCTGAGACACCACCACATACGTAAATTGCGGCTGTTAAAGCTAGGCCCCAGCCCCATGGACCTATTGCTCCAGCAACAGCTCCGCTTTTGGAAACGGTTGTTGCTGCATTGACGGAACATCCAATTGTCTGTGAAGGAAGAAAACAGCAAAGAATAACAGTTTAATCAATTTAATATAATCACTCATATCACTTGATGACTGACTGATGGAGTGAGTCGAGTTGAGTTGAAGTCTCTTATCCCAAAGCTAACCCGCTAATTATGACACTTTGCCAAAATTGAAATGTGAATCATAGACTTGCTGTTGTAAAAACTCACACATCTTACCATTGCACAAAAATGCTAAAACAAGAAAGATTCTATTCAGATACCAATTTAAGATTATTGAGCTGAATTGATTAATGATTAATGATGGTTTGCCATTTTAGGCATCATCAAGTGTGAATCGAATCAATTCTTCAAAGGATCCAATTGATTATTCAAGTCAACGGACTAAACCTCATCAGACTTACAGTGATAGACATTATGCATCAATCAAACAATTTTGATGATCAAAGTTGCTTTTGAATACATGTTCCAAGTCAATCATCAATTTCTCAACAGATCAGTTAATAATTAAACTGAACAATTCAGATTAACGCTTATATCTTAGTTTAAATAAAAATCATTGCCAATGATATTATTTTATTTTTAATATTATAGCATGAATTGACAGACAAGTAATAAATAATAGAACTATTGGAGAAAAAGAAGCGAAAAAAGAGCAGTTTGGCATTTCATGATTAATCACGATGATTAAATTGCCACAGCTATTGGAGCTAAGTTAATTAATCAAAATTTCGTGTTTCCTAGTTTATCCTGTTAACCTGTTAAACCACCGAGAATACAGTTACAGAATTTCTAATACTTGTCCTAATTGAATCGGAAATCCATTGCAATTTTTCCTAAACCCAAAATATAATACAAAATGGTTAACCATCACATTATATTAATATTTACACAACCCAGAGAGATAATCAACTAACAAACAAACAATATCGATACAAAATTTACCTTGGACTCGTTAAATTGTAAATAAAAACAGTTTCATTCAGACAAGTGATCACTCGTCGGTAAATGGATTGAGACTTTAAATAAGCTTTCAATGTAAACCTAAATTGTAATCTAAATTTGGTTCGAAGTAAAAGTCATAAGTTATAACAGCAACAGCTTAAATATAATGCATTAAGACAATATAAAAATGAGACACTTCTCTATTCATAAGCTACTTGAGATTAAATTGTATTAAATTACAGTTATTTTCACGCATTATTAACTAATTGGTTACAATTTGATGGATTAAATGTTCAATCGGTTTACCATTATAACTAAGCTTGCAATTACAATTGTTGATTGACTGAATTAGATTGATTTTTGAGATTTCAATGGTATTACTGGTAATTAATATCTAATCACGAGAAGTTGATTTTAAAAGAGTTTATTTGAAAATAAATGACAGTTGGAAGCAACAAGTTGACCCATTAATCTGATCAAATTGTAATTGTAAAATCGACTCAACATTTCTCAATCATTTTACTATTATTTAGATGGATTAATCTTAATACAGATAGATTTAGTACATTAGTTATGGCAATATCAATGTTTAAACAATAAAAGGTAAACTCACTGTTAGGACAAAAGTTCCTAGAAGTTCGGCCAGAAATTCCCTCAGAACTGGGCTCGTAATTTTCAAGTTGACCATGTTTGAGATTTAATTTTTAAAGATGAACAAACTAACGTGAATGAATAATCAATAACCAGGGAATACAAAAAAGGAATAATTGACTGAATAATGTACAGAAAAAAATCAAAATAAGCAAATGTTGAAAAGCTTGAAAGGTTTGCAATGAAAATGAGATGAAAAAATGATGATCGGATAAAATGAAATAACAAACTCCATTGTAACTTATGGATGAGAGGGAGACACCATTTAACTCACATCATCATCATCATCATCATCATCTTTCAGCTTTATTCTTTCCTTTTCTCTGTCTTTTTTCACTCCATTTTACTGATGAAGATCACAATTACAGTTGAGCTCTTTCGATGTATTTACTTTAAGGTGATGTAAACCTTTGGATGAGTTGAGTTTTTCCAGTGAATAAAGATGAGTTAATTGTTTCTGAAGATGGTGAGGATGATGTAGAGTGGAGATGTAGATGCAAGATGATGAGTAAAAATTAGCAAGAAAAAAGCGCGTTCCACTGATGCTAATAATTTGTTACTTGGCTTCACTTTCACTTTCCTCCTTTTTACTGTATTTCTGTAAATTTACTGTTTTTCCTTCCAACCTTAACGGTATTTTTAATTTGCTTTTTGTTTTCATTATCTTATTTATTCTGGGTAACCCTATTTGGGACTAACCGTAACTTGAGCTTTCATCAGAATCTACAGTTATCAACATTGTTGATCAACAATAAGTACAACAAGATTTTTTCTTGGTAATTTTGATACACATTAACCCCTCAAAAGTTGCATGGATAGAGACGAGGCAACTGTTTCTTTAAGGCATTTTTGTGGCACTCTTTGGCAAATGGTCCGTTACTCCGACTATTGAGGGTTTGGATGTATTTTACATTTTAATAAAAAGCACATATTGCAGTGGATGTTTTTTATCAAACCAGAAGGTAAAGGTGTTCACAATATTATTGCTTCCACTTGTGTTTACTGTGGATGGGAAATGCTTGATATTTGTCTTATTTTTCAATGTTTTTAGAGTTAATTCATCATGAGCAAACAATGAATTTGGATAATTTTAAGCTCAACTCATTAAAGATTTTGATTTTTCTTAATTGAAGTGGATTCACAATATTTGTGCACGATCTTTGTTTCAAGAGTTGTTTTAAGAGGACATTTTATTATTATATGAATTTATTTCAGCAAATCAACAAATAGAGGAAGAGATTGGGTTAAAACTAATTCAAGAATTTGAAAATACAAAGTTCTGAGTTAAACGGAGAAACAATTTTGAACAACAGTAATTTATTAGATAACAGGGGAAAGAGAAGAGGTTGAATAACGTGTTTTAGATTCATTTCTAGCAATAATTTGTTTAACTGGAAGCGGATAAATTACAATAAACATCAACTTGAATTGTTAAAATTTTTCAACCAATCAACAATGATTTTTAGCATGAGATCCCATCCGAAAGTTCATCAAGTTAATTGACTTATCCAAGGCAATGTAAAGATAACACGGATCAAAGTCAAGCGAGTAAACTGGACTATTTTCACGGCCTCCGTAATACATTTGGACACAATGTTTGGCCCTTCTTTTGTCCCAAAGGCGAACAACTCCGTGACGACAAGTGCCCGACAAAATGGTAACCCAATGATCGGTTGCTAGACAATAGATTGCCGAGTCGTGAGGATCTTCCCATTTAAGGACACATTTTCCACCGGGACTGCGAAGATCCCAGAGACGGATAAGAGTATCATAGCCACAAGAGAGAAGCGTATTGGAGTCTTCCCATTGGATTCCGAGGACTCCGGCTCCATGACGATGTTCATCGTTAAGAGTACCAATCATACGGTTACCAAGAACATCAAAAATGAAAATTGTTTTATCAATGGCACATCCAGCTGAACCAATTGCTACCCAATCTCGTTCTTGGCTGCAAGAAACAGAGAGAACTCGGTCACCAATTCCAATGGACTGTGAACATGTTAATGAGCAATTGTAGGGTGATTCATTTTTAACATCGGAATCGCTATTGAAATGTCCTCCTTCGAAATCTAATTTCCAAATTTTAGCATTCCTATCCTTTGAACCAGTTACCATAAATCTTTGATGAAGACAGTCAATGGAGTTGATAACAGATGAATGTGCTTTGTATTTGATTGATAAAAGCTTTCCAGAATGTTTATTACAAACAGTTAAAGTACCATCCAAGCTTCCCGTGGCAATGAAATTATTGGTGACTTTAAATTTCAAAATATCTTCTTGGTGATATGAAAATTTCATTGATGGACACGACTTGATCCGTCCATCTTTTAACCGTTGAAATTTACAAAGAGTGTTTCCTCGAGTAACCCAAAGATTTTTCGAGTCAATGGACAACCATGGAATTAATCTGAAAAAGTAAGAACAAAAAAGGTCATTAAAAGAAAGGTTTACCAAAATTTTAAAGATCAAATGAAGAAACAAAAAATGAAAAATATGATTAAATTGGCTAATGTTGCTAGATGATCAAGATTCACATAAAGTTGATACAATGAAAAGGAAATGGCCAAATCATTGCCGATCTTGAGCCCTTTGTACAGGATAGAGAAACATGAAAATTGATAATTATCAAAATGATAATAATCACAATTACAATTACAAGCACAAAAGCGCAAACATTTGCATCTTCATTGTTTAAAATGACGGAAGTCACAATGAGTTTAGTGTCTTCTTTTTTGAATGTTACATGTGTTTGTGACTATGAGTAATTCAGGTCCAACAAAAATGATTAATATATGAGTAATTTAATGAAATATGATAAATTAATTAAAATTAAAGAACACATTGTTAATCATATTTAACATAATGTGGTAACAATAATCTTAATATTCTCATGATGGACTCTCGCGCGCGTTTGCCTTCACAATACTGAACATTTCAACTGTCATGCTCAAAAAAATCGTGCTGACATTAGGTCCTAAAATGTGACTCACGAAAGGCTGTAAAGGTGAGATGTAAGTGAGAGGCAAGGTAAGGCAATTGAATTGAGTGAGTTCGCTGATTAACCAAGCGAGGCCAGTTTTTAAGAGCAACAAAAGTCATTTTGAAAAACAAAACAACAAGTGAACATCATCTTCATTGAATAGCATCACCATCAGTTGAAAATTTCATCTTTTCCTGTTTTCATTGATTCAATTTGTAACAATATTTTTTTCCTTCATGTTTCAACAAAATCATCTGATATATTGATCTGAAGACATCAATTATTTCGAGCTGCAGTTCTTTTGTATTTTAGCATTGAATCAGAAATCTTTTAGTAAAATAAGCAATTGTGAATCGACATTCAAAGATGCCAAGGAAAAGTGTCATCTCTAATTTATCTTTCATTTATTTAACTACTTGTTGCCTGATTGTCATCCTCAGTGTTAAATTATCTTCAGCCTTTCCAAGCGGTGCTCCAGCCGATGCCTGTGAAAATTTGACCCCTCGACATACAGGAGCAAAAGCAATAACTGACCATTCTCCATACACTTTGAAAGCAATTTCGCAAAGGTGAGAACAATAAACTTATCCTGTTTCAATTTTCAGTTTTAAATCCCGTAAATGGACTGATAGTGATAGAAAAAAGTAAAATAAATATAATGAAGTTAAGATGAAAATGAGACTGGAATAATTTCTGATGAAAATCGCAAGTATTTTTGATAAGCAAAAATTATTGATTAGTCAACTTGACCAGGAATTGTATTCTAATGTAAATTTTAAAAATTGTTTCACCAACAGTTCGAATTGATGGTCCGCCTTTCAAAGGATTTTTCGTGGTTGCCGTTGATGCTAAAACAGGAGAGCGAGTTGGTAAATGGGCTAAATTGAAAGGTAAGTGATCGTAATTTTTGATGTAAACTAAAATGGTTGAATTGATCAATTGAGAAGTTGCGCCAAAGTTGAAGGTAACATTTAGTTGGGTCTGAAAGCAACTCTAACAAGGTGACCTAACAATAAGTCTAACAAATTGTTGTGGTAGTTGCTGTCATCCTTTGTTTATTAGTAATTAAATTAAATGTGTACAAAAAGGAAAAATTTACTCAACAACAATAATTTGCTTTTCCGCTTTAATTGTTCTAAAATGTGTTCTCATTAAAATCTGAGGTCAGCATCTTCCGGTCATTTTCCTTGAATCTTCTGAATTGTTGTCACTTTCCTTTACTGTTACTTCAAATTAAATGCAAATCTGTTTAACAATAAAAGTTAACTAATTCATGACAATTCGCAAAGAAAGATTGACTAAAGTGAATTGGAATATAAAAAATGGTTATCGGATGGTTATCCATTGAAAAATCAAATGGTAAAGTTAATTAAGAAAAATTAAAGACTCAAGTTGAACTTTTTGTACCACCACAAAAGGAACCATTTACCGATTGCTGAATAAAGCAACCTAAAGGCAAAACTAATCATTAGTGATGATCATAATTAACAGTTTTAATTCATTGATACATGAAAATGAGAATCGATATTTCCCATTTTGTTCAACTTTTGTTTCAAATATACAGAAGCCACCTTTAAGCAATTGATTATCACCGTCAATTTAGCAATAATCATTATCAATTTAGTGGTGAAATATAATGAATAACCATTTAAGATAGACAATGATTAACAATTGGTTGAAAGAAGCCTAATTTGAATCAACAAAATTCAAATTTAGAATGCAAAAATTGGCCAATTTTTAGTGTAAAACAATAAACATTATAAAAATCAATTAATTTGTCAGCTGGCAAATGCTTAAAGACACAATTTAGATGATTTGATATCATTTAATAGAGAGAAAGTAATAAAAATGTTGAATTTAGTGTTCATTTGTATGAAAAGGAATCATTAGGAATGAAAAGTGTCACTCAAAAAGACAATTGATTGAAATTAAAGTGAAAGAATATTGATTCTAATTGATATCTATATTTGACTGTCTCTAAATATTTAGGAACCAATACTATTGATGCTTGCTCTGGGATAACTCATACTGATAATAAGCGTAAAAAGTCAGCCACACTCTTATGGATTCCCCCTGAAAGTGGCTCTGGTGGAATCAGTTTCATGTAAGTTTACTCATTGATTTAATACTTTGATAGTTTGTAAATATCAAGTGAATTGGGTCAATTTGTTTAATCATGAATTGATTCAATGTTTTCAACTTGAAACATTTCAAGAGCAAATTTTTGTTGGCAAAACAAATGTCTCAAATTGAAATTTTGGGAAACATTTGTTTCAACAATGATTAAAGGTAAAGGTGTTTTGGTGGTTCATCAATTTTTAGCCAAGATCAAGATTGTCCCTAATTTTTGATCCGTAAACATTAACATGATAATATCTGTTGAGTGAGAAAAGAAATGAATCAATTTGAAACCTTGAAAATTGGCTGATTAACGATGCTTTGTAAAGTTACCACCAAGACATATTGTTAATCTTAATTGGAATGGACAATTTAATCATTTGTTTATTTTTGTCTCTTTCTTTTCCCATTCAGAGCGACTGTTGTTAAATCATTTTCTGAATATTATACACCAATAACGTCCGAAGCTGATGAAAAATGAAATTTGATAAAATCAAATATTCATCACAATTAATATTTTTACTCCTTTCTTCCCTGTTTCCAGTAAACCTAAATCGCTCATCCAATCATTGTAATTTTGTATCATAATGCACACAATTAAATAAAAAAATTTGATTAGATTTAATTTAATGTATGGCCGAATCCAGGAGTCGTCATTAATTGCAGGTTGTTTGGCAATTGTAAACATGAGTGATTAGATTTGATGAGTACAGTGTGAAAGGTAATTGTCGCTATTTTGCAGATCTGACAAAAGACAAATTATCAATAATCAAGAATTTTTTTGCTTTCATATTAACCTTATGAGTGACAATATGTCGTTATTACAACAAATTGATCAGTCAATAAAAATGTATGCTAACCAGTTTTAATGGTGAGATAATTTGCGCCTGATAATCAGTAAAATTTAGCTCAACTATAAGGTCAGCATTTGTTTAACCATCGATAACCAACAATTAACCTTTAATGATAATTGATAGTCAACTCAATTGATTAGGAAAAGTCCGAAATGAAAGGTTGTGCAAACAATTTCAACTTGTTACCAAACATTAAGTGTCTATCTGAATCTGTCGACTTGATGATAATGAGAGTTTTGGGCAAGTTTAAAGGTAAATAAAAGATGAAGAAATTTCTTTTTCAAAAATAAGGCCATTTCCTTGTGAAAAAGATTCGCAGAATATCAGTTGAAATTTTGATCAACCAATTCAATAAAAGGGGAGAATTTTAGACGATTAAATATGACTTACGGTTTCTTATTCTGAATAAGAGCTGTTTCTTGGAAGATACCGCGTTTCCATCGAGATTCAATAACACATTTATCCCGATTTGTTAAATCAACAATGGATTTGGATGAAAATACGTCAGAAATACAATTAGTTGTCAATGCATTGGTAGCCTTTGAACGCCAAACGTAGTCATCGTTGACTATAATCATGTAAAGTCTACTGCATGTTCCAGATAAAGCTGCAAAGATGAGGTGAGATACAATAGAAAGATGTTATGGATTAATTTGATGATGAAATATTTCCAAAAATTACAGGCAAAATTATGCATTATTTTCAAGCAGATGGATTTACCCGAAAGAGTTTGGATGTTACAGTATGAGAGAATCCGATAAATTATTTCAGTTGGTAGCCATTCAAGAGATATTGATGGTGGTGGTGCTGATGATGATGAGCTTTCATGATCAAAAGAGTCCGTTTTTGTTGCCTGTGAATCATCAGGTTTATCTTTTTCCTCGCATTCTAAGTTAAACCAGTCATTGTACATAGTTGAAGTTGAATGATATCTAACAGGTTCAATGCTACTTCCATGATTATTGAATAAATCCATTGGAGCCACCTTAGATGGTAATCAGTGAATGTCCTATTCAATGTTGAGTACAAAAATCGAGATAATAATAAAGATGACGATGAGGATGATAAAAATTTCGGCAAGGAAAACAAGAGTAGAGAATTATTAACCAAGGTTGACTGATGAGATTCACTATGCTTGTGAATCAACCCTGGAATACAAGAGATATCAAATAATGATGATTTGTTGTTCTGTTGAATACTGGTTAATCTCATAGTTAGTTAAAAAATTACACTTTAAAAGAAAGAAATTAGAAATTGAAAGCCATCGTTGGAAACATTTTGTAAAAACAATTCAATATGCCTCAATAAAAGTGTAAACATTAAATTTCAACTGTATTCATCATGGTTACAGAGATATGCTAATAGACATGCCTATCGCTATGGGCTTCAGTAACCCGCCAATATCAAAAAATAATAAAAGCTTAACGATTGTAAATGATCCAGAAAAATTGCTTTGAACTTTTCATTCCCATCTATCATAATTTGATATCATATTTTGGAAGATTATATATAAATCAAGATTACAATGATACAAAAAAACTGAAATTAATATAAACGTAGAATCTGCATAATTTATTAATAAAATTTCATGTTTATAATCATGCCGCTATTTAATTGTTAAGGGTTATAGTTTTTGGAAATGTAATCAGTCGACAATTTTCTATGGAACATTACCATTAAAATTTTATTAAAAACTCTTGAAATGTAAAAAACAATTTTTTCAATTCTATTAAATATCTTTGTTATTTAAAAAAAATCAAAACTGGAACTTGACTTTTTGGTTTATTACCCTTTTCAAATTATTTAATGTTTTTGGTGTTTAATCTTCATTTTGTCATCCAAATATTACATTGATTTAATTGATAAATGCCTTAAATTTATGTCGGATTAAATTGGACAATTGCTCCATAAATGCATCCTCTTTTGACATACAATGCTTGATTCAACGTTTACTTGAATTTCATCCACCGAGATTCGAATCTGAGACATCTGGGTGAAAGCCAGGCAGGTTGCCTCAGAGCTAGATTCCCCTGAAATCACATTAATTTGGTATTTAAGTCAAGGGAATGCTTTAAGCTGTAAGCGATCTTCGATACATTGATATCGAAAAGGCAACGCAGCTTTAATCGATACATCAGTCATCACCGAGGAAGCACAGCAAAGTCAGGGAACCTAAAAATTGTGTTTACTGAGGCTTTGATGTCTTTCTCTTTTTTGCCATCAAAATGTTTCTTTTAAACTATTTTTCATTAATTAACCTTGATTAATATGAATTATTTATTTGTCAAATTCTTTTGTTTTCCTCAATTTTGTTTGTATGTTGTTCAATTTGGTTTATGAACCTTGTTTAATGTGGTAATGGTAGGATGCAATTCAAGCGATTAGTTCCTGCCATTTCAGCTTGGCTTCTGCTGATTACCTGTACTACCCTGTTTTTCATATTTCCATGTCAATATCTTCAAAACACATATTCAATCTCAATAACTATTGTCCAAGCAATTATATCTTTATTTGTGATCACAAACTTTTCTTATGCCACCTTCATGGATCCTGGTGTAATACCTAAAGCTAGTCCAGATGAGGATGTTGAAGATGATTTTAGAGCTCCATTGTTTAAATCGGTTGACATCAATGGTTTAACCATCAGAATGAAATGGTGTTGTACCTGTCAATTTTACAGGCCACCAAGATGTTCTCATTGTAGTGTTTGTAACAATTGTGTTGAAACTTTTGATCATCATTGTCCATGGGTGAATAATTGCATTGGCCGACGCAATTATCGGCATTTCTTTTTCTTTTTAATTTTTCTCAGCATCCACATGATAACAATTCTCCTCTGGTGCATTATTTATCTGGTTGATCATAAAGGTGCATTACGAGAGCGTGATTCGATCATAGCGATTGTTATTAGTGCAGTAATTATATTTCTCATATTTCCAATTATCGGATTAACCGGGTTTCACATAATTTTGGTCGCTCGTGGTCGAACAACCAATGAACAAGTCACCGGAAAATTTCAAAGTGGCTTCAACCCATTTTCCGATGGATGCCTTAGCAATTATTGTAATATATTGTGTGGACCTGTACACACGCGTTATCGATCACATGCGAGGAAAAAAAGGTCTCCTTCCATCTCTAATAATGGTAACAACTCTTCTAATGGAACTAACAGATACGATAAACCAATGCAAGTTTACGTCGATGAGGGTAACAAGCTTCTTTACGCCAAGTCTCCTGCCAAAAGCTCTTCTGTAACAGAAATTTCAGCCCAATCATTTTCACCGTGTTTGAAACACCAATCTTTAAATAATTCACAGACTGGAGGATTAGTAATTTATTATTCACCTGAAAGCTACACTAAGAAGTCCAACTCCGACTCTAAATTTGCATCTGAAACAGAATTGCAAAAACTTCATACATCTCTTGATTCAAGCTCAATGCCGGAAACCGATGGCAGCTTCGATTTAAACAATACCAGTAACAGTGGCAATAGTAGTGCCAATGCTAACCTACATTTTGCCAAAAGGCCGATAAGTTTTATTAAAGCCTTGGAAAATATTGAAAGGGCTGGAGCCTCTAGACCTGTTACAAGTCCAGCCAAAAATCATTCTGAAGATTCTAGGCAAAGTCAATATGAAATGAATTACGAAATCTCAGTTTAATTGAGAAGATAACATAAGAATCCTACTCACCAAATCACCTAAACCTTCCTATCATAATCATAAAGACCATTTTTCAACCACCTACACATCCACTCTCACCTCACGCGCACATCTATCTTTCTCATTACTTCATCTCGTCATCATTATTGAAAACATTAAAACAAAGCTCATCTCTTTCAGTTTCTTCTCATTTTCACTTGTTATTTCTAATCCTCGCCGTGTTCAATCTACTAACTCTTTCTGACTTCTAATCTAAAGACTTTAAAATGTTTGGTTATCGCTCACTTACAGCATTATAAAACCGTAAAAATGACAAATCTTGAAAAGTGTCAAGTAATCCATCCATAATATTATATACAGTTAGTTTAATATTAACTCATTGGACTATTGAGCATATTCAAAGAAATGAACTGTTTAAAAATGCAAGTTCTGCTCTCTTATGATCCATATTGATCTCAACACTTTTTAAAGTTACCAATTGAATAGTCATCATCTTTTTTCATTTTGTGAACTATAATAAGACCATAGTGAACAATTTATTTAACTTTATGTGTAACTAATAATGTAGATGGTTTTGATTTAAAAATTATCGCGATTCCTTTTTTATGTCTATTTCCACTTTTCCATCATTTTTTGGGTCAAAGATGATTAAGTTGGTGGCAATGGTAATGATACTGATGACGGATTAATACCCTGGAAACCCAAAGATCTATGAAGCTTATCCATTTCATTGAATTCACCACCCTGGACGTTTCCAGACAATAAATTGAAACCATTAGAGTAAGAGTCCCAAAGAGTTGTTGAAGGAGAAACCGCTCTAAGATTATTCAGATTGTTTGCTATGAGATCATTTGAACCAGGTTGATGAGATAGTGATCCATTCAAGGAAGCCTCGCAACTAATATGAGAATGGAAATTGCATAAAGAATTAGAAATATATCAACATATATTCAGATAAAATGAACAGGAAGGAAGGCGATGATAAAGATCAAAGAAACGATGTCAACAACAAGCTGAACCGCGGGAACCTTCGATAAGTGATAACAATACTTGTCCTAATTACCTGCAAGTTTTCTCATTAAATTGTAAACCAGAGGAACAATTGTGAGGATGAAGACATTTACAGGAACATTCACTCGAATCCCAATATTTGGTTGGATCGGAGGTACAATTAGCAGCAGCCGATAAATCACGACAAACACATCTACACTCCTCTTTTTTGTACAATTGAGATGAACTACAGTCACTCTCTTTCTGGATACATTCACATGAACATTGTTTATGACTGGCAAAGGAAAATCTTTGTCTTCCAGCATACTTGAAGCGACGAGAATGGGGAATATACCGAAGCACCATTACCTGTTAAATATAGTTGCGAAAAAAGGAGATCATTAATTATATTTATAACAGTCTAAAAGAAACGATTGAATAAAATGATGGTGAGAATTCGTTGATGACTCAAAAGATCAACATTCTCATGGTGAATCATTATTAATGAGAGACTGGAAATTAACTCATTGGTTGCTTAGAAAAAGCTAGTCATTTCTGAGCTAATTTACAATGGATTTACAATGAACATGATACAAGTTGATATTCAGATGGATGCATTTAGAAAAAAAAATCAAACTCTTTCATTCTCTCTGTAAATAATTCATTATCGTCCTTTCCATCTCAATGAAAGTTTATATTGTTCGTATTTCAAATACATATCAAATACACTGATTGTATTAAATAATGATAACGTTCCAACTTTCATTAAATAATAAACATTAATTTACAATGAAATACGTTTACAGTGAAATAAATTCATTCTCTTGCTAAGTTTTCGTGTAATCTGAAGATGAAGATGTTTTTTTTTCATTTCAACTCTTGAGTCAAAACTGTATTGATACTTATAAGTGGCAGAAATCAATAATAAATGTTTACCTCTACAGAAATATTGGACACTTCAGTTGGTTGACAGGTTAAACGATCACTTGGACAGCATCCTGAGCATCTCGGTATTTTAATGCAACCAGGAAAATAGATCTCTGATTTACCTTGAGAAGATTTAATCACTTGAGTTCGATTTTCTGGTGAACAAGTTCCTGGAAAATGGTCTAACCCTACTAAATAATTGAGGTAAATTAAGTATTTAAATAAGCAAAGTGTTTTAACAGAAAGCCATTTTGGATTAAGTTGAAAGATTCCATCAATGTTTGATTGAAATTTTGTAGATTTTTAAATATTTTTACTTACAGGTGGGTTTCGATTTTTCTACTGAATAAAAAAGAGAAAAAAATACTTGATCATAAGTACTGAAAATTTTTAGAATAATATTTATATGATTTATAAATGAATTGACTTACGAGCGCTGCGAACTTTTCTTCTTGATTTTGCAAACGTTGTTAAGCCTGGAAATAATGGTAATGAGTTCAGTGATTAGTTTCATGATAGATTCACCGAGACAAAGATAGATAATAAAATACTTACTTTGGTTGTGAAGTTGATTATCATTGTCAGTTAAGTAATCTAATAATTGTTTTCCACTTTTAATGTGACTTAGTTCTATCAAGACTTCTTCTGGGACAAAAGTCTATTAAAAAAGGTGCAAAAATCAATGAAACGCCTGAACAATTAGAGTCGATTACGAAGTGTACTTACTAGATTTTGATCGATCTTTACTAATTTGTTAACGGGTATATTTGGGCATTTAGAGCTCAGTTTATCTGATAATCGAATTGGATTTGAATTGGATAATGATAATATTGATGTTGTCGTTGTCGTTGATGTATTAAAGCCCAAAAAAGTTGAATTTGATTTGCCTAGGAAGATATTATCAGGTCTCGAGGAAGAGGCAGGTTGGTGATCGATTAATGGAGCACAATAAGAAGACATAATTAAAATATAATGAAAGCAAATTTTGATGGAAATAAGGTTAATCATTTTTCATCAAAGATGCCATTCAGGAATTAATTTGTTCCATCAGAAAACAAAGAAGTTAACAAAATCTCCCAACACGTAATAATTGATAGATTAATAGAGAAGACACCACGAACAATTGAATTCGCTAAATAGGGACAACTTCAACTTGGTAACAATTAGTTAAAGGTTTAAGTCCAGTAAACATTTAAAACAGTGAGTTATCAGCGATTGTGAAAATCACCAAAAGAGCGAATCTGGTTGCACTTGAGAGTCAATCGGAGAAACAAAATAAACTAATTAATCATGGATCTTAGGAATGTATTAAACCATCGTAATCCAAGCAAAAAACACAAATCAACATGATGATGATCGAATGGTCCAGCAAGCACAAATGGTAAATGGTCAAAAATAACCGGTAAATAGAGTGAGAAACTAGGAATAAAAACAGAATAGATCGGTTTGAGTAAGTGTTAACATAATGGGTGAAGAAGAGATTGAGAATAAAGTTGCTTAAGAAGAGAGAAAAGAAAAATGTATAAAAATTAACTCATAGGTCAAATTGAATTGTCAAATGAAAATAAAAAATGTCTGAACGATGAGAGAAAGTTGAGAGATGTTTAGCTTTAAGGTGACCCAATAAGGTTAAGAGTTTTGTAGAGAGGGTGAAGTGTCGCCTGGGCAGCGAGGTTAAGCTTGAGCGGAGACGGTGATCAAGTTAATTATGTGATCCAGAAGTGGTCCTAGTTGAGTGGTTTTTTCAAGTTTTTCAATATGAAGAAAAAAAACATAAAAAATAGAAAGCGAGAGAGAGAGAGAGAGAGAGACAGGCAGATTGGTAGACAGAGAAGTGAGTAGCAAAAAACGAGACTTGACTAATGAACGGGTAAGATGTTTTGTATTTTACCGTGACACTCCTAAGTTTGGTACCTTTTGTTTAATGGCGTTGATCTTTTTATATGTCTTTATGAAACAAAGTTAAAGTGGGCTGAAGAGGGTGAAAGGGAGGTGAAAGTGAAGGAGGATGGATGGGCTGAAGAGGGAAACAGAGAGGTAAATGAATAAAAAACGGTCCAATTTAATCCAATAACGGGCAACAATTTTTCTCTAATAATAATATATTTTCACAGTAAAAGTCGCTCTCTCCTAGACATTTGGTGGCTTTGTTTTGCTTTTTTCGGTGGATACTTCAAATGAAATTATGATGATACGAAGTTGATGTATTCTTTATCGTTTTTCATTATTTTTCTCGGACAATATAAAATCTAAACAATAGTTTAATCTATTTCTAGTTGATCTGTGTAAGGTAAGGTTGTTTGATGGATAATTTGATTGGTCACCTTATTTTCTTCTTCTTCTTCTTCTTCTTCTAATGTAATCGATATTGAATTACTTATAATAGTATTCCGATTGAGAAAATTATTATTAATAACAATAAGAATAATAGCATTTTAACTGGAAATAGACTGGAAATGGCAATGTTATTTTTACTCTAATGGTTGATATTAATGGTAAAGATTCAACAATGAAAGGTGAAGAAAATGAATGGCAAATAGAAAGGTGGATGTTTACTTGTGTACATGTTTACTAATCAATGAGTGAATTAATCAAATTAGATGATTGACATTTACAAAATTATACAATACATTGGTGACAATCTTGGGTTAAAGTTAAATACAACGCAACAGCTACAATTGTAAGAGCCTGTGTCCATCAAAATAGTTTTCATTTGAATAATCGTTTGTACATTTTTACTCCAATTTTGATTGCTATTTACATTGGCCATTTTTGTTATCAAAGATCAGGCTGTACGTGAGGGTTGGATTAATTTAAAGGTTAAATTCGTGTCTTTAGTTCCTATAAAGGTGAAATTGTCCATTGTCCTCCATTAGTCCATGTTGATACAAAATTGTCATTGGGATCGTTTTGAACCACTTAAATAAAATCCATTGAAACCAGACATACAAAAGGAAGTTTGAATATCATCAGAGTTGACATCAGAAATGAATTAAATGGGAAACAAAGGTTGCAAAACGAAAATCAATCTAAATCATTTAGATGGTATTTCAATTGAATTGAAAACAATGATGTCCATTTTTTAACAATATAAAGTACATTTTGCCAAGTCCATACAATAAATGACAACCTGGAAGCAATTATGGAGAGAAAAAATTTACAGTTAATAAATTGTTAGCTAAAATGTTACCTCTCAATCGATTCCCATAATCACAAAAAGCTGTAAAATAAACCAACGACAGGTTTGATTGATTTACTTACTTTGTTTACGTTTTGATGAAAGGCATTGAGAATGTTTATTGTTTTCGATTAATATGTTGCTTGAATTGTATTTGTCCATGTAATAATTTTTACGCACATTGTAACTAACTTATTAAAATTATCCATTAATTTAAATAGTTACTTCAAAAGGAACAATGTTATAACATATTGGATTGACTTGAGGTCACTAGGCATAGTCAATTTAAATTAAAATATAAACAAAAGATGGGGTGAATTTGGCGCAATCTTTAATCGCCATTATAGTCATTTGGTTTCTTTGTGGTTGAAATAAAAATTAAGCTGGATGGGAGAACTGTTTCCGATTTTAAGAGGTAAAAATCATTGAACCATTAAACTGCTTAAACTATAATGATTAACTTCAACCGTTGGAAAGGTAACTTATAGATATGTACTTTGCTTGGACGGTTAACTTTGGAGATTCTTCCTTCCTCTTACCTTTCTATCCCCTAAATAGCGAAAACAGTAAATAAAACAATTAGTATTGTTAGACACGATTCAAAAAGGCTAAAAATTGAGTAATACTGCAATTTAGCAACTTTTTTATTTCATCTGAAATGAGTTAAATACGAATAAATAATATAGAGTTGAAACTGTAGGTAAATAGTTACTATTTCATGAACAAATGCCCTTTTCGTTTGCCTAATAGCGTGTAGTTCCTAGTGCACTTTTTAACTTGATGATATACCATAAAATAGCAATGATATGTAACCAATTATGGCATTTATTTTGTCACATTGAAACAGTAGTTTCCAGTATGCTAGTTAGCAAGATTGTTGCTGCAAGTTGTACGCTCGAAGATAACCCTTGCATTTGATTTAACTTACGTAACTATATGATTGAAAAATGTTAGATTGTAAATGTAAAAGCAAATAAAGATTATTGATCGTAAAATATTGGTGATTGTGGTGAAATTGATTGGAATGATTCTTAGATGGATAGCAGAAATAGTAAAGTTCAATAAAAGTAGTGAATTGTATAAAAAACTGATAGACAGTTGACCATTGAATTCCACTTTTAATATTGATAGTAATCAGGAAGATGATTACACCACTTAAAGTTCTGTATGAAAGAAATATCTAAACAACCAAGAAATACAAATCGAGAAAATTGAATGAATAGATTTCGATATAATTCATAATGCTCAATAAATGGTGTGCACCTGTTCATGATAATTATCGATAAATATTGTAGTAAAAACAAGATGATAGCATTGAGTTTAAGCTGTTTTTGCTCGTATAGCAGCTCTTTTCCCTGTGACAGCTTGAAAACCACTTTTAATTGAGGTAACTGAACGTCTACTTCCACAGGTTTCGCATTGAAGGAAAAATAATCGGGTATCTTTTTGAAGCACTGTCTCTGGTGATCTGCATGTTTGACATGCTACATACTCCTCTGTAATAATTGAAAAACAAAATAATGTATATGAGTAAAAAGTATTAAAAATGATGATAGTGAAGAATGGGTTTCAATGCGAAAAGAAACTTACTTATATATCTTCTAAGGACGTTTTCAATTTGTTTCTGTTGAAAACGACCTTTAATAATAAGTTGGTTATTAGCATCGACAGATCCACTAGTTCCTAATTCAGCCAGCAGAAAGGCTTGAAGATGCTTAGGTAGACGATGTAATCTGAATAAAAAAACAAGACATTGATTAGAAGAGATGAAATAGTTTAGAAGTAAAAAGTGACGAAATATCTCATAGAAAATGCATAATTCAACTACAATCAATTGTTTTTAAGCAATCTTAAGATCTCTCTTTACTTACGATTTACAAATATCGAGGAAATTGGCAAATGATGTCTTTTTCGTTCCTACTCTTAAAATTTGTGGAGGCCTCATGACAAGTCTTTTCTTTTCTCCTGAAATTATATCAGGATTCTTTTCTTTAATTATACAGAAAGCTCTGGCTAAGAGTTCTTCATATAAATAGTCACGATCAGTATTTGCCCAGGTTGAATCCACAGATGATGAAAAAAAGCTGGCATCTCGATTCGTGCTTTCTTCCAGGTAAACAACACCATCATCCTTATCTGCTGGTTCACCATCATTAATCAAATCTTCATCCTTAAACTTAATTTTTTTAGGTTTTGTCTTGGGTAGATTTAATTCAAAATCATCATCATCATCCTGTGTTTCTTGAGTACCAGTGACTTCTTCTTTATCACCGATGTCTTCAGCAGCTCCATCAGCGTCACCCGAAGTAGCTGGTTGGTTGAAAGTCTTTTCATATTCATCTATATTGAAGGCCTTCTTTTTAGGCTTTTTCTTTTTCTTGGATAGTGAAAATTCATCCAAATCGTCGATCAAAGCTTCCGTTAGTTCCTCTACTTTATCACTTTCAGCCATAATTTATTTTTTTCCGTCAAAACAGAACCGAAATTACACAATAATTAATTAAATAACAAGAGTAAATACCGGCACAACATTGGATTTATGGTGAGGTTGAAAAGCCAATATTTCGGAAACAGGATTGGAAACAAGTGCTTCCATCTGGTATTACAATATACGTTTTGAGAAGTTAAATTGCTGTTTAATAAAGCAAAGTCTTAATTAAATAATAAACTGGTGAGTCAATGATAATTTGATATTTGGGAAAACAATGAATTATCAAGAAATTTGAGTTTGAAACAAACCTTTGTCCAATAATAGGAGAGTCCTTTTATTTCTGCAATCAATTCTTGACTCAGAATTTAGATGTTGCATTTTTAAGTGTATATTGTAAAACCAGATGGAAGCACTAAACTAAGCAGCGATTCCTAATCGGTACAGGGATTCGGCGGTGCCTTTTAAGCTGGTTTACACTTGATACTTGATGCAACCAATAAAATTGCTAGTTAGCAAAGAGTAAAGAAGAAATTTCTTTGGGAAATTAGGAATCGCTTAATGAATTAAACCTACAAACCACCTAACTCAAGGATTTATAAACTTCCCTTAACAAAATTGTGCTGGTTTTGATTTCTTAACTCGTATTCCTTTACTTTTGACTAAACCGTTTTCCAGAGCACTTCAAACGTGCACCAAAGCCGTAAAATGAAGAAGCTGGCAAAGTTATTCAAGTTAAAAGTAAAACTCAGCCGAACTCTGAGACTGGACATCAATTTACTGCGAACGTCAAATAATACACAGCAGATATCCAGCGTATAGTTTGCCTGATTCCAGGATTACCTAAGCCTGGTCTTTTTACTTGGAAGCGATTGATATGAGGAACCTTTCATATCTCAAAAAACTCCCCTGAAGATTTTCTATGCAAATTGTAAGTATTTATTCAACAATTGAAACTAGTAACTCGAAAACTGTGTAAAAAATTATCTAATATCAATGTTACCATTCATTTTTCCATGATGATAATTTTATATTTCTCATCATTACTTTTCTATCTTCGTTTCAGGACTAGATGTCAACCTACACAATTTCAAGCTCTTTCATTTCAAGAAAATGGCGGATTAGTAATGAGCATAGTTTCCAGTCAGATTCCATAACAAATTCAGGAATAGCTGGGAAATTATGCAAATTTTGGATAAGAAATGAAACCCAATCATTTTTTCTGTTAAGAGACTCTTGTCCATTTCAATAAGAATTGACTTTCAAAATATTGTTGGGAAAGGAATTACCAACAATCATTAAAATGGTCCCTTCTGTAATCTTATCATTTCATGGACTTCTGATGGCATTCCATGGGGATATCTGCGAATCTTATTTCAATTTCTTTAAATGCTCAGCTCGAAAACTTCAACATTTGATCATTTCGTGACTCAATGAAAATTAGCTGTCTTGTAGAATCTTAAATTCAATTAAGTAATATTCTCAACGTACATAATTTTGCTCTTAATTGTCTTCTTCGTTTATCTTAATTTATTTTCTTCAAATCTTGAAAATGTCGTATCAGCTAACAGTTTTTCAAGTGATTTCTCGATTCCATTATTTTCGTAAACAGATCATCAGAAACAAGCAAGTAAGTTATTAAGATTATCCAATGCAGCAATACTGAAATTTAAATCCATTTTAGATAAATCTGGTATTCATTTCATTCTTTAATTAAAAAAATATTTTCAAGTTAAATTCATGTTATTTGAATATTTGTCTGAAAATTGAACACAGAATGTTTTGTTGGTTTATTAAGAGTGGGACGTTGTTGGTTGCTTAGTAAACTGATACTAGGGGTGTTGTGTTCAACTGTTTTCAATGTTCACCAGTGTTCCTCTTCTATGTTTATTTTGTGGTCACACTAATTTCTTGTTTCATTTAAATATTTTTATTTTTAATTTAACAGCAATTTAGAATGTCTGTTCTTGCCTTAGTGATAGTTAATTCTGATAATTATCCGGTTTTCATAAAAACTCGCCATGATTATGATAAAAGTAAAATGAGTGCTGAAGAAAACATGAATATACTTTACAATATGAATGCCACATTGGACATTATTGAAGAAAGACAAGGTCAAAACCAGAATCGTGACCCATATCTAGGTGAATTGACCATTCCTAACTATTGAGAATATTGATTACCATGGAATTATTCTAATTCAAATTTGTGTCTTCTTCCAAAGGTCTCCTCAATCAATGTGAAAGCTATAAGATCTATGGACTTCTATCTGCCACCAGAATCAAGATACTTTTGATGGTATCTACTAATGTCAGTGTAATGTTCAGGTAAGCTATTAGTATTAGTTCTTAAAGGGTGAAATCTAACTTATACCTTTTTATAACCTACAGAGATAGTGAAGCTCGGAGTACGCTCAAGCAACTGTATTCATCCTACATCGATGTGACAACTTACAATCCTTTCTATTGTCCTGGAAGTGAAGTCCAATCAAAGTAAGTATTGAAAAGCTTTAGCTATGTCTAGTGTTTATCGATCTCTCAAAATCTTATTGAAATTGGGACATATCTTTGAAAATTACTTACATTTTTCCTTGTTTCCCCCATGACAGAAAACTAGAGGAGCTTGTCAAAAGTGTGTTTGGTTTAACAGCTGATTACAATCGTTGAACTTATTTAGCTTATATTTTTTTATATTTTAATATATTAATGTTGTTGATACTCGAATAATAACATATGACTTTAATAACTATATGAAGCTAAAACCAATTACTGTTTAAATCATTCCTATGGAGAAACGATCATCAATACTTCACTTGTGAAATTAAAGGATGCATAGCATGGAGACTGGAACAATGATAAACACAAGAAACGTCAATATTACCATCATCCATCTCAATTATTTAACTGTTGCTCTATGTTTAAATTTACAACCAACCCTGGAAGTAAAAATGTATAAGGGTTTTTTCATAATCAGATTTTTGGGCTAACTATTAACACTCGAGACTACAGTAAAGAAAGGAGAAATGTTTAACTAATGAGAATTAATAATTCCCAATGATAGGAACAGTATTGGAAAAAGGAACCAATAAGGGTTATTTAAATGAACTGTTCCAATTCAACTTTTGATATAAATACACCGACGGATAGTCATTTGTTATCATTGTAAACAAAACCATCGTCAACAACTTTTAATAAGCATCCAATCTAATTCAAGTCAAACTCATCATGAAATTAATCACTCTTCTCGCTTTTACTCTTGTTCTAATGGGTCTTGCCTTTGCCCAAAGTGTTGATCCAAGTGCAGCCACCAGTGAAAACCCAGTAACCGAAGGATACAACTTCAGTGCTCTTGAACCCATTGTTAAAGGTCTTATTGATGGTTTCCGTATGATGATGCTTCAAGTACGCTTTGTACGAATTTTGGCTGAAAATTTTGGCGTTGAAATGGCTCGAATCGCTCGCAACACCACAATCATGCCAACAGCATCAGGAACTGGTTTTCCCTTCACATTCCCAAGTCAATACGGTTGGCTTAGTCGAGAGGAATCTTCATCCAGTGAACCCAGTCAACCAGTGTCTGAAAATACCGTTGCATCTCAATTCCAAGAAATCTTTGACCGATGGGGAGTAAACACTGCCTTAGCTTTCCGAGGACTTCTCTCTGAAGTTGCCCATGTTTACCAAGATGCTGTTGCTACTTTGGTTAAACAAGGTGAAGTTTCCAGAAATACAGTTGTCCAGGGTTACAATACCATTCGTTCAGCCATGACTTCAATTTCCCAAATGATCCAAGAAAATTTCCCATCAGCTGAATCAGTCGCCACATCCATTACAAACATTTCCCAAGCCCTTAACCAAAATGTAACCAACATTTTGTCCGGAATGATTCCTGATGGTTTACCAACTGGCTTACCTACCGGAATACCAAATATTCCTGGACTTCCAAGCCTTCCAAGTCTCCCTACATTACCCAATCTACAAGATTTAATCCCAACTTCACCTCAAACTGGTCCATCAAAGAAAAATAATTAATTTTCAACAAACAGTTGTTATTTAACAAGATTTACCAGATATCTTGAAAAAAATGATTCATAATTCAAGTTTACCTTCAATTTTGTATACAGATGGCTCAACATTGAACACTCTTCACCACAAGTTACTAGAATAAAATTAAAACACTATTTAACAATAATCATTGATTCAAATTCTTACTAACCAGCCAAACAATGCTTGACTATTATCGATAGCTGAATAAAAATCATTTAAATTGGTAAAAAAACTACCGTTTATCATTAAAATAGATCACAAAATAATTACTCAAAGCCGTTTTCATGTAAAAACTAATTACCTTGATTGTTTCTAATTGTCTGAAGACAAGAGGTTGAATTACATAGAAAAAGACTTATATTGAAAAACTTAATAAATAAATGATTTGTTAATTAGCCCTTATTTGGCACATCGTAGTTACGGCGGATCCTGCATCTCGGCCATTCTAGCAATCACGGTTTTAAATATCAAATATCAAAAGAAAGGCACAAATAGGTTGTTACTGAAAAGACACAATTAACACATTATAAACAAATTGACACAAATGGGCAAAAACTGGTATAAATTAGTATCTTTCAAATTGAGACTCTATTGGTTTGTAGGGACATAGGAATTGAGTAAATTTGTGCGATTTAAAATCTCTCTGGTTGACATTTTTCGAGGAAATCGATGTCGAAGTGGAAACTTCGATTACCTTTCGTTCAACTAGGGAAGCAGCTTTTTTATGAAACTCATTTTACTGAATTAACTTTTGATGATCAACCAGAAAATGTACTTTTTTCAATTTAATAACAGTTCTCTTGTATTTGACGATTGTTCTTTAACTTTGAGCCTCAATATTTCGAGAATGGTGGCATCTACAATTATCATTCTTTCACAAAACATTAGCTTTCATTATGAACTATAACAATATAAACTGAATACCGAATAAAATCTGAGCTAATTCATTCATTTGTGTTTATTAGCCATTTAACTTAATGAATCAAGTCTAAAATCTGACAACATGAGCAATACTATAACTTTTTTCTTAGGACCTTGAATGTTTTGATATTTCAGTGTATTATAGTCCATAATGGAATCTAATGTTTTATGAAAGAATGATAATTGTAAAATATACCATTCTCGAAATATTGAGGCTCAAAGTTTTAAGGCCAATGGCCAAAATCAAGCGAACTGACTGTAAATCGTAAAAAGTATTTAATACATAATGTAAGCCAACAACTTTCATAGATTCATGATAAGTTTCAGGTTGCTAACTCTTCTGGTCACAGAATGCGACACGTTTAACAAGAAATCGAACTTGATCTGTTTTACAAAAATAGAAAATGCTATTTCTAAAAATAAGACCATTTTCTGGTTTTTCATCAAAAGTTGCAGAAGCAAAATAAGTTTTGTTAAAAAATCTGCTTCCAAAGCTGCACAAATGGCGTTCGAAGTCACAACTTTAAGTTGGATTTACTCGAAAACTATCGATCGTTTGCACTTTTTAATAGCGCTAATGAACTCATCTTTTTATGTCCCTACAAACCTCGCAAGTCTAAACTCTTAATACAAATGCTCAAGCTTTTCGCAGCACTCTTTGCATTGTTGTTTTGAGAAAATTGGTTTATTTGCTAAGAAATGTGTTAAGACGAGTTTTGTTTGTTGAATACGTTGTTGCTTGTGCATTTAAAGCCCGAAAATCTTGAACCAAATGCACGAATGCTAAGTTATTAAATTGAATTTAGTTATTAATCAGTTCAGGATTAAATTTATGAAAGAATGATGACTGTAGGTACCATAAATCTCGAAATATTGAAGCTCAAACTTTTAAGGTTGATGGCCAGTATCAAGAAAACTGTTTCTAATTTGCAGAAAGTATTTAAACCATGATGTTAACCGATAATTTTTGTGGACAAATGATAAATTTTAGGTTGCTAACTCTTCTGGTCACAGAATGCGACACGTTTAAGCAGAAATCGCACTTTATCTGTTTTACAGAAACAGAAAATGTTATTTCTCAAAATAAGACCGTTTTCTGGTTGATCACCAAAAGTTTCATCAGTAAAATAAGTTTTGTTGAAAAATCTGCTTCCAAAGCTGCACAAATGGTGATCGAAGTTACAACTTTAAGTTCGATTTATTCGAAAACTATCGATCGTGTTCACTTTTTAATAGCACTGCTGAACTCACCTTTTTATGTTCTTTTAAACCCTTTAAGTTGAAACTTTTAATACAAATGCTCGAGCTTTTCGCATCAATCTTTGCATTGGTTTTTTGAGTTTAACCAGAAAATTGGTTTTATGCTATGAAATGTGTTAAGATGAGTTTTGTTTGTTTAATAAGTTGTTTCTCGGGCATTTAAAGCCCGAAAATCTTGAACCAAATGTACGAATGGGAAGTTATTAAATTGGATTGAGTAATCGATTAGTAATGGACTAAATTTATGAAAGAATAGTTACTGTAGGTATCATCATTATCGAAATATCGAAGCTCAAACTTTTAAGGTAAATGGCCAAAATCAAGCGAACTGTTGCTAATCTGCAAAAAGTATTTAAACCACGGTGTTAAACAACAATTTTTGTGGACAAATGATAAGTTTCAGGTTGCTAACTCTTACGGCCATGGAATGCGACAGGTTTAGCCAATAATCGAAATTGATCTGTTTTACAAAAATGGAAAATGTTATGGCTCAAAATAAGATCATGTTCTGGTTTATTAATGAAAGTTACTTCAGTAAAATAAGTTTTGTTGAAAAATCTGCTTCCAAAGCTGCACAAATGGCGTTCGAAGTTTCAACTTTAAGTTCGATTTATTCGAAAACTATCGATCGAATGCACTTTTTAGTAGCAATAATGGATTCACCTTGTTATGTGGCTACAAACCCCTTAAGTTACAACTCTTAATACAAATGCTCGAGCTTTTCGCAGCACTCTTTGCATTGGGTTTTTGAGTTAAACCAGAAAATTGGTTTATTTGCTAAGAAATGCATTGAGAAGAGCTTGTTTTGCTAAATAAGTTGTTTCTTGTACATTTATAGCCCAAACATCGTAACCAGAATGCACTGGTGGCGAGTTATTAAATTGAATTCAATTATTAATCAGTTAATGATTAAATTGGTAAAAGAATGATGGCTGTAATTGCTACTGTTCTCGAAATATCGAGGCTCAAAGTTTTAAGGCCAATGTTCAATATCAAAAGAACTGTTATTAAATTGATAAAAATATTCAATGCATGATATTCAACAACAATTTTTATGGATAAATAATAAGTTTAAGCTCTCTAACTCCTTCGATTACAGAATGCGACAGATTCAACTAGAAATCCAACTTGATCTGTTTTACAGAAAATGAAAACTCAATTTTACAAAATAAGACCATTTTCTGGTTTGCCATCAAAAGTGATATCTTTAGTATGAGTTTTATGATGAAAATCTGCTTCCATAGTCGAACAGTAGGCGATCGAAGTTTCAAACTCTAACTCGATTTTTTCGAAAACTATCAATCGTAGGAATTTTAAAGGCACACAAATAGACTCAGTTTTTAGTTCCTTACAAACCTCTTAAGTGTCAACTCTTTACACAAACACTCATGCCTTTGTCGATACTCTTTCATTTTATTTGACAAGTTAAACCAGAAAATTGGTTTATTTAACAAAATATGGGTTGAAAAGAGTTTGTTTTGCTAAATAAGTTGTTCCTGGTGCATTTACAACCCATTGCGGTTCCGAAAATGCTTCAGTCAGGTTAAACATGTTAAGTAATAGTCCATTCAGTAAAAATTAAAGTCATCATCCATTGTACATGTATTTTGATAGTGAATTTTTTGCCTCCACACAGTTTGATAATTTCTATGTCCCATTTCAATTTAACTGAATGCCCGAATAAAACTGGCTCTTACTAATTGCTTTAAACAAAATTCAAAATCAAATTGCTGAATCCTTGTAAAGCTTTAAATTTCAAAATTTTAATTTGCTGTTTGGATGAAATGTTGAGGTGCGAAAAACAACTGCATAAGTTTTCTAAACTTTCGCCCTTTTTCACGAAATAAATATTGATATTCATGAAATGTATTCAGTCATTAAAGCAAATATTTTTTTTTACCATTTCCACATCAATTCAGTCAGTATAAACTATCAACTAACCGAGAACGAGAACTCTTTAGGGACTGTCCTAAAAAGGTTACGTTTTACCAGTCTTTGAAAATTCTAATTATGCATGATATTACTGAGGATTCTTGAATTACAAAATCATCTTAAAAGTTTTTCATCAGCACAAACTCTCAATATCATTGATTGAAAGAGTTGAGAGAATTGACGGAAAAAATAAAGAAGCTCTTTACATGAATTCAGAATCATCTTACAACTTGATTGACCTCATAGAGATGGCATTGTTGGATAATGATGAGATTCAATTTTTCAATAAAAGCCCAATCTTTGTCAGTTAATCTGATGAGTTGAAAATTTCAGAATCAAAGTTGATGCGTCATTGCATACTCATCAGAATCAATCAATTAATCAAGAAGAGTCAGAAGTTCACTCAGCAAGTACAAAAAAGATTTCAAGATTCTGTTCGGCAGGAAAAAAAAAAGTTGCTTCAATATTCAATTAATTTCAATCAAAATCCTTTCCAATCTTTAATTATTCATCGAAAACAAAAAGTAACGAAAAGTCTCCAACAAAAAGAACGGATAAGAAAAGTTTACCAAAACAAATCATTCCCTGTTAACATATTAATAAACTATTCAATATTCAATTAATTGAAGGTAAAAATTGAAATTACAGTTGAGTTGACAAAATGAAACAAAAGGTTGAACAAAAGGTCGATTGTCAAGAGTCATTGATTGTTTTCAATGACATTTAATTGAACAAAACTGTGCAATAATTGATGAGACGAGAATACAAATTGTCTAATTAAGATATTTTTCAATTCATTTGATGCAACATTTAATAATTTAAATTTTTGGCAAAAATGGAAAAAACTAAAGAATAAAAAATAATAAACTGAACATTTCATTCATCGAGTTTCATCAATTTCAGTCGACGAGATGAAAATGTTAGGAAAAATAACATCTTTTTTCAAGTTTAATTGTTGCAATTGATTGATTTTGTTGAACCGAAAATAAAGTTTTTCTTATTGCAAAAGGACTATTTGGACGAAAAAACATTTATGATTGATAATGAAGGTACAATTTATCCTCATTGAATTGATTAAAATTTCATTGTGAGAATTGAAATTTGATGTTGAATGATCTTGAATTGATGATGATGGTATAAAGGGGACTTTAAATTGAACCATTTGCTAAACAAGCATTTTCTGCCAACAACAACATCATTTGATTTCAGTTCACATTTATTACGAGGCATTTAGACACCATAAGGATAACCTTTAAGCTAAAGGTTGAGCTTCGTGGGTTGAGTTGAAATGATTAAATAGGCTTCACAAGGCTGGATATGGACTCAAGTCTGAACTTTGTTCCCTTCTGTTCGTGTTCAACTTGATAAAGTATAATATTATTACCAAACTAATTATTTTACATTACATTTTGTGTTGAAAAGAGAAGAGAAGAAAAAATCTGGACATTTCATGGAAATTTTGTCTTGAATGTTTCCTCTCGATTCAAGGCGCAATCATTCTCGCAACTGTATTAACTGCTAATTTTATACTCTGCTATTGAAGAGTCAATTTTTCTCGTTAATTTTGCCTTCTTTTACATTGACATTTCAATCGGCCATTGGTTTCAATTGAACAAGTCAATAAGGTTGAACTTAGTGAAAATTTAGTTTTCAAATCAATCTTCCTGCTCGAAATCTTCTGTAAAATTTTCAGTTTCAACTTTGAAATTCTGTTGTGAATAAAAAGGAAACAAAATTTTGAGCAGTTGGTGTAATAACAGAAAAAAAAGTTGAAGAACAAAAAGTTCTATTCGCCAACTCGAATCGTGATGATGATCAGAATTGTGAGGATGATGATGAAAGCAAGTAACAAAAAACATGAAGCTTGAATGATGAGAAAATCAAGAAATGAATACTGTAATAGAAACTCCCAGTTGATGATGATAATGAGACGATGATGGAGTAAAGAGAGAAGGCGAAAGGTTCGAGTGAGAAAGGGGAAGCAAGACAGATCCTCAGCAGGTAAGCGTAATGTTCATCAATTGTTATTTGTATGTTGACAGAATCGTTAAGGTTAAAACCTGTAAACATCGTCATTAGACTGAAACCAAGAGGGAACGAGAAACAACCAAATAATATAAAAAACCAAAGTAAAACCAAATTATCAAATAAATCATAATAAAACCATTGCAAGAGTTGTGTTGCAAGTTCAAAGTTTAAAGCAAATCTTGTCTTCAATTGAAAGGCGCAACTTGTCCAATTGCGAATACAAGAAACTTTTCTTTTACTCGATCTTCATTTCTTGGTGTAAACTTGAAATTTACCAGTGAAGTTCATAAGACAATTTAAAATCTTCTCGACATTTGATGAAATTTTTTTAAAAAATTCATCCTTTTCTTCACTATTCACTGTTTCCTTGTTCACTATTGGAATCAAAATATTGGAATAAGCTGAATTTTTCATTTTACGTTCTTCATTTGCAATCAGTTTGTCCTTTTCACCTATAAAATCAACATTATTCATTTATAATATCCATCAATATCATCTTCTTCATCAACACGAAGAAAAAAAATTTTGCTTCGCTGGTTTGCTGATTTTCCCCATTTCATTTCATCTTAAGATTGAACAAACTGTTGCGTCTGTTTTGACCAAGTTTTGGCTCAAGTTTAACTTGAAAAAAGTTACCATTCTGCTCAGTTTACTCTTGCTTCCACATTTTACCGTGAAAAAGGTAAACTTGTAAAGACATTTGTAGAACGAAGAGAAAAATGTTTTCCTTAAAATTATTTCCATTGGCTCAGCACAATGTTATCCTTGTGGCGTGTCTCCTCTTTATACTGGATCATTGTGTTTGCACCGAAAAATCGCGTTTAACCAGTTTATCGACCAAATCAATGACAAACAAAATGGTTCCTTTAATGAAGAGGTCAGCCTTTCCCGAGCGACGGTTAGATTGCGATCTTTTCTGTCGACGAACTGGTTTTGCTGGTTCAGTTGGTGGTTGTCAATGTGGTTATACTTTGTTCAATGTAAAAAGATCAGACGAGTAAGTAAAGTTTGTTGATATTTAAAAGTTTCAAAACAGAGACAAAAATCGTTAATCAAACTGTGCAATGTTAAGTAAACTTTTCCAACAAGGTTTTTACTAACAAACTAGCACGCTAACCAACATTCAAAGATTTTAAATCGTTCATCGCCTTCAAAAATAATCGATAAATAAGCCCGATTCGATTAGTTTAGCCTTTTGGTTCTTTAAAGGATGAGAGTCGATCCATTGAGATGTTGTCTCTTCACCTATTTGCTTCAAATTTTGTGAACAATAATATGCAGAAGCATGTCCTCTGAAAAGACCTTTAAAATCTCTTTGGGTAGTTTCATGGTTTTGTTGAAGCAAATATTCATTACTAAAGCTTTGAAGCTTTGAATGATTGTAAAGAAATGCCAAATTTTGATATATTCAGTGAATAAATGCTGTCAAACAGCGCGAACCAATGATTTCTCCCTTAAGTCAAATTTCATGATCATTTGATTTGGAAGCCATGAGGCTCATCAGTGATTCATTTTCATGTAAAAATTTTATGCCAATATTAATGAAGAAACTTTTTCTGCAACAATCAAATTGAAAAGTCTATCAAGAATTCGAAAAATGCTGCAAAAATGTTGGTTAGAATACAACAAACATAATATTTTATGCATTTAAATAGAGATAAAAGTTTAAACTGACGTTAGTTACGCCAAAAGGATTTCTCGAATAAAACAAAAGCTTTACTTTGATCAGCGAGCAGAAAGGTATTTGAAAAGAAATCGGAAAAACACAAAAACATGCTTTTTGAAACGATTATGGCAATATGCCGCAGTTGCTACTGTTTTGTTGAGCAGTTTTGTCAAAGTAAGAACTGGTCGAAGATCGTTATTGAAAAGTGATTTGATCAGCACATTTTTCGCGCTTTTCGTATAATTATCGAAAAGTTTTCTCGATAAATTTACATTGCTGTTAATGCATTGCACTTCAAAGTTTTCCCATATTTCATTTGTTGTGTATGTAATCAAATTACTCGACATTTAACATCCTTACGATTCGAATAGTAAATCATTAGTACTGTATGATAATCTATTTTGAAGTTTGATCACTGTTGCATTTAAATTTTAATATTCATCAAGAACTTGTTGTACAACTATACAATTTCGGAATGAAAAAAGAATTGGAAATCATCATTACTTTAAGTAATATATTGGATAACCGTCATTCAACCGCTTTTTCAATAAAAACGTCTTGATTTCGCTGATATTATTCCATTGAATGTCCGAAGAGTGATGAAGAAATGGTTTCTTTTCTTTGGCAGGTTTACCTCGAAAAGATACGCGTATTAATTCGATAATCAAAACGAAAACCGAAAGACTCACGAGGAGAAAAAAAAAGATAAAGTAAATCTTCAATCGTCACGAATGCAATCGGATGATATGCCATTGGATAGCTTTCAATCTGTTCGTAGCGTTTGCACTGAGCACAAGTTTTATATAATCTGCTTCCTTTCTCAAGGACCGTTCTGATTGCGCGATCGATCCCGTCAAGACAAAAGCCCATCTCAACGCAAGAATACGTTGCCCGCTGCAGAAACATCTTCTTGCTTTTCTCGATGAACTTGTGATAAGTCAGTAGCCGTATAGTATTGAAATAACGCTGATCACCAACATGAATATAAAAGTTGTCAGTTTTTTTGACGTTGATCATAAAGTTGCAAAATATTCTTATGTATCCCTTAATTGTGTTTACCGAATCAAAAAAGACGATTCTATCATCGAATAAATGATCATAAATGTATCTAAAAAATTCGCCAACCTCAACTGTATTAATACGACTTGACAAAAGTAAATTATCCGTCATCTTGAGAGCACAGTACAGATTATGAATGGCAGTTACAGATTGAGTTGACTTGTTGAGATCGTCCAAATAAACTAAAGGTTTATCTCGAGATTGACTCGAATAGTTGGTCGTAAATGAAGAGCATAATAATTCGTAGACGTAATAGACGGCAAAATAACAAATAGCCACAACTATGAACCCAAATTGTCCATCAATTAGCTGTTTTGTTATACCCTTGAAAGGCCAAGGTAAACTTTTCTGGCGAACTAAATAAATGTAAACTCCGAGGGTGATCAAGAAACCGATTAAAATGTAAACATTGAGGTGGATTACTTGGAAACTGGTCAAGATTCCGGAATACTTTGATTTGACTGCCATGTCAGTGTAAAGGTTGACGAAACCACAGTTGTCAGTGTACATCATTGAACTGAAACTCATGTTTTCTGGAATCAATGTAAAATGTTCCATCGCCTCACCGGGGAATGAAGCATCATTGAGGCCAGATTGAATTGACTGAAGAAAAGATGTTGAACAAATGGACGAATGACAAGAGTCATTCTGATCGGGGTCACCCCTAATCCATTCAATCGGTACTTTTCCAAACGTGATTGATCCTAAGGCTTTTATGGTATCAATTCCAGTTTGATCTTCATCTATTCCGCTATAAAGATTATGATAAATTAATCTCAAGGAGTGGTTGTAGGGAATATTGAATTTCATTGTTGAACACCGCAGTTATAGAATACTGAGCTAACACGAAGAAAAACTATGAGTGATTGATAAGAGGCCAAAACTCAATTGAATGGTAGACTTTAATTTCCATCAAACTGTTTCTATGCTTGGCATTTTGTTGATGCTATCTAAAATAATGTCTCAATGTTAATAAATGAAACGATTAGCTCTTCATTTATCAATAAAAACAATTATAATTTTACTCTCTAATAATTAAAAATTGATCAATAATGATTTCGAGTTTCAATTGAATTTAAACTGTTGATTCGATCGCTAAATGGAAGGATAAAGAACTGTTTTGATTGAATGTTCAATAGACTTCATTTTTACCGATTTTCTGTTATTTAGCAATATTATTATCATTTTTAACCACGTCATTTGTAGCTATTATTAAAATTATGGTACTGCTCCAGAACTCGCGAAGAGTGAAACAGTGAACAGTTTTTTATTTCATTTTAAGTATCCTAATGGCTTGTTAACAAGGGTTATTTATTAATAGTAGATGGAAATATTCTTCTATTAGTTTCTTCTAATAATTTTGTGTAGACGTCTAACCATACTAAACTATTGCGATACAATAAATCGATCTATAATATTGCGAACCTCAAAACTGGTAGGTTTTCACCAAGTTAAGACAGCAGATGCAACTAATAATATACAGGGCTATTCAGCTACTTAGTATGATGTTGAACGCCAATAACTTTGCAACCATACATGCTATTGGCCTAGGAATCGAATATAGTGAGTTTGGGAGACATTCATTTTTTATGTTTCAAGGTCAAGGTCATTCAAGGTCATTTTTCGGAAATCGTTCCTATGCCCTTTAGAGGTCATTTGAAGGTCATAACTGCTTTTTCAAGGTCAAAAAATTCATTTCCAAAAGTTTCGAATCGTTTTACTGAAGGTTTTAATCAGAAAAAGCGCTTTAAACATTCGTGTCGCATTCATCAGTTAAAATAAAATTTCTATCGATTCATCTCATTATCATTTCATTATCATTATTAAAGCAAACACAAATTTTTCAACATGAGTCCAAGACAGAAATTCAATCGTCAACAAAAAACGGACATTTTTTACCAGTTTTTGCTCAATGGACGCTCTCCCGCTCGAACAACTGCGGCTTTGAAGCGTGTTTGGGGCAACAGGTTCGTGAAGGTCCACCCCACAACAATGCATAACATTGAAAAAATTTTTCAGAAGTATGGGTCGGTGGAGTACCAACGGAAGAGAGAGAAAACTGTCAGAGTTACAGAGAAAATCGAACAGGCTCGAGCTTTGACAGCACAAGCCTCTTCAGAGGGACGTTCTCTCACTTCCGTTCGGTTAGCGCTACTAATCAATGCTTCTCAAAGCACAGCTTGGCGAATTCTTAGGAAGGACCTGAAGCTGAAACCTTATCGCCTCAAATTGCTTCATAAGCTCAATGAAGATGATTTTGATCGTCGGACGGAATGGTGCGATATGGTTTTGGATAGGGTAAGCTCAGACTCCAGTTTGCTCGAAAGAATAATTTGGACAGATGAAGCAATTTTCAGTCTCGCACAAACTGTCAACAGACACAATTGTGTGTACTGGGATTCATCTAATCCAAATCGTTCTTTCGAGGCTGATAATTTAGGCTGTGAGAGAGTCATGGTTTGGTGTGGAGTCTGGGCAGGAGGGAGAATCGGGCCTTATTTTTATTCTCGGTCTGTCAAAGGAGATTCGTACGAGCAGATGTTGCGAACTTTTGTCTTTCCTAAGCTTGCAGAGATAAGAGAAGACTGGGAAAGCTACTTCATCTTTCAGCAAGATGGAGCAGCACCCCATTATGCAGTGAATGTCCGGAGTCTGCTTGACGAAACATTTGAAGAGTGGTTGGGTCGACGTGGTACTTGGGAGTGGCCTGCACGGTCTCCGGATCTCACTGTATGCGACTTTTATCTCTGGGGTCGTTTGAAAGACAAAGTTTTTGCGCAAGATCCTCGTACGATGGATCAGTTGAAAGCTGTGATTTTTGATCAGTTCCATTCTTTGGAACAATCAGAAATCGCAAAAGCTTGTAAATCTGTGGAGTTCCGTTGTCAGGCTTGCATTGCATTGGAAGGACGACAACTGAAACTCCACAAAGATTACAGCTGATCCCATTTTGCAGACTGAGAACTCATCACTTCACTCCCGAAGCAGCTTTTCAGTACGGAGTGAAGTGAGAACCCCGGTAGGCAAGGGCAACCGGGTTAAAAAAACTGCCCAAAGGTCAGCAAGACAACTCCACCTCCTCGCGGTGCTGACTGGGTAAAGCAAACGGAGCTCTGTTTTACTTTTGAGCGAGAGAAAAATTGTTTGAAGCGCTTTTTCTGATTAAAACCTTCAGTAAAACGATTCGAAACTTTTGGAAATGAATTTTTTGACCTTGAAAAAGCAGTTATGACCTTCAAATGACCTCTAAAGGGCATAGGAACGATTTCCGA